CGGGTCATTCGAACTTTGGATCGGGATTCTCGTCTCGTCCGGCTGGTGATGTTCGAGCGAACTTGCAACGTCGGTTCACAACCGATTCGAGCAAGTTCTCGTCATGGAATTATTTGAATCCAAGCTCGGGATCTGGCTCGAGCTCTGGCTCTGGTTCGGGCCAGATGCAAGATCCAGTGGATTTGTTGTCTTCGGTAAGATTGAAATTTCCTTTTCGAGTTAGCAATTATCCCCGTGCATTGAACCTACGTACCTGTCATGTTTCCATCGAATTTTGGTCGACGATGAGTGGAGATGGTTGAATTGGCGTCGTCCTGGTTGTCTAGGCTCTGCAAGATTCTTTGAAATCACACAGAGGTCTCTGAAAGTTCCGTCAGCTTCCGGCATATCACGCTACATGTGTGCAGCTTCAAGTTGACGAGACCGCTATTCATCCATCACCATTCATCCACCGTCATTCATAATTTTTTATCTCCTTCAATTGTCTTTATTCATTCAGTTCCCTTCTCCATTCATCAGTGAGGCAAACTCGCCGAAGTGATTGACTTGATTGACGCCTATTGGTGCTTCAACTCCGTCTATTCTGAGCCTATTCAGACGTCAAATCGATTATTGCCTGTTAGGCTGCAATCCGTTCTGGGTTGGTATAAAACCTACAGTCTCGCACCTTTCCCTTTGCTTCTTCTCTTATTTGCCTTCTAAGTTCTGCGTCTGTTTCATCCCTTTGAGTTGGAACCAGTTCACTGCCTGTGCTACCGAATCTGTTCTTTGCCGATGATTTCCCGTCACATTCCCATCATTGCTTTCTGACCTACCATCGTGCGTTCGGTTCGTGTCTCCTCATGCAAGTGATTGTTATCCGGGGTCTATGAAGATATCTGTCTTCTTGGCGTCTTCTGAAGTGTCTTTTGAACTGTCTTTCGGGACGTCTCTTGTGCAATTCTGTCAATTGAGTTGTTGAGGCTTACACTTTTCTCTCACTTTGTTCAAACTGATATCTTTCCCAAACTACCCCTACTCTTCTTGCTTGACCACACCATTCCGGGATTCATATCTGACTTCTTCAGCAGTTTGAGAAAAAGAGACAGCACATCGAGTACATGCGTGAACAGAAACGCCGTTTCGAAGAGGATATGAAAATCCTGGATCTTCAGCACGCTCGCGAGAAATTGGAGATGGACCAGCTCGCGCGGGACTTGGCTCAGGCCGGCATCTCTGGCCCAGTCAGTGAGCCAACCACCCCGCCTGAGTACCGCGATACTACCGTGTCAAGTGCCTTTGGCCGCCCTTCCCGTTTCTCCACTTCGAGTGTGACCTCTTCTCCCGGCTTTTTCAATGCCTTTGCTCCTTCAACCTTGACTTCGCCCCAGCCAGCTTCCCAGCCTGCTCAGCCGTCCATTGACCGATTTGCCGGACACTCTGTCCCTGGCTCACGCCGGAACTCCGAGAAGGACGACTTCCTTGCTGATCCTACTTCTCCCTTCCGATCAGGCCCATCGTGAGTGGAAATCTTATCTTTCTAGGCGTGGTATTGAAGGCCTGTCTAATATTTCTTTAGTGCTGCTCATCGATACTCGCTGCCCTCTGGTAACCCGAATGGACATTCTCATCGGTCCAGCATCTCCGGTTTGAATGGATCACGCCTTGATACTTTCAACGTTCCAAAGTATCTTTTCCCCAGTGACGAGGACAAGCCTCATAACCACTTGAGGGAGCTGGAACGCCTGTCAACTCCTGATATCAAGAGTTATATCAAGTTGACCGAGCCTGATGACAAATTCCCAACCCTGTCCCGTCGTGGTGATTCAAATATGGTACGTCTATTGTCATTGAACGCAGCACCCTGAATTCTAATCATTTGGCTAGTTGTCGGCGAACCCTGATGCCCATGATCTCGCCAACCCTCGTGCCCCAGGCTCCGACACTTATTCCAATCACAGTCGGCACCGGTCCTCTCACCAGAGCATGCCGCAGAACATTCACAACTTTGGGCGCTTGGACCAGCTGGGAAGCCAGAATAACGAGGATCACAGCAGCTCTGCCCACACATCACGCCACGGTGCTCGTCGTTCCATGGGAAGCCAGATCACCTTCCACGATGATCGCCACGATGAGACAGTAACCCCTGTTTCCTCGAGCCGGCCCAATGCTCTGCAGTCATCATACTCAACTAATGATCTGCCTACTATTAAGGGAAATGGAGCTGGCAACGCAATTACTCCCCCCAAGACTCACAACGAGCACATGCATCACCACAATACAAGCATGGGACGCATTCCTCAGAGTGGTGTGAATAGCCAAGTCAAGGCCGAGTTCGACGAGACCGAGTTCTACGGTAATCAATCGACTTTGCACGCGAGCGCCCCACCCTTCGGGCCTCAGCTCACTTCGGCTGCATCTACCAACCACCTTCCCAGTTCGGTTGCTCAAATGGGATTGCCATTCCAAGTCCCTGCGGTTCCTGCCTTCAATTATGGAATTCAGCCCTATGTCGGCCAAGCAACTCCGATCAACGGTCATATGCAAAACTTCGGCGGAGCTTCCGCTTACAACAACGCCTATTCTGGCTATGGTCCAGGGTACCGCTTTAATGAGCCTGCAGCTCGAGGCAACATGGCTCAGCGTCGTCAAGAGAATGATGCGACCCAGCTCACTCGTTTCGGCAACTACCCCTTGGAGCATTACAAGGGTGAGTTGTACAGCCTGTGCAAGGACCAGCATGGTTGCCGATACTTGCAACGCAAGTTGGAGGAACGTAACCCGGAGCATGTGCAGCTAATTTTCAGCGAGACTTACATGCATGTCATTGAGCTCATGACTGGTATGAAACATATGAAGCTTCCGCCTTTTAACCCCATTGTCATTACTAACCTTTCTACTTGAACAGATCCATTTGGTAATTATCTTTGCCAGAAGTTGTTGGAATATTCCAACGACGAACAGCGTACTGCTTTGATTGATAATGCTGCCCCTGAGCTGGTTAAGATTGCCTTGAATCAGCATGGAACTCGTGCACTGCAGAAGATGATTGAATTCATCTCGACCTCCCAGCAGACTCAGACAGTCATCAATGCACTGCAGTATCACGTTGTTGATCTGGTGCAGGACCTGAATGGCAACCACGTTATTCAGAAATGCCTCAACCGCCTCACTCCCGAGGATGCCGAGTTCATTTACGAGGCTGTAGGTGGCAATTGTGTTGTTGTTGGTACTCATCGCCATGGATGTTGTGTCCTTCAGCGTTGCATTGATCATGCTTCCGGCCATCAGAAGGCTCGTCTGATTTCGCAGATTACCTCGCACTCGTTCGCTTTGGTCCAGGATCCGTTCGGAAATTATGTTGTGCAATACATTCTGGACCTTGCGGAGCCTAGCTTCACCAACCCGCTGTGTGCTACCTTCGGAGGCAATATTCCTCAGCTGTCCAAGCAAAAGTTCAGCTCCAATGTTATCGAGAAGTGCCTCCGAACTGCTGATAACTACATGAAGCGTGAGATGATTGATGAATTCCTCATGGGCAATGAGCTTGAAAAGATGCTGCGTGATTCATTTGCGAACTATGTTGTTCAGACCGCCATGGACTTTTGTGATCTCGACACTCGCAACCGCATTGTGGAGGCTGTTCGTCCTATTCTTCCGTCTATCCGCCAGACTCCTCATGGTCGTCGCATTGCTGGCAAGATCATGGCTGCGGATACCAACAGCCGCAGCAACGGTAGCAGCGCTACTACCAGCGGCCAGGTCACCCCTAATGAGATGAGCAGCACTGCCCAGATCCCTAAGAACTTGTTGCAGAAGCCATTCATATACCATCAGCCTGGTACTCAGAGTACTCAGTCTTCGAGCTCATCAGGCGGATACAGTACCCAGACCTATGTACCTCAGTCCTCCCAGAGTTCTGTCTCCAACACCCCTTCGGGACAAAGTGACACCTCATCTGTTTACGCTGCGCCCACCCCTCAGCTGTCCGTGAAGCTTGGACCGCAGCAAATCCAGAACTACTTCTGATTGGGTCTGGGACACCCACATCAGTGCTTGTCTTTCACAACCCCAGTGTACCCATAGTGAGACGATGCGACGAACCTTTTCTTTTTTTTTTCTTTCACGATTTTACGGTTGCTTTTTACACTGTTATCGAACTGGGCCTACATCAACTGCACATGCATGATCATTTATCCCATGATTTACCACACTTGCGTTTTACTGCATACACCTTTGAAGCAATGTGCCATGATCATTGCATTTGGCCCATGTTGCATACTGCATACCTTTCATGAAGCGACCCATGCATGATGCAGACATCGTTGGGACTATGTTCCTCTGCTCCCTTTGTTCCTCAACATCTTGTATTTCTTGTTTTTCCCTTCCCCCCTGGTTTTCCTCCCCCAAATGCCTTGCATGCCAAGGTCTTGAGGGTATCTGGCGATGGTTTTGGATCGTTCCTTGGAACAATCTGGTATCTATTGCCCTGATTTGAGGACTGGTTCTTCCAGCTTGGGTTGTTTTTGCTTTGCTTTTATCTTTTTTTCTTCGCTTCCACATTGTGATTTTCAACTCTTATTTTTACCCATTCATCGTTGTACTTTTGCGCCTTGCTCTTTTCGAACTGCATTTTGTGTTGTGCCCGTTCCTTTACATTGGTTCATTGTTGCACGCAAACTGAGCCGAGGATGGACATTACAATGGCTCTGGAGTCATTGTCCATCAATGACCTCGGTTATTTTCCGTCCAGCTTGTTGCTTCTTGAGATTGATGAGAGGGTGCCATTTGGTCTTTAGGCCAGATCTTCATCATCATACATGATCCTGCACACACTTTTTGCATGTATTTTAGCAATGGAAAGCTGAATTAAGTTTTCATACAATTTTCTCCTTTCCAACACCAGTAGATTTCCATATCTTCTTTGTTTTCGTAATTTTATTTAGTTTTGTCGCCAAATCTGCAGCGCGACGCGTGATCACGTGCGTACCAAAGGAGCTACCCTGCGGAGCTTTAGCACGATGCCGCAACTTGCTTTACACACCAATTTAGCCTACAAGGTCCGAAGCAAACCGACTGGGCCTCTCATGCTACCAAAAGAGGTTGCCAGCTCATTGAGCATACGATGGCCTTGTCGCGATGTCCAGATGCGGCAGCTAGCCAGTCTTCTGAGTGTGAGTTTACTATGCATTCCTTACATTCGCCAATCATCCTTGGAGAAAGTAGCTGACCTTCAACGATCTTTGAATAGCCTCACGTTCCTAGTCCCCCAACATTGGTCGTCCATGGTATCTCTGCGACCTGTAAATCGACTATCCTCCGGGCCGTCCTCGCTACTCTCGGAGTGCCGCACGCCATTGTCAGGAGCTCGGAATGTATTACGGGACGGCATCTCCTGACGAAAATTCTATGGAATACACTGGAGGCACTAGGCCAGAAGGAAGAATGGGAGACATCCGGCAAGGGGAGATGCGAGCACGTCAGTGGCCTTGCAGTCTTGCTCGAGGAGTGTTTGGCGGCGAGGCCCGTTGAGAACCACGGCAAATTCGTGCTGGTGCTGGATGAGATTGACAGGCAAAGAGAGGCGCCACATACTCTGCTGTCAGCACTGGCACGGCTAGGCGAGATTGTGAGTCCTGGCTTTGGATGATGTTTGCTGGGTGTGGAATGTTGCGGCTAACCCGATGATTTTGTAGATTCCATCTCTCTGTGTTGTTCTGGTCCTTAGCTCGACTCCACGGCCATTGTTCCTCCAAAGTGCAGCGGTTCCGCATGTCAGCTTCCCTCCATATACCCGCAAGGAGGCCATCCATATCATTCTCAGTTCGGATGCGCCGGTTGTGGATGGGTTGCCCGACGAAACCTCCTCACGGGTATACCCATACTTTGTATCTACAGTTTACGACTCATTGGTTGGACCGACAGCAGGTTCCATACCTGATTTCCGGTCCATATGTGACAGATTGTGGCCTCGGTTTGTTGCGCCTGTAGTGAATGGCGAAACGCCCCCAGGCGGAAATGATGAGTGGGATTTCTCGCGGCTGCTCGTGAAAAACAGAGTCATCTTTCGACACCAGGGCGAGTCTGCGCTGGTGCACCGCATTGTCCCCGACGAGACTCCTGCCAGCGCGAAACGGGCCCCGCTGGCAAAAGCCGCTATGCCTTTGGCTCTCCCTTCTCTGCCATATTTCTCGACGCTGATCCTCACGTCCGCTTATCTGGCCTCGCACACGCCTCAGCGACTGGATACAATCTTCTTCTCCAAATTTTCCTCATCATCCCTTTCAGCCCGGAACAAGCGTGCCCACCACCGTCGACGCTTGAAGGTCCTCTCCCAAGCCCAGGCAGAAGAGAGACAAGCCGCAAACGACGACCCTTCAACCCCCAAGAAAGGAAAGCGAACAAAAACCCGCATCACGAAATCAACCCTCTCCTCCGCCTTCGCGACCTCTTCGGCCACCACGTCAGCCATCGGAGGCGGCGCAGGCATCGCCGGCCCGTCTACCATCCTCACGGCCCGTTCTTTCCCCCTAGAACGTCTCTTGGCTATCTACCATGCGATCGATCCGAACCCCCCAGCAACTCCACTTCGAGTTGCCGCTGTCGCAGACCGTATCTACGCCGAACTGGCAACTCTGCGACGTCTGCGGCTCGTTGTTCCTGCTGCTAGCCATAATGCTATGGCGACGAGCAGTGGCAATACCACTGCTGATGCGGGAGATAAGTGGTGTGTCAATGTCTCTGGTGACTGGGTCGGTGAGCTGGCTAAGGGTATTGGTGTCGAGGTTGGTGAGTGGTTGGCTGGTGGTCTGGACTGATTTGCTTTTTCTTGGGGACGAACGGACGAAGGAGTACTGTCGGAGCTTACTTGGTCCTTGTAATGGTGCTTTGTTCTTGCATTTATCAACGGGAGTTCCTGGATTGTTGTTTCTGCATTGGATACTGGTTTTACTTGTGGTTAGGTCAATTATACCCATGTTATTATTTTACTTGATCATTGCCTAGATCCGTACGGTGGGTAAAATGCCTGAACAGCTTGCAGATTGTGGCGTTGGTACCAGGCCCATGAGTATCCTGTGACCCCTTGAATAGTTCATTCCTACTGTGTGCACAGGGGAGTAGAGTTTGCAAGATATCTCGAACATTCGACGTCACTAATCCTCCAGTATACCACAATGCATGCCTGCATGCAGAAAATAACCACCATACAGCATAAATCCATTTGCTGCGTTCGAACGCCAACAACGCAGAATAAGAAAGTAGTTCAAGAACAGATCGCCCGGAAACACCAAATACCATGCGCATAATCCCCCATTTTAGAGGAAATGGAATGACAAAGAAATAACCAGCGTCAGCATTCCACACACTCCTACCAGGTCCACTGCTCAACTACATCATCCGTGCCGACCAACAAACTCGGTCCATGCGGCCCTCGCCAATCCGGGGTATCATTGCCATACTCGAATCGCACACAGCTAGGTGGCGACAAATATTGATGCCCCGTGAGAGGCGAGGAGACCTGTAGTCCGGTTTGAAGAGAGAAGAGCTGGATTTTGCAGTCTTGGGAGGCTAAAGCGAGATGTACGTTAGCTTCGGATGAAGTAGAGATTGGGCTATTCTGATCTTCAAGGGAAACATACGACTAGCCAGCAGACCAAGCTCAGTGCTTAGGTCGAAGGTTGGGAGGGGAAGTGAGGAGAATTCGGGGAAAGTGAGGTAGGGCTTCGAGGAGCCGTGATGTTTAAGTGCCTTTGGCGCGAAGCGGAGGTCGTACAATCGTAGCTGAGATGAATATCAGCTAACGTCCGGCGCCGTGTCGTGTAGGGAAGAAAGCAATGGGGAGTAAACAGCGTTACATACTGAGCTAGGTCCCGCTGCCACGAGCCGGTGCTCATCCATCTGCTTCATTTCCATCACGGCATCGTTGTGCTGAAGGCGTGTGACACTGCCACCACTGCGTAGGTCATGGAGGAAGATCTTGGAGTTTTTCTGTCCAGCCGCAATCACGTCCTGCGACAACCATTCCACGGCATGCACGCTGTTTTGGCTCTGGCTGCGCTCGGTGCGTCTTCTGTTGTTTGTGGAAACCGTATTGCCCTTGAATGGCTTCTTCGATAGGCTCCAGTGGCTACTGGCACCTTCCAGGGTGTGGAGTCCTTCTGAAGTTCCTATGGCGAAGTGGGCGCTTGATCCTGTAGGTTGGGATGCAGAGCACCAGAAGGACATCGGGTAGTGGGGTTTGATTCTAATCGGATGGGAGACTGGAACGGCTTTGGTAAGCGAGGTGTCCCGAGATAGAGATAAATATGGAAGCGTACATGTTGGCCAGCGGTAGTTGCCGCCTTCGTCGGGCTCTGGGAGGAGATGAGCTGAAAGGAAGCAGTCACCTTGTGGTCCTTCGTTCATTGTTGCACTGGAACTGTTAGCAGTGAGTCCATCAAATAGCTTTGTATAGGGACGTACAGCAGGTATCCTGTGTGGCTCAAAGACATTGATCCCAACTAGAAGGGGTGTTAGGCGTGCTATCCGTGGAAGGAAGTGCTGGGGAACGAATGTGCTCACCCAGTACGGCTCTCTGAATAACACCCGTTCCATGGTGTGATCATAACTCCATTGTGATTCATCAATGTCAGGAAAACATACCCTGTTCTTTGGTTAGTAGTCATTGACATTTGACAGCCAGAAACCCATCAACTTACGACACAGACGATTCATATCCGCGAGCCGAGCCTTGTCATGCATGTTAGCCACGTATCGGGATAATAAAAGCCAATGAAACTCACTAGCAATCAGTGTCCCAGAACGTGGGTTGCGCAAGACATGGCGGATACTGTAGGCGTTAGGCCATGGCTCAAAACGATGCAGTTCCCCACGGTGCAGTTGGCTGGCTTGAATGCGAGCCTGCTGTTCTTGCCTGGCGCGGGAGGAGGATTCGACCGCTCCAATCTCCCTTTGGAGGTTAACCAAGGGATGCCTCAACGATGCAGCCTTTCGTATTGTCTCTTTACTCTCGCGTTCTCTGAATCGTGTCTTGTTTTCACGTGTCTGTGATTGATTAGCGGATGGAATGATACACATAGGTCTTTCTCACTGACCGTCAGCTCAGACCGCTTTCGCTTCACAGATTGCTGTGAGTATTGCGCATTTGGAATTGCAGCATGGTTGGCTTGAATCTTGAAATACTTCTTCTTCTCCGGGTCTGTGAGACTCAGTTAGTATAAGGGACACAGGAGTTAGTGTGTGTAGCGGGGTAGTTAATCACTGCGGGTATAAGATAGTAGCCTAGAGGCTAGACAGTACAATACAGCTTGTGTGTGCGACTGACACACAACATCACCCGCCTTTATGTACTGTACTGCCCTCTCCTACCTCCTACCTCGGCAGAAGGGAAGGAACACACCAAAGCACGACTTACCATAATAGAACCCTGGAATTTCACGAGTCATGATTGCCGATAACACGCGGTGTGGAGAGGGCAAAGCTCAGGGAGAATGCACAAAGTGAGAGAAGAAGTCCAGCTATGTTCAGTTATTGAGATGGTCATGAGACATTCACTTTTCGAGTGTCTAGCACACACGAATAACCATAGTGCATTTGACCTCAACAGAGAAAAAAATAAACATGAACAAAGATCGGCCTATTTAATTAAGTATATGAGATGCAGGAGATCTCAAATCGATTTATACACGGAGTTAGTTATCCGACAGCTTTGAAGCTGAAGACTCGGGACCTCAGTGACGTGGGCTTATGTAATATGCTAGATTTAGGAATGGATGCCTCAGGCCACAATTTTGATATCTGCCCTAAAAAGGACGACGACGTACGACGTTGATCTATAAAATCGTTTGCTGTCATTTTGATTCTGCGCCAATGAATGCATATACAGACAATACCCCCCCGAATAGAGTAACTCCAGATTTTGATTTCCCTTCAATATACATGCCAATGAATGTTAGCATGATCGTACTTTCCCATTGTACTGAATATCAGGAAGCGAATACCTACATATGTATATTTTAAATATTAGGATTCGAGCTGTACTTAGTGTAATTGAATGAATAGGAATACTTTAAAGCCCACAATTTTGATTAGAATATTGTAAGAAAGCTTGTTAGATCTGCATAAACCACGGCAAGCTGGAGACAACGCCAACATTGGAATGGAAATAGAATGATGTTCGACTTCCATCTCCAGGCTCCGATAAGCTGATACGCTCTTCAGGGCTTCCATATTCTCTCTGAATTCCCCCTGTTGGCGGTGATTCCTCAGTTCTGCCACTTCCTTGACCCCTCTAGGCCACGATGAGTTCAAGGCAACGCAATGTTATAACCATGATTCTTTCTCACACATGCCGTAGCCTGGAGGATCAGTTCCAGGCTCCGATGAGCCGGTATAATTTCTCCGACCGTATGATTGCTCGGTATTTTGAGTCTCATTGCCTTGGTATCGATGAATTTCCATAGATGAAACGAAGAGCCAATTGTCGACAGTATTAGCTCATTCTGTGTAGACTGATAAAAGACAGTGTACATCGGACAAAGCGAAGGAAGAAGTAGGCAGGCGTTTGCAAGGAACCATGTTGTGGTTGGCGCCTAGTTGTCGTCGTCGAGGGGTCGTTCCTTCAGTAACAAATAGTCCTCGAAGCCTCGGCGTTACCACCCTTCTCTTCTCCCACACTTGCGACGCTTCACCTTCCCACAACACCTTTCTCCGTCACATCCCTTTAAACCAGAGAGTAAATCACTTCATTCAGGTGAGTATGTTCCTGGGTTATTGTTGTTTCATTTGTTCAGAGCCGGGTGTGTTTTGTCCGAAGGGTAGCAAGCATCCCCCCTTGGGCCTTCCCGTGCATGTTCCGTTCCATCTTGTTGTATCAGATCAATGATGTATCAGCGCACACCTTTTGTATGCATGTATGAAATGAGTTTGTGTTTCATTGTTTGACAGTTTGCTGATTTCTTTTCAGCTTTTGCTGCCGTTTCGCCATCATGGCCAGACCAAAGTCTGACCTGATGGATGAACGAAACGCGCCGCTTAGGAGTCATCCGCCGGAGAAGCCTCCAACTCAAGACCTCACGGACGAGGATGGTTCCCGTATTGCTATTGTTCCGCCGCATGGAAGCCTGCTTGATAGCGAGCAACGCGGCCGTTCTCAGGAAAGGGACCAGCAACGGAACCGATCTCTGAGTCCTTTCAAGCGACGAGACCGTTCGGAATTGCCTCCCATCCGGACCAGCGGCCTCGGAGGGTTTATTCCAAAGTCCTCCACTGGCCCTTTGAATAATTCGGACTCGGATCTTAACCGAGAGCGGCCTTTCTTGTCCAAGCTCCTCGACAAGTCTCCATTCCATTCCAGCAAAGCTACCACTTCCGGGGAGGAAGATCATGACGATAATCAGACTCAACACGACGCTGCTCAAGAAGCCAAGGATGAGGAAGATTACCACAACTTTTGTGTCAGCTTGAACAATAGCCTGAACAATAGCTTGGAGGATGATTCTCCCATTGATGAGGAACGGGAGTTTGAGCACTGTGACAGCATGGTATCCGAGCAGAAAGATCAAGTCAGACTATTTCGTTCCAGTCTGCTTGCTGGTGCCAAGGCCCAGGAAGATCGACTCAACCGTTCCAAGCGGACTCCGACCCCCCCTGACCATCTTCAAATTGGTTTTAACGGGGTTTCCGAACTTGAAATCCATGATTCCATCGTCAGCGAGAGCAAAGATTGCGTCGTTGGTGTTCAAGAAAATGACGAGTTTTCTCTTCCTGATACATTGAAACCCACTATCTCTTTCCAAGAAGAGAGCGAAGAATCTCTGGATTGCCTCATTGAAGAACTGGAGGCTGAAGATGGAAAAGAGCCTGATGTGGACGCAATCACAATCCGAGCTGGGGAACCTCCCCAATACCCTCCTTCCCTGTTGGACACTGATGTCAACAAGGGCCTGGACGACGCAGAAGTGGCCGCTCGGCGCAAGAAGTATGGCTGGAATCGCATGAAGGAAGAGAAACGGAACCATTTCCTCAAATTCCTTTCCTTCTTCAACGGCCCGGTCCAGTGGGTCATGGAGGTAAGCAAAACCATTCATTGACCACTTTAAAGTGGTTGGAAAAAGTATATGCTGACAGGTTCTTTCTCAATTACAGGTTGCCATTGTCCTAGCTGGCGGCTTGCAAGATTGGATCGATTTCGGAATAATCTCTGCCCTCCTCCTATTGAATTCCGTGGTCGGATTCGTGCAGGAATTCCAGGCGGGCAACATTGTCGACAGCCTTAAGAAAACTCTTGCCTTGAGAGCCCTGGTCGTTCGTAACAGTTGTGTGGTGGAGATAAATGCAGAAGAGGTGGTGATTGGTGATATTATTCACGTGGAAGATGTGAGTTCATGGCGCTCCGAGAAAAGAAAGAAAAAGGGGGCTGAGGCTAATATTCCTTTTAGGGAACAATCATCGCAGCAGATGGGAGGCTGGCATGTGACGACGCCTACCTTCAGGTTGATCAGTCTGGAATCACAGGGGAATCTCTCGCCGTGGATAAGCACAAAGATGATCCTATCTTTGCCTCGTCGGTAGTCAAACGTGGGGCTGGACTCATGGTTGTGACTGCCACTGGTGATCGTACCTTTGTCGGAAATGCAGCAGTCCTGGTGAACAAGGCTGGCAATACCACTGGCCACTTCACACGGGTCCTGCGTGAAATGGCCCGTGTTCTTCTGATTCTCGTGCTTTTCACCCTGCTCGTTGTCTGGATCAGCAGTTATTATCGCTCGAACCCGATCGTACAGATACTTGAATTCACACTCGCAATCACTGTGATTGGAGTCCCCGTCGGTCTTCCTGTGGTTGTCACCACAACAATGGCTGTCGGTGCATCCTATCTGGCAAAACATCAGGCTATCGTGCAAAAGCTCTCAGCAATCGAGTCGTTGGCTGGAGTGGAAATTCTTTGTTCAGACAAAACAGGAACACTCACCCGAAACAGACTGACACTGGGGGATCCATACATAGCCCCTGGAATGAGCGCAGAAGAGCTTATGCTGACTGCATGTCTTGCGGCAAGTCGAAAAAAGGGTGGGATCGATGCAATCGACAAGGTTTTCATCAAAGCTCTCCGCTACTACCCATGGGCCAAATCTCGGATCGCCTCATACAAGACTCTCGACTTTTCTCCATTCGATCCGGTGTCAAAGAAGGTCACGGCATACGTGCAGGCAGTTAACGGAGAAAGGATGATCTGTGTGAAGGGTGCTCCTATGACCATCCTGAGAACAGTGGAGAAGGAAACCTCACTGTGCGAGCCGTTCTTCAAGGAGTATGAAGCCAAGGTTACCGAGTTTGCCAGTCGAGGATTCCGTGCACTCGGAGTTGCTCGCAAGCGTCAAGGACAGCCATGGGAGATTCTGGGAATCATGCCATGCATGGATCCCCCCCGCCATGACACTGCTAAGACAGTCTCCGAGGCTCAAGATCTGGGACTATCCATCAAGATGCTCACTGGAGATGCAGTAGCCATTGCGCGTGAAACCGCACGTAGACTCGGTCTCGGAACCAACATTTACAATGCTGAACGCCTTGGTGTCACTGGTGCCGGCTCCATGTCTGGCTCGGAGGTGAATGACGTTGTCGAGGCAGCTGACGGCTTCGCAGAAGTCTACCCCCAACACAAGTACAATGTGGTTGAGATCCTCCAGCGACGCGGCTATCTGGTGGCAATGACAGGCGACGGTGTGAACGACGCTGCTTCGTTGAAGAAAGCGGACACCGGTATTGCGGTGGAGGGCGCATCCGATGCGGCTCGCTCTGCTGCTGACATTGTCTTCTTGGCACCTGGTCTGTCCGCAATTATCGCGGCGATCAAGATCGCTCGTCGGATCTTCCACCGCATGTACTCATACGTTGTGTTCCGCATTGCGCTTTCCATTCATTTGGAGCTCTTTTTCGGACTCTGGATGGTGATCAAGAACGAGACCCTCGACCTCCGCCTGGTTGTTCTTCTCGCGATCTTTGCCGACATTGCGACCTTGGCCATTGCATACGACAATGCTACTTATTCCCAGTCGCCTGTCAAATGGAACCAGCCAAGACTCTGGGGAGAATCTATTGTTCTAGGTTTCATTCTAGCAGTCGGGACCTGGGTGACGTTGGGCACCATCCTGTTGCAAGGCGAAGACGGAGGTGTTATCGAAGGCTGGGGTTCACGAGATGAGGTCTTGTTCCTGGAGATTTCTCTCACTCAAAGCTGGTTGATTCTGATAACTCGCATTAATGGATCTGGATCGGGCTCGTTCTGGGCCAACTGCCCATCGTTTTACCTCCTCGCTGCCGTGGCTTCTGTCGATCTGACCGCAACCATGATGGCCGCATATGGTGCCTTCGGTCAAGCCACATCCTGGTTAACTGTCCTCCGTGTGTGGATCCTTTCCTTTGGGGTGACATGTGTCAACGCACTGGCATACATCTTGATGCATAACTCACAGAGGTTCAACAACCTTATGCACGGCAAAGGTCCTCGAAAGAAGGATAGAGAGCGCTCGTGGGAAGACTTCGGTAAGTTAGCAGAAACTGAATTCTTTCTCACATCTTTGGTACGGGCAACTAACCAATCATAGGTCTTGACATGCAGCGAATGGCCAAACAGCATGAGAAGAGCAGTTAGTGGTGGGTTGAAAACCCTCCCATTACTCCTACTAGTGATGAAGATGAAATGATGATGATGATGAATGGCAAGATGCTTCGAATAGATGCATTTTAGTCATTTATCATATCGTGGAGGAAATATCGTGGAGGAAATATCGTGGAGGAAGAAGGAATGCAAAGCGGATGAAGTCTTGTTTCTCATCAGGCGACCCTTTGAGGTCTTGCCTGAACGTTCTTATTATTATTCGGACGCTGAACCCCGAAATTAACTGACCTTAATTTTTACCAGATTATCTTGATTCTTTTCCTGCTATTGTAGGTTCTTTTTGCTAAAACCTTTTGATACAGTAACAATCTTGGACTAGCGATTGTCGCCACCATAATACCTCGAAGCCTAAATAGAATCGGCGGACAATAATTTCCGAAGGAACCAAAACTTGGAGCAATTGAGTGATTCCCGCGGCCTTGCTAGGCAGCGTAGTCGCGTTACACGAGATGATCCCTATTTGGCGGGGATCGAGAATTGGAGCTTGAAGTTACCAAGTATGAGCCTAGGCAACGGCGAACCGAGATCCGGATATTGCAAGCAATTGCAATGTTCTCACAAATAAAATCGTTAAAGGCAGGGTTACTAATAGAAGATCAATGGTTTGAAACCGGCACGCAGTCTCGCTAATCCTGTATAGTTACAGGCTCTAAATTATTTTGCAGAAATGGGGAGGAATGAATGTGTTGAGTCAAGAATATAATTCAAGAAAGAAATGTGCGCAGTCGACATTGTATAAAGCTAAACGTGATGCTTACTAGGTACATAACCCACGAGTCCACGTTCACCTATGTGCATATCGAGCTATGTATGTACCCATATGGATGGATCCGCAGCCTGAGCCCCTCCACAGCCCTGGAGTCCTGGAAGGCGACGAACTACCTAGGTAAGGACTTATGGATCTACTAAGTGCCTGAAAGTCTCCGATGTCTAGAGAATGTTCCAGGATTGGAACTTTCCCTAGAGAATCCTAATCTTGCCCTAAAAGACCCCGCCAAACTGGATATGAGCTATGTGCAACACCCCAAGCTTGCTGTGATCACCAGTGACGTCAGTGAACGGGAATATGCACAATATCCCTGAAGTCATTAACTTTTGGATGGATTATATGAGATATGCACATGATCCTGAGAGACTATGTATGAGACTAACGCTAAGGAGAACTAATGAACTATAAAATAGATGAATAGTGGATATTCGTTGCATTAGAAAAAAATTATAAAACCAGTCAGGTTCAGTGTCTATTGCTGTAAAAGTCTACATTTCTAAGTGGGCGGTTCTATTCTAAACATCATCTTGAGAGGAATGGCCTGGAACAGTGGCCGTTTGTCTTGGCTACGAATTTAGCCTGTCTCCTCCCGGATCATGCGGGCATGACCCGTGTCAGAGTTAGGGCTATATAAGGGTGCCACTGTAGCCAAAGAGAATCATTCTATATTGATACACAATCTAGAGGCGCATCGTCATTCTCTGGGGGTCACCTTTAAGATCTAGATTGAATGAGCCTACAAGTTTAGCTCACTCATTTACTCAATCTTCAGATGAAATTCGACTCATTTGCACAAAGAAGAGCAAGACTTTGAATTCTAGCTTTGGAAAAGAGTGAAAGAAATACTTGTACATTATTCACGCTGTGCTAAAAAGACTCCACACATACAATGCCAATAACCTGCCTTCTCAATAGTATCAGGAACCGGAAACCCCCGACTCCACAGTGACCAAGCCAGAGTTGACCTCCCCCTCCGCAATTCAATCAGTGCTGGGTCTGGGATAGGCAATAGTCTAGCGAGGTCCCACCCCCAACAAAGCTATGTTTGTCCTCGGCATCAACCTCCCTCTGGAAGCGCTGTTGTCGACGGTACATCCGCCAGAAGACAAGACTGCCATGGATCTGAGCGGCGGAGAACGCAATATGCAGGAGTGGGGTGACAATTTTGAAGGCAAGGCGCCACCGGTCCCACGTGCTTCCAAACAGCCACATGGTCACAATTGTCTCAGTGGCTGTTCCCAATGCAGTTGTAAAACAGGAGAAGAGAAAGACCCGACTGAGGAGGCGGTGTCGTTCGGGGAAAACGCGGTAGAGAACGATAGCAACGTGAGGGAATAACTCGAAAACGGCATCGAATGCGCCTAAACCCCATGTCTATTAGTATTTCGTTGTTTTCTTTTTGCCGTCAGCCTAGAGCCCCGTGTACTTACCCCAGACAGTACAGAGGACAAACTCGATGTACGCGTCGGGCTCGCGTAATGGTCGCAGACTGATGGCGATGGCCGCTTGCCCAATGAAGATTGTCCCGACGTGGTGCATCACGGCCACGGGTGACAACTTCATGCGGTAGATCAACTCGAAAATGTATATCCCAATCAACATTTGGGACACAATGATCATGATGTCCCCCAGTGTCACTGATGATCCAGGGGCATAGGGGGTGTTGAATGATGGCCCTCTGCAGAAAGCGATACTGACGAACGGGTATGCGGCAACGATCAAAATGATCACTTTGGTGAGACCAGCGATATGGTGATTCACGAAGCCACGGCGGTTCAGCTCACTCATTTCTGTGTATTTGGAGCCATACACACGACGGATGAGAAATCCTTCGAGGATGTAGTAGCGAACGAAGAAGCATATTACCAAGACGATGGATACGATCAAGGCGGAAAATGGAGCCAAATCGGATATTGGACCTAGCTCTTTTGTAGTCAGAGCAATTGGGCGAGAGTGTCGTGGAAGAAGTTCCATTTTTGTGTATTTGACAAACGAATGTATTTTGAAAAGAAGTCAGAAAAAAATGAGAAGGATCGATAAAGAGAGATGACAATGTGCAAGTAGGTAAAGAATGAAGTAAGCTTGTTATACGCGGTATTTGTGGCACGCGTTGGGCACTGTGGACTCTGAAGTCAGAAGGGTGAGGATGACTGGGGAATGAGTTGTAGCGAGGATCTCGGGGACAAGGCAACAACCTCAGGGACCCCGTGGCCGAAGAGGGTAGACCCCGCATACCCCCAGTACCTAGACATTGCACCACCTGCGCTAAGCAGCCACGATGTTATAGGTAAATTTTTCACTGGCCCTAACATTCAGCCCCACAGAACATACGAAGTTACACTAAGCTCACTCTTTAGCTGAATTTTTTTTTGTCTTACATTGAAAAATACTTTATACATAAATGGAAGCCAAGTTACTAGATTAAAAATAGAACTAGAGTCCTCTGTCTTAAATAAGTTCCAAGGGTGACAACGAGAATCAAACCTCGAAATGAAAAATTAAGCCCAAAGCCAAGCTTTGCTTGACCGGCGGCAAAGGCTTAAATAGTGGGTACCACAGGTACAATACATTCTCTGATTGGCTGAGATGCTACCTTCAGGGTCATTTACCTAACTAGTATCGGTTACTATACCTCGTCCAGCCCTGTCTAGGCAACAGGATAAATAATGGGGTTGCCTTCCCAACCGGGCGTAATTCGGATTTTTGGATTTTTGGATTTTTGGATTTTTATATTTTTATATTTTATTTTATATTCTATATTTATGGACCACGGAGTACACTCAACCCCCCAAAAAGGGGAATTAGGTTGCCTGGAAAATTTCCCACTTTGGAACCTTTCCGGGGAAAAGTCAATTGGCAATTGGTCATTGAAATACAATAATAGTCGCTTATTCGGCCTCGGCACATGTTTTTAATAACCCTTTTTTTAGTACATTCTGTCCCTCCTAAACCTTTGTGTGCAGACGGCAGAAAAGGTGGGAGAAGGCCTAATTTGTGAAAGTGACTCTTCTATAACCTTTAATAAGTAACTATCATACGGATTCTACATAAATTCTCTCCTTGTCACAAACAAACGCGACTTGAGCTAAAAGGAATAGCCAGAATATTCCATGCATACATAGCGGGTTTCATATAAAGATATTTTTACTCATCGTGTCATTCTTTAACAAAGTATCACATGTTAGGGGAAAAGTCACGTTTTTCACTGCTATCTCCGGAGTTCATATGGTCTCGCTTATATTACAAAGGATGACCCGGATCTCATATTCATAAAGCCTGAAGACTACCAACGATATCATCCTTGAATCTACCATTTGCTCATCTCAAAACTGCCCAAAGGCGACGCAGGAAATTCAAGGAGCGTCCTTCAATAGTTGTCCTCCATGCCCCAATGCATGACCCCTGTTTATACATAGAAAAGTCTCTTGCACAAAGTAAGCCTTTTTTACCGCGTTCACATACATTTAGAAAAACATTTAGAAATAGAAAGAGCAGCTGAAAAGACATCTCAAGAAGACCAGCTAGAAAGACCTACTAGAAAGAGATCACAAGGTCGCGAACGCGGCCGACTATTCTTTTCATTGTGCTTAAAAATGGCTTTGCATATTTGAAGACAATGTCTGTGCTCATACAGAAGGAAACATGCCCAATGTGGGGAAATCATCATCCCAAGCCTAAAAACGGTCAGACCTTCTCATAATAGCCCTAATAACAAGTTATCTTACCATTTCATCGATAAAGCTCGGAATATCAAACAAAGCATTGAGGGGGATTTCGATTTCGGGGTCAAGAGACTCAGGACTAAGAATCGTTTGAGTTAAAGCTCCTATTCGATCAACACCTTGTCGTAATTCATTTGCCGCGTCATAAGCTCCTGCCTGCTGAAACATATGAGCTGCTTGTCGTACTCTGGCTAGAAGCCTCTGGGAGTCAACAAAATTGTACGCCAACGGAAGGGCTTTAAAAATGAAACTGATAGCGTAGTATGTTGGTGTGCAAAAATAGTCCTATAGAGCCATTTTCCGGTTAAGAACAATCGAAGATCAAAGAAAAAAGGGCTCAACCCAGGGACGAATGCAAATTTCTCCACTGCACATACCATTGTGTATTGAAATGCTCGCTTGAACTCATCAGACTCGTACTGAGTCTGGATTATTAGACTTGCGCTATCCAAGGCTCGCTGGATAAATTCTACTCGGGCGGGATCAGAGGTCAACTCGTCCACCGATCCCACACCCTGCAATGCTAGGCCGTTTATATAGCTGCAGAAATGGGGAACTGATCAGTTCATGGATTTAGAGGATTTATTTAGTCTCGTAACTCACAGCTTCATGAAGGCAAATGGCATTAGAAGTCGGTTTCTATCCTGCCTCTCTGGGAATGTTTGATAGAGTGGATGGATGTTGTTGTTGATTTCATGGAACCATTGATCAACCTTTTCATCGGCGGAGGTGAAGAGATCAACAACCTCTTGCAACAAAGGTTTAGCCGTCAGTTGAGAGCTTTTAAGTTGCCCTTTCAAGTTCCCTAGCAAATGGTTAATGTGACGAGGCGTAAACTTAAATTCAAATATGACATGCTCACCAGTTATCGTAAAACCTTTGATATAGGCACGGATTCTGTCATCTACGGGGCGATGATGTGGAGACATGGCGATATACTTTGCATAAGGTAAATAGTCCCTCATGTTGTTAATGACGAAGGGCCGGCTGATATTCGTTCTGTGGGAATTTAGTGAGAGCCCAAGAGGCATAATATCGTTAAACTCACTGCAGGTCTAAGCAACATAAAGTAAACCAGGTCCTCGCACGCCCAACAAGATCTGGGGTATACTCAGTCTCCTCATCTCCAATTAGGATAGCCGCCTCATGCAACTTCAGCTCAGTGGCGACTGATGCAATGTAGCCTATTAGACGGGTCCGACCGGTCCATGTTGCGAATACTATCATAGCCTGCAATCCAAGTAGGTCGGGAACTGGCCCTTGGAACGTGTGCATAATTAATTTGTCAACGGTAGCGACATATTCTTGATATTTTGCGGGTCTCACAGCCCTTGATGCGATTGCGCATATGACAGCTGACATGAGTGGGTGATTTTTGATAGTTTCACTCGGCGAATACAACTGGTCATCTATCACAGAAATGACCGTGGCGCACTTGGCGCAAAAGAAGGCGTATAGCTCATCCCATTCACTCTCGGTAGTGATAATAGAGGACTCAATGTTGGAAGATGGGATATCCGTTTCCGCAACTGAGAGGGTTGTTGGTCTACGCTGCGAGAGCAACCTCTGGGAAAATCCCGCATCGCTGTTATGTGATGCTCCGGCAACTTCTGCTCGCAAATTCTCAATTTCAAGTCGCAGCTCTTGCTCTACCAAGTCCAATCGCCGCTGAAGATGGGCTGTTTTGGCGCTGCGTCATTATCAATGGCTGTTCAAAACGAAAAAAAAAATCAAAACCTCAAAAAAAAAAGGATAGTGATCATGAATACAACGAGAATCTTACTCGATATCTGATACGGTTGATGCCGGCTGGGCTGCCTTTGGAGGGACGAAGACACATTCAGCATTGCTCACTCGGCATCGTTGGCATGGTATCTTGCTGGGACCGCCACATTTGAGCTTCTGTCTCCTACAGCGCAGACAGGCCGAAAGGGATCTGGAGTTGGTACTGTGTGAGAAGGTGTGATACAGGCCATAAGCTGGAAGCGTACCTATTTCCATCGCTCATGATCATTAGCCAAAGTGGGTATGTTGAATGAAAGGAGGTGGAAGACGAACCAGAATCTAGACTGTGTACCGATAGACTGCCGATAAGCGGACCAATCTCACGATAGATACCTTGGAGCCTTAATATTAAGTTACAGCCATCGCTAGTTAACTACATATGTAGTTATTTTAATATTTAGTTAACAAGATATCAATTTTTTCCATGGGCCTTACAAGCCTGATGGAAATAAATAGCCCCGCGTCTCAAGGCTTCATTAAAGTAACAATTAGTCCGCAATCGCGGGTGGTGAATTGGGGACACATTCGGCTTCGGTCCGACCGATGCCGACACTATATTGATAAGGGGACTAAATTATTTTAAAGGGTTATGATCGTAACTCAGTGGCTTGATAAACCCCAAAAGTTCTCTAAATCGCTGAAGCACCCTCTCGTCTTGTCATTCTCAGATATTATCGAGAGAAGTTCCCAAATCAAAGCAGAATAATGACAGCGATCACCTTCCCACACTCTCATGGAGATAGAGATGCAGTCTCAGATAGCCAAGATGTCGAGGATATTCAGAATATCCTGCGCATAATCGATTCAAAATCCCAGCAACTGTGGGAAATTAATCAAAAGGTACAATCGATCATGGTCCTTGACGTCTTTTATCCAACGTGCTAATAATCTAATAGATCCACAGCAATCCAGAGCTCGGTTACAAAGAATTTATGGCCCACGACAATATCACATCGATGCTCGAAACCTTAGGCTTCAAAGTCACCAGGCATGCCTATGGCCTCGACACATCATTTGTTGCAGAATACGGCCACGGGGGTAGAGTGGTGGCCTTCAATGCGGAGTACGATGCCCTTCCAGGAATTGGCCATGCCTGTGGACACAACCTCATTGCCATGATGTCTATTGGTGCCTTTCTAGGAGTCGCCGGCGCTCTTGAACAGCAAAATATCCCAGGACGTGTTCGTCTTGTGGGAACACCTGCTGAAGAGGGGCTTGGTGGAAAGATTCCTATAATCAACGCCGGTGCTTATAAGGACGTTGATGCATGCATGATGGTTCATCCTGGCCCCTTCTCTGAGTGCCCTGGCTTTACCGGTGATGCGTACATGCCTACACTTGCAAGCCTGAAAGTCACCATCCGTTTCACGGGAAAGACGGCACACGCTGCTATGGCTCCATGGGAAGGCACCAATGCACTTGATGCAGCTGTGCTATCTTACAGCGGCATAGGTGTTCTGCGTCAACAGATGCATCCTTGCAATCGTGTGCACTGTGTCATTTCTGATGGTGGGCTCCGACCAAACATCATCCCGGGCTCTTCAGCATTGGACTGTTACATCAGATCTCCCACAGTAGCAATGGCAGAGGAACTCTTTGTGAGAGTGGAGAATTGTTTCAAAGGTGCGGCCTTGCAGGCTGGATGCACTATGGAGGTTCAAAGGTTGTGGCATATTTTCCATTGTTTATAGCCGACCATTAGCTGACACAAGAAGCAGACACAATACCTACGCTGATTTAAGACCAAACAAGCCTTTGGCAACAGCATATGCACAGGCAATGTCTCAAATTGGAACTGAAGTGCGGTGCGACTTGAACTCATCTGGGGTCCCAGGATCAACGGACCAAGGTCAGTTCTTACCTCCTTCATTTAGATAACATTCTATATGTCGAACTTTGTGACTAATATATTATGCCAATAGGAAACGTCACCTACGAGTGTCCAGGTATTCAGGCATATGTTGGTATCCCAGCGGGTCCCGGAGCGAATAACCACACACCTGGGTTTACCGCGGTGGCAGGAAGCAAAGAGTCTCATGAACTCTGCATCCATGCGGCAAAGGGGATGGCTATTACGGGCCTGAGTATATTGAAGAATGACAAGTTTGCTGAAAAGGTCAAGTCTGATTTTGAGGAAGACAAGATACGACGTTCCCTAGGTTCAGAACCTAGGATGCTAGCCCAGAATGCAGGATTTTGCTAACTGTACATAACTTATTTTATAGAATATATACAGACATTGTATATGTTTGTCGGCAACATTTATTATGATGGCTCACTACCCCTTTTCTGTGGGAGATACAGTTGTACTCCTTTAGACTTATATCCCCCAGGTCCTTCAAATGCACAGGGACTAAATGTAGTCTTTATATTTTTCTTCTTCTAAACCTCCGCTTACAGATTCAGGTAAGAAGTTTGGTTTGCGCTAAAATATACTACATACGAGATCTATAGTTTTTGACTTGATAATCATTACATCCCTTAATCTGCTTGTCACGGTTCACCAGTTACTGGACTTGGTGATGACTCGGTACTTTTATGTTGATCCTTTAGCGTATTGCAGAAGTGTGACCGAGAACGGATGACATCGCCTTTCCATATCAAAAGGAAAGGGATAATAGACATCACTGCGCTGAGTCCGCCTAAGAGACTGCAAGTTCCTGCGATTCCCAGATGTGAAAGCATTGGATAACTAGCCAGGGGAAGGAAAGTCGCAAGGAACGAGCGACTGCAACTCGATGCCGCGTTGGCCGATGCTGCAAACATCCCATATGCGTCGGTCACATAGTTCCTATTCCATGCCATGTCAGTGAATATTCATCTTGGAATATCAGGATCAAGCTAACTTCTCACTCACAGAATAGCAATGAAGATACACATGAAGCCCATTCCAAAAGGAATCCCGGCTATCATAGGTACTGCGAAAGGTACATCGAGACGAGAAGCCCAACCCAGCCAGAAAAGGGAGATCACAAATAATGGGCCACCTAAGCAGGCAAGTGGTAGACGATAGTATTCCTCCTTGAGTTCCGTAGAGGAACTGTGAACCACCCGGCGCAAGATTTGCTCATACATCCAATATACCGACAGACTTAGCACACAGCCGGCACCAATTGTCAGCTGGACCAATCCACATTGACCTGGTGATAGACCATAAAGTTGCTGGAAGACAGCCGGGAAGACATTGAATGACATGTAAAAAATGGAGTAGCACAGGGCCAAGTACATAGAGCATGCACTAACGATGGGTTCTGTGAACAGAAGGTACAGAGGACGTAGGAGTACATCACCGATAATACGTCTCCATGATCGGTGTTGTTTGTTAGTGGCTGTTGGATGGGGAATCATCGAATTCTCAGGGGCATATTTAACCGTAATGGTTGTTCCATATGTTTCAGGAAAACACACAACAAGAATGTTTGTTACTCCTGCAAATATTAGGGCAACCCAGAAAGACCAACGCCAACCTAAGGCTGGGGAGGTAAAGCCCGATACGATAGGTCCGAGCATAGGACCAAAGCCGGTGACCTGGGCTTATGTCAGAGAAGAAGAAGAAGAGAAATGGAACAGTATGAGTGTATGGAGGACACAAGTTTGATACATACTCCCATGAAGACGGCTATACTCCAACCTCTAGGCCTGGGATCCTGGTAAATATCCGCTAGAATGCCAGGACCAAGTGCGACGATTGCGCTCCCAAAGATTCCGGTAAAAAGCCTGAATACCAAAAATGAGGCCCAAGTAGGGGCTAAAGCGCAAGCCATTGTGAATATTGTAAAGAAGGGGAAAGTCATAATAACAATTAAACGACGTCCGAACTCTTCACTGAGTGGCGCCCATACAATTGGACCTTCATGAAGACAACTAGTTAGTTCAATCTCGGGGAGTTACCAAAGTTCAAACTTACCGAACACATAGCCTATATCAAATTTAGAATTAATGTTTGTGTTTGTCGAATAGAATACTTACCGACTAGAAATATAGACATCGGCAATGCCTTTTGCAATTGAGACTCCACAGCAAATTCCTTCGTGATTGATTGAATGGCGTTACCAGTCAACGAGCTTCCCATGCTGCTGTTCAGAACCACCAACATCGTGGTGAGAAATACAGCGGCTTTTTTCGCCTGCAGTTCCGTCAATAGATTTCGCTGCGATTGGATGGGAGACATACCGAAGACCAATTGTATGGATTTCGGGTATCAGAAGCCCAGTCAAAGGAAGAAACGTCCGATATCATTATACTTTCTTGGCTAGCCTCCTTTCCGGGCATCGTGATTTGTCTGGTATGAAGTGTAGAAGACAACGGTATTTGACCTCGCCTTTGAAACTCAACGTCTATTGATTTGCTTTTGGAGCTGGCAGGAGGTTTAGCCAGATAAACGAATGTCACGCGAGACAGAAAGAAAAATACTGAATGCGAAAGACGGTATATAATTTCAATCCTTGAGTAATGTAGCTTCGTTACCTACATGTACCTGTGATCACGATCACGATCGGTCGGGCCGAATGCCGAATGGCCCGAACCGGAGCAAGTCCCGGTACTGTACAACCCAACCCATATTTGACTCCGCCGAGGGGCCAATATGAACTCATAAAGCAGTTGCTTTGGCTATGTACATTCTTACGATTCTCTGTCTTGTTCAGCATTGCCTGACTTATTGTATTTGCAATTGGGCATCAACGCGTCAACATTAGGAATGTACCAAACTCAAACACACCCTCGCACTCCAACCCTAGCCTTGGTCAACCTTCCGAAATTCTCATAATGTCTGCCCCAGGCATCACCCACACCGAGACAAGCTTCAAGCTCTACGAAGGAGAGCAGCAAAAGGTTATCACTGGCCACCCAGTGGTATACAAATATATTGCTGGGGACAATGACCCGTCCAAGCCCCTCGTGACATTTGTCCCTGGCATGGCCCATAACGGACGCATTTCATACGGCGGTCATGAAGGATACCGCAGCGAAGACTTTCTAGCGCACTGGTTCCATGACAATGGATATGGATTCTTGGGCATTTCCTATCCACTCGACTCGGAACCGCCCTTGATGCCAGCTACCAGCCCCGCTTTCACGATCCCCAATTGGGGTGTCCAAGCCGCGGAAACAATCAAAGCAGTGATTGAAGAGCACCATCTTCCTCAAAGCGTTGTGATATTGGCTTGGAGCATGGCTGGAAAGGTCCTTCAGCCTGTTACTGTTGAGGCTGGAAGACTTGGAATCGATGTAAAGCTCTTTGTGTCGCTAGCAGCTACCCCTGCCCTTCCCGGTAGTATTCCTGCTGAATGGACGAAACACCTTGATCAGACAGACTCGGGTTATCTGAATCTGCCTTTTTTGAAAAAAGTATTTCTGCAACAGATTGATGAACAAGAAAAAATCAATCACCTCGAAGGTCGTCGTCTCATCGAACCTGTCATCTATGAAAAAGATTATTTTGGTGCTACGCCTATCGGCATCACGACCTTTGGATTCCGGTTTGATAATGAGACAAAGCAATTTGTGAGAGAAGAGAATAAGTGGCAGTTGCTGGAAGATGGTCAGGCACAGAATTTCGGTAGCCTGCCTGCTATGGCTGCCATCTACCCCACAAGTGGACTGGATTTCCGTCATGCGATCACCGACAAGGCAACATGGTCCTACTTGATGATCCAGCGTGCAATGGCGATGTTCAATGAAGATAATAGAGTAAAACAGCTCTCTCAAGTCAAAGATGCCGTCTCTGCCCACAAGTTAGCTGCGGAGAGATCATCCTTCCAAGATTTGCAGAAAGTCGTCTTGGGGATCCCGGAGCTTATGACTGCAGATACCCTGGGTAATCACTTCTTCTTTTGTGGCGAGAGTGGAGCAAGGAGAACGGTTGAGACTGTGATTGGGTTCCTTTCTAGCTCGATCGTTGTTCAGCAAAATCTTGAAGATATGCTTGACGCCTGTAGCAGGGAAGCCACGGCACCATATTCCAACACATCATGAATTAATTACTTCCATATCCAATGGCGTTACCTGTGGGGGTAGTCCCGGGAGTTGAAGGGTCCGATAAAGGGGTCTGAAATGCCAGAGATACAAAGGAGTAGAAAAATGATAGGAGATAGTATACCACAATGTTGGACAAAACCTGGAAAGGATTAGAGAGCGTAAGCGACCAAATCATTGCGGGCACTCTTAGATCCCCAGAGGTTTTCCACAGCATTGTTGATAATCATCGCAAGATATTCGAAGATTACATGGGTTCAGGGATGAACATATAGAAGAAGGGGGTTTGAAACTAGGAATTCTGTGAATGTCGAAAATGTTAGTGTAAGATATTGCATGTTTGGGAAGGTTCTTCTTCGAGGACGATATTAGAATACCTTGCATGGATTTATAGACTGGGTAGCCTAGTCAAGCTTTTTAGGGAGGGATATAAAGAGGCATCTCGCCCAAATTGTCATGGAGAAAGGCAGGCATTTCTATCTTCCGACGCAATCACTATCCTTGAGGGCATTGAGTTTTCCTGGTCTCTTGTTAGACTTCTGAACTTTGATTCGACCGACGATTTGCGTCTTTTCTGCACCCTCTGAAATAAAGTTCATGATCTTGACTACGATCTTGAGTCTTTTCTTACCTCACAGAGATACTTACCCTATTATGGGCAGCTGTGCGAAGAGAGGCAGGCAGAGGACAGGCCTATTGCTGGTATCCGAAAAATGAGAGAAAGACTATTTTAGGAATGGCATTGATTTTACAGTGGCAAAAACCTCACTGTGTTTTCGAATTGGGAGTTTCGCTATAAATCGCATTTGAATCGTTCCCCAAATGCGAGTATGTTCATTACAAATCCAAAAAGATGGGCGTGTGTGTTGAAAGCTAAAGAGCAGCGCGATTTATGATCGCCTCCAAGGGATACAAACAGTATTAAAGATAAACAAGAAGTAGCACGAATCAAAGTAGCCAGAACTAGGTTTAAATATCCTTCCCAAAAAAGGGAGGTTACTGTATACTTTATTCATGTAAAAGTTGTCTACCTCTAGGGCTTTTATATATATATTAACTTCTCGATGTCTTGTCCGTCTGGATATATCGTTCCAGCAGCGCTTTCGTGGCAGATGCTGCCGTCGCGGCTGCAAAGTGTTGCCAAATCTTGTTCTTGTGGCTGTCTGCGTAGTCACAAACAGCCTTAACCACGATGCAGGGCACCTCATCCCATACCCCAGCACCTTCCATCTCGAATGCAATGAGCCTGTGACGCTTGGCAATCCTGTCACGGTCCTCGCCAGACTTTACTACGGTGTCGCCTGACCCGATACGCCCAACAAAGATTGAAGGGGCTTGGGCTTCCTGGTCACGCCCTTCCTGCTCTAGCTGTAGCTTCGACTCGAGGCGCTCCCGTCGCACTAGGTACTTGTTGTCGCATCCGAGCTCATCACAGAACAGATCTTTGGATTCCTTGCAAACAAGGACATGTTTTTCACGGCTTTTTGCGCAGAGACATTGAGGGGAGATATGGTGTTTGTGCCTGTAGTTTGACTGGAAGAGCTTGTCTTGGGCGGCTCCTGGATACTGGTATTTGGCTCTGCGTCGTCTTCGAGAGGGGCTGTTTTGAATTTTCTGGAGGTGAATAGCAGTCTTTTGCTCTAGTCTGTCGCGTCCAAGGTTTGTCTCGAATATAGCAAGCAAGTTTCGTACGTTCTTCGGGGCTCTGCCAAGGCTGTCCTCCACCATATCTCTCATCACGAACTCGTCGGGATATTGCCTGCCTAGATCGTATTGCACGACGCACTTGCTAAGGACCACGTCGCCGAGGAGAAGCTCTTCGTCCCCTTCTGGATGTGGCACGCCGCCGCAAATTCCAGTCACAAGGATGAGCCTCACTCCTGGATAGCTCGATCGAAGGCTGGCGGATGTGCCAGCAGCGCTGACCTTCCCCATGGTTTGGAGAAGTACTAGAACGATGTCGAACTTTCCAATGCGTCCCGTCGTGTATGTGTTCGGATCTCCATTAGCCCTCCCATAGTAGTCGCAGTCCTCGTCCCAGAATTCGTCCATGAGTAAAGAGACGGCATCGTATTCAAGCGGTAATGCGCATACTATCGCAATCTCAAATTCATCCCGGCTAGCGGGGCGCCCAGTTCTCTTGGCGGACAGGTTAATGGCGCGACCGGGTAGCACCTCATATGAGTCCATATCTGGTGGCGATGAGATTGTGAGTTTTTTCGCAAGCGGAAGCCTGGACACTGAATCGCGTCGTTTTCGTTTCGAACTTTGAGGGTTCACCATGAGCTCAAGATTCCGGACTACTTGGTCGTAAATGACCTTCCTCAATACCTCACTAGCAGAGGCTGTTGTTTGGTCATGAGATTTCGGCAAGGCCATATGCAGATACAGACACCCTTCCACAGCCTTAAGGTAGTTGCCACTCCCTTCTCTTTCTGCTACGTTAACGAAGGCGCACATCTCGCCCCATTTTGATATGTTAGCTTTGCTTTCAGGGTGGATATCCATCGGTATATGCTCGCCATTGTCAATTTCAAGCAGGAGCCTAGCGAATGAAAGGAGGACTGGGTTGCCGGGTCCAACTGTCTTCAGTAAATCGGGTGCTTGATAACCCGAAGGCTTCGGCCTAAGCGAGATATATGGAACGCGGTTACTCGCGTGGGCGCCAGAAGAGCGTATGAAAAATATGCTTTCTGGTTTCCAACTGTACGAGGCCAATTCAAGATCCTCGTCGAAGAAGTCCATCAGACATCTAGCAAGCGCAAGGGCTAGCGTGGCCTTCTCCCGAGAACTGAACTTCTCCTTTGTTGCACCTTCGAGGTAGTCCCGCGGGGTGATGCGCCTGAAGGCCTGTTGATCGAGCAGTTCACCGAGGGACTCTGCAGTGAATTTATCCAAGGACGACAATTTTGGTGGCATTTTATCCGAAATATCGAACAACCCTCGTTCGTCAACGAAAGCATAGAGCTTTCTACCCCGCCCCCTTGCTCGTTGAATCGCTGCACATATGCTGTCCTTCTCCGCAACATCAATTGTTACACTGATCATCGGTCAAAATGAAACTCACTGAACTTAGACTGGTAGGATAAACTTACTGGAATGAGCCACATTTGGCTTCCTGCCAGACATTTCCGTCCGGACAGGAAGAAAGGAACATTTCTAGGGCAGTTTGGTAGGGACCAGTTTGCCAGTCGTCCGACACTCTCAGCTTGATTTCGTGTACCTTTCCACAATTATGATATCGAAATTCCTTGAATATTGTGTCTACCACAGCGCTCGCCCGCTTTTGACGCAAGTCAGGCTGGTCCTGTGATGGCTCTTGAGCCGAAAATTCCTCCTGTTGCAGGGAAGTGAGTTGAAAGCCCTGCGATTTCTGTGTGCCAACCGCGTATTGTTCTAGGAATGCTTTCCATTTGGTTACGCGGCCCATCGCAATATTGCCAGCCTCTCCTTGAGGCAGTGAAAATAACAATAAGCCTGGACCGGTTGTTAAATTGAACTGGTCCGGGGAAATATCCAAGAATTCAAACAGGGCAGTCAGTCTTGGGTACTTGTCGCCAAGCACCATGATATCGTGAGGGGCTGTACGTGAACGCTTGAATTGTCCACTTTCAGGCGATTTGGATTCTTGACTGTTTGATCCTTCCAAAGACTCGATAAGATCTCTGTTGACCATATCGTTTAGCGAGGCCAGAAGGTTTTGTGCCATTTGGTCCATATCGTAGTAGTCATGCTCCGAGACATTGAAAGCCATCGGTGTTTTCGTGAAGATGTGGCGCAGGTCAGCCTCGAAGAAGGCGGCATCGTTCTGCAACTTGTGCGGGCGGCTGTCAAGCATTTTGTTCCTCGTAAACCTCGCTAGTCTGTCAGACAAGCGTGATTTGAGAGTTTGGAGGCCATTCCACCCAAGCGATTCGGTCGGAAGCATTGTTGGACTATCTTTGCGATGTTGCTGTCTCACAGATATGTTCCTAGCATGTGCCGCCACGCTTGGAGCATACGGAGGAAAACCTTAGGATAATGCTTGAAAGGCACAGTAGTAATTAGTTAACTATCATAAAGTTCCCCCAGGAACTCGAGATCGGGGTTTGGCGGCTCCAAACGTGGCTAGTCACGTAAGGCGGGCCCAGCCCCGCCTGTGCCGCAGTTGGTCAAGTCCACTCAACACCGCATTCTCCTTGTCGGGGCTGTTCCGCTTACTCACTGGAAGCACGAAGATAACGGTAAACTTCGAGTCATCCAGATCCAATCACCTGTATTCACACACCATATCACACACGATTTTGCCGGTCCAAAATTCTACACCATTCATAAACTGGCATTTCTTGGTATGTCAGCTCTAGAGTCTATAGTAAGAATTTTGTGTAGGCGGTAACAGCCATCGGGCGGTAAAAAGATGTGGGGTGTTGTTCCACTTTTGGATCATCCATGGATGACCGTATTCCAGATCCATAGATAGTCCACGGGTACAGAGGTTTCCCAATAAGCTTATTTATCTAACCTTGGATCCTAGGAAGGTTTGACAGCCCAACCCCGTACATTTTCCAATCATAGTCATTGTCAGGTGTTCAATTTAGGGGGTTCGAGCAAAGCCAAAGCCTTGGGCCCTGCCGCAGACTCACATCCTCTATTGTCCTCCTTGAACCAGTGACCATGGAACCTATTGAGCATGATGAACCAATATTTGAACTTGCTGTTGAATGTGAAAGGCTATATGCAGAGCAGATTTCGAGACTAAATGACGACGACGAGCCAAATGGTGCAACCATGCTTTCGGAGCTGAACCAGCGATTTGCCGCTTGGGCAGCCTTCCTAGGTGTCTTTGCGGAATCGAAAATGTGTTTGGATCGCAGGCTTCGGCACCATGTCGAAATCCAAGATCAGGTGCTCCTTCTACTAGACATCATGCAGAGGAACCTAGCCTACTGTATCTCATTCTTTCTCCCCTGCTATGGCATTAAGAACTAACAGCATATAAAGTATTTGAACCGGACTCTCCGGAACGCATGGAAATTGAGCCATCCGACGTGCGCCAGCCCCTCCGTGTTCGTATGTCCAGCCTGGAGGCAATTTCTGGAGCCATCGAGCGCCTTAACCATCTCGGAATCGCCATCCGACAGTCATCAGTGACAAGTCAAACAACAAAGATCAGAAAGTTCGCAGAGACACATGACTTCACCTCTTTCGAAGAAATCGCATATTTATCCCTCAAAGCACTCTATGCTGACGCAAGCGATAGCCTCCTTGAACAGCTCACCCAGTACATGACGGAGACAAACGCCCAGTTCCTTCGTCGCAAATCTCGCCAGGAACAACTCCAAGCCCCACGATCACAACCCCGAACATCAAGACCACTATACCCTATCGCGGAGCAGCCGGCTGCAGATACCGATAACGGAAGCCCCATAGATCTCGAGATGGAAGAACCTCCGCCAAGCACAAGTTTGACTGCAAAGGCACTCCGATCTCCACAGCGTCAGGCAGTTCGCATGTTGCCTCACTCTGAGCCTACGTCTGTGGACACCCAGGAAGTCAAAAACAAGTTCAAAAAAATGTTGAGCCCCTCTCTAAGAGACAAAACAATGTCTATCCTGGCAAATCAGGTAGACTATCCCCGATCAGCCAAAGGAAGCTTGACCTGCGAGTGGTGCTTTAGTCCCCTCCAGACAGACTCATTGAAGGGAGTTAAGTGGCGGTACGAACCCCTCCAGTTTCACTCTGTGCTCTCAAGAAACGGACGTATTCTTCTAACACAGATCCTAGGCAACATGTGAATGAAGACCATAAGCCTTACGTTTGTATCTCAGAGAAGTGCTCCGAATCATTTCCCGGATTTGCGACCTCGACGCAATGGTTCCAGCACATGCTTACCACTCACGGCCCAAACTGGCATCGGGAAGTGCACGCACCGTCTTCATGGGCTTGCCCGTTGTGTACGGAGGAAGACGTTAATTTTTCCAAGCCGAGCGACCTTACCGCGCACCTTGAAAATTTCCATGAAGGCACTTTTACGGAGTCTCAAATTCAGGCCATCGTGCAGCAAAGTCGGTTTCGATTGCCTCGTCCGCGAGATATGTGCCCTCTCTGTTGTCTTTTCATAGAGGACCAACATGATCCTCGGTCTAAGGAAGCAGGCAATGGCAGTGGAGAGTCGTCTTCCAAGAAACCGCACTACAATGCAAACTCGGAAGGTAGCCACAAGCGTAACAAGACAGAAACTGGCCACACACGGTCAGATCAGAACAGTGAAGACCGCCTTGAAACAAGAATAGAGCAGGGAGAATCAAAGACTACAGTCGATCCATGCTCCAGCAATCCCGTCAGTGTCGAAGTGATTGCGAGCCATATAGCTGCACATCTTCAGGGTGTCATGCTTCTCACACTGCGCTTAATATCCATAGATGTCGTAATGGACGTTTCAGCGGATACCTGGAGTGCGTCTGGCGCAACTGACCATCAGTCGTCGTACGTCGGCTCAGGCAAGAGAGACATCGATCAGGAGATGGACAATATAGAGAACTTCTCACTATATGGAGATGGCAATATTGACCTCGGCAATATCCTTTCTTCGGAAGACATAGTCCCGGATTCTGAGCACATTGATTGGCATGGTGTCCCTCGCCATTATGAAGCTCGCCTGGAGGATAACCCCCCGCTCGAGGGGATTCCTTCAGGAACATCTAATGCATACAAAGACTTGGGCAACGAGATATACGAACATGTATTCAGCAGACTGGAGAGGAGAGATGACGCGAAGCTTTGCTTTCTCGCCAAGGGAACCGCCAAGGAGATGCTAAATCGTGATAATCTGTTGCGCTTCTTCCGCAGCATTATCTTGCCCGGACACACAGCGATGGACCAGTTCCACTTCACGGAAGAAGATTTTGTCAAAAGGATACAAGAAAGACAGCTTCATGATTGGCTGGTCATTCTGATGTTTGCAGATTGCGGCATCAAGGCAGCCCGGACTCTTGCCACTAAGCTTGCGGCGAGGAATATAATGCCAGTGCTGGGAAAATGGGGGAAAATAACTTATACCTTTTATCCCCTACCGGCGAATCATGAAGAGCTCATGAAATTGTTTGGCGATAAGGTCACCGCAACAAGGTTCTTCATGAATCAAGCGTTTTTCTGCCCCGTGGTGATTCGCATGGGGGAGGAAGTCCGGGTCCAAACCCCCGAAGAGCAGCGTCTGCCTTATTTGGAGGAGCAGGAGCTTGGACAGGGGGACTACGGCACAACATTCAAAGTCAGAATCGCCAAGGGCCACTTCTATAATCCTCAAGCCAGAACAACAAATGTCGAGCCTGTGGAAATGGCACGCAAAGACTACATCATCAGTGATAATTTCAACGCGCAGGAGCGAAGCGAGATCGCGAAGTTTTTCACCAAGCCTACTCTGAGGTGCGAAAATATTCTCGAAATCTATGGCAGCCTTGACCTCGGCCGGACGTACAGTTTATTCATGCCCCTCGCCACCTGTGACCTCTGGACCTACATGATGGAGTCTACAAACACTCCTAGTACCATCATGGAGAAGGCAGAGGTTATCTTCTCTGCCGTGGGACTTGCGGACGGGCTGAGCTTTCTTCATAATGAGCTAATAATATCTGATATGGGAGATATGGTCTGTTACCACATGGACCTTAATCCCAGGAATATCCTAATCTTCCGAGAGATCCAGAATGGAAAACCACGTTACATCTGGAAGCTATGCGACATCGACCTAGCACGTCTAGTAACCCTGCGTCTTGGGCAGGACGGCGAGACAGCGAAAGGTTCCAACTCGTTCGACGAAGACGAAGCGGTTATTGGTCAACGTCGAGAAGGCACGTACCTGGCACCCGAAACAGTTTCTTCGACTCAAAGCATGACGGCAAAGAGTGATGTCTGGTCCCTGGGGTGTGTTATTAGTGTTATTTTTGCGTGTCTAGAAGGCGGCCGCGCCGCGATAGAACACTACGGATTGGCGAGGTTGGAGCACCGTGCTGCGAATCACTCCGATTGCTTTTTCGTGCGTGGCTCAGCAGTTACGCCTATCAAAGTTAATCCAGCGGTCAAGTCATGCCATACGGATCTCATTGATAAAGCACGTCAACGGAATCCCCATGAAGGAGACGCGGTGGAGTTCATGTTGAGGTATCTTGAGAACAGGGTTTTTGAGGTTACTCCATCCAAAAGGGATAGCGCCAGGAAAGTGCAGGAAAATTTACTTGCAACTTCCAGGAAGTATGAGACCTTAGGAAAAGCAAGTGACGAAAGCCCAGGAGGAACAAAAGCCAAGCCATTTTGGCGGAATTTGCAATCAAGGATAAGGACGACTCGACGGTAGCGATATTGGAGTGTACCTAGAGCCTAGCCATTCTTGTGCGATTGGTGAGCCAAGCTCCAAGACACGCAAATGAAGAGGACACAATATCCTGGTCTCGATCTTAACTATAACGACGGTAAACGTGTCCTTGGCAGGAACGGCAGGAACAGCAATTTTGTACAAGAAAGCAACAGGGGAAGCACAAATAGGTAGCTCTCCAGCCATGATAGCATCAAAGTGATTAAGACGGACAAGTCGGCCTGTAGTAACCGCGATAGCCTGTTCCCTATCTTTCCAATAGACTAGATAAAATTAGTGACATATTAACACAGAATTTTATTTTATAAAAGAATAACTAGGGTATCATTTTGAACATGTAGAACGAAGGCATCATGAGATCTATGTCACCGACGATCATTTCTAGTCTATAATATAGTGAAGTCAGCAGCTCCTCAATTGAGGTGATATATAAGACAGAGAGAAAAAAGACAATCTTACCTGTCTAAGAGCCATTCTCCTTTCCGAAGCACGTCGCTTCCATCCTTTCATACCGATAGTTATGAATATAACACCATTCCAAAACCCACGCAGAGATCCCAAAGTACTCACAGAGAGCAGAAGTGAGTATTTTCCATGCTTATGATTCACGAATTCTGATATACGATTGATGGTAGGTGCAATCCATGTTGCTAACATTGCAAGGAAGAAAAGCGATGGCATGATCACGTATTGCCTCAGCGACACGCGTCTCTGTTTCGGAGTTTGATAAGTTGTCGCGTCATTTGTGGATGTGGGCGGACGCTCGAACGTATTTTGTTCCGTGGTATTGCTTGTTATAGTAGATTCTGGGGTGAAAGCAGGTTTTCTCCGAGAATTGCCTTCCTCGGTTGTTGTGACGCTGCTGGCGGAATTGCCAGAGGTCAGAGCAATATGATCGTCATTGCTTAATTTGAACTCGTCGCGGACTCTGGTTATCTCGATACCGATGAGACAATATAGTATTAGAACGATGACTATTACCAGCCTGTTGCGGAACCATTAGAAGAGTAGTTGAGGGGCAATAAGAGTATACGCACCATACGGGTGCATAATAGAAGATTATGCGGAGGAGCATCCAATTGCGGGATACTGAGCACCAGATCTATAAAGGTATAATTAGTCTCGAGATATGTTTGGTTTCAAGTCGATTCAAAATACTCACGGTCTCGTCACCATATATAGGACCCTTATGGTCACGGACGAAGAGAAAGACAAAGGCGGGAATGAACGAGAGAGCGGTAATAATACCAATGTATTTGAGTTCCAGCTTGCGCAAAGATTGAGTATCAAAATGGTAGAAGACAACCAAGTATGTATCCAAGGCCATTGCGAATGTCCAGAGCACGTCAGCTACTGGAAACCTATTTTTCGGGTTAACATTGCCTTGAAAAGTCTTTGTCAATACCAGCAACATACATCTGAAGAGCAAAGCCTTGGAATTGACATAGTGATGAAGAGTCTCCAGCTGCAGGTCCACTAGTGGATATCATCGTAGCGACAGAGTCGAATAGATTATAGAAGGAATTGAGAAATATTATACGATGAATAGGACTCCGAAAGTGCCGAGAGAGAGAAAAGGCGCCGATTATTGTGAATGAACCTAGAATTGAGAGAACTGAGGAGACTCGCCCTGCAATGGCGATCCCCTTGAGCTCCTCAGGAGAGTGTGACATAGTCTCAAACCATAGCGATATAGGGATTTACAAGAGCCAACTCGCATCTTTTATTTGAATGAAATACGATCGAGATTGAGTTTGCGATATCACGTTGTTCCGATGAGTATTGTTTGGCCCGAATGACGTGATTTTACATAAAGACTCACATATTAAAGGCTCACATTTAATTTCAAAGGCGTTAACATTCACATTACAAAGGATATATAGCCAAATCGCGTTATAATAGGAGTTTTTTGTTCTAAATAGCCTCATCGCTCTTAATGATGGCGATGGAGCTTTACATCTAGACCATCTAGACCAACGTGATGGCTGAGACCATGCATTTTCAACCAATCAGATCGAGTTTACACGGATCAAGCAATTTCTGCGCCATATAAACAAATCAATTGTGAGCTAATATGTGCCTGAATTTAAACAAACGCTCTTACCGCGAGTCTGCATTGCCTGCACCTCGGAAAGTAGTAGCTCGCTAGTTCGCACAATAGATAGAACCGTAAGAATGTCATTGTAGCTGACATTGGGGCTGTGTCAGTCTACTGGGTATCGTACATAGGTTTATTGAATTATAACTCCATAAGAATTGTGTCGGCTGATGCCGAAACGTGTGACTGCTTCCCCTTTTTGTCCGATCGGGATCTTTCTGTGGACCCGCGGAGATCCAGACCGAACGCCTTTCGATCGATCCCATTTCTTTAACCGATTTGATCTTACAACATATTCATATATTTCCATATTTCATATCCAATTTCTATATCAGTCAGCCTAGAAGGTCCAACATAACGTGGCCGTGGTATATTCTAGTTCTGTGCTCGTGCTAGATGTCTGGATATCTTATTGCTCAATGGCTTCGTATGTGGATATTATGTTCTCTACTGGGCGCTTTTGTGAGGCATTTTTTGTGCACCAATCAAAACTTTTATTATGTAATTGGTCTATTAGATTATGTCCGATCGCAAGTACACAACATTGAAACCATCGAATTCACTCAAAGGGCAACGCCCACCAGAAGCAGAGCCCCAGAGGCGAGCATTGCATTAAATCCCGGGACCACTGAGCTAGCACCGTTAGAGGATCCTGTATAGTTCGCAATTAGCCTTCGTATTTTCCCCTCATGAATGAGAAATGCGACAGAAACCTACCTTTTGCGGAGCATTGATCCTGAAGACTCTCAAACCGATCCTGGAAGTCCCCGAGCTTGGTAGCAGCGTCCGCGATTTCATTGGTGTCGCAACCATCTTGGATACATGTGCTCAGCTCAGAGGCATCATCCTGGAGATCCGCAAATGAACCCTTCACACCACAGAGACAGTCAACAGTGGCTTTGTCGGCGCTTCCGCACTTGTCCTTGAGACCGGCGGTGTTGTAGAAGTTGCTGAGACAAGTCTTGATACACTGGGGCATGTCGCCCACCACATCGTTCCAGGTTTTGAGATCGGCGACGGCGACAGAAGCCAGACTCAAGATAGCAATGGACGAAAAACGCATGATGCAAGGTGGGATATATATGTATGAATTGAAATATCAACGCGGTGGCTGTCGAGGCTGCGATATGGAATCGTGCAAAGAGAGAGAAAACGGAAAAGGCGAGTGGTTACAGAACTTGAAGTAGCCGTGGCTCGTAGTGAGACTATATAGGGTCTTACCTGGTTTCCATCCTCGATTGAAAGGGGCAGCTCAACGAAACAAAGTTGTTTCGCATCCTCCACAGCTTGTCTACAAGAGGGAGTGCCAAGGGCGATGATAGCTGATATGCTGTTGTGAACCAGTCAAACATGAGGCGGGGAAGAATATACGAGACGTGGATGACTTGGCATAGGGTCTTATAGTTTAACACGAACAGTGCGCGGACGCTCATTAAGATGAGCTTGGAGGCTTATTAGTACACAAATAGATTTGATCGCCTTGCAAACTCTTCCCATGGGACATCATAAGCCCGTTGATTTGTGACTTTTTCCCCCTTGACCCTGTCGATCGTAATTTACGACTCCACACTACCTCGTACAGAGCCGCCGTTAGTATGTTATCGATACGAGGTTGTGGAGCTCTTTGTGGGAAATGGATGCGAGCTTTCTCAATGCCTCAGCTTCTATTAGTGCAAAGCCGGGGGAAAGGTCTTCTTGGAAACTTGAAATAGTGCGCCGGCATTGTTATTCTTTGTCAATATCTACAAGAATAAAACGTCTTGAGGTACCCAGAACTTTGCACAGAAGCGATTGCGAATTTCTCGGCCGCAAAAATTCATGTTGGCACCGGCATCTCCAATGGAATGCATCGAAAGGTCTTCAAGAAAAAGATTTACCAACATCGGGGGACAGCTAGTAGAGATACTTTTAGTATGGTCAGTCCGTCTTTTACACTTGCAGGAAACTGCGAAAACTCTCTTATTCATCTAGCACTTTCCTAAGCTCGGTGCGAGGTGTTCAAACAAAACATGTTATCGGAGCCCTAAGAAGATGCATAACTGTAGTAAACGATGCTATGGTCCGAAATTGTTTAGCAAACTGGAAAGAATAGCTACCTAGGTCCTTGCTGAGAATGACCTGCCTTTTACCTAATCCAAATCTGATTAAGCTAGTTTAGAAGAAGTATGGGGATTAGTATATGCCGTATACTGAGCTTCGTGAGGTTATTCGTGCTACCAAGCAGAAGAACCTAAATGAATACCACTGCAACTAAGTCGATTCAATCAATTGATTTGGTTATGACCTTTTAGTCTAATGAGTAAATAGTCGAATTTGTAGCCGGCGTATCTCACTATATCGGAGCGTTTCTTAGCTATTCTTATTAATAGTGTGCTAGAATGGCGCTAAGTAGTTTATTGATGCTACGGGGTCCTACTATATATATACTAAGATAGTGTAGGATAGTACGAAGAATTGAAGAGTTAAGCGTCGGAAGTTAACGGCTTTGATTTTTCCCCAGAAAAATAATGTTAAATACTACCCTAGTTGCCGCCCTAAAAACTTTAAATGGAGGTGGGTGAATCCTACGAGTTTCAACAGTTACAAGGACCAAGGGTGATCCGTACGCCGGGGATGGGCACGGAGATGCGGACGGGGACGGATATCATATGGCAACCTATGACGTTCTAAAGTCAACCCGCTGTGTTACCAGCAAAAGACTAGAATTCTAAGATGATTCTTAGAACCACGGTCGCTATATAAAGATATTCATGAATACCTAGTCCGTCGCAACGGAGACGGACACGGACACGGGGATACAGACACATAGGGCCGGGGATAGGGACGGGGATAAGGACAATAGAAGATGCACCCATGGACACGCATCATTGAATGACATGGAGGATCTCATCGTCAGGTGATCTGGTGTATAGCTTATAAATCCTTCACATCCCACGAGCAGGAGGGGTATCACACTCCACTAAGCTCAAGACGTGAACAATTTCTACTTCCTACATACCTGAACAAAAGACCCTTTTCCCCCACAAAATGACTTCCCAACCCATCACTTACCATTATCTCGACATTGGCCGGCTAGGCCGCGGAGAGGTTGTGAAGTTAGTTACTTTTAACAAATTCTAATCTATAATTAGTTCACTCGAGAGTGAAACTAACTTTTTGCAGCCTATTCTTAAAAGACGCGGGGTTGGACTACAAGGATGTCCGCTATCCCTACGACGACACCTGGCCGGCAACCAGCAAAAAGCTGCGTCAGAGTGGACTTACCAGGACCGGTCTACTACCTGCCCTTGAGCATGGCGGTTCTGTGCTCACCCAGGTACGCTAAGGCCCATTTACATTTCTCGAGTATTGTCTGATAGGAGAATAGCACATTCCAATTCTGCGTTACCTTTCTCGTGAGCTCGGTGCTTACGATGGTAACACCAACTGGGAGAAATACCTGGTTGATGCGGTGGCGGATATCTACATTGACTGGAGAGTATGTGACCCAACGAATCCCCTCTCTAGTGAATCTTACTCACACAATATACAGGCTCAATGGGTAGCCATCCTGAAAGGAGTGACCGAGTCCTACAAGAATGAGATTGTGCCCGCGTACTATGATCTCGTCGCTCAGTATTACTCCGATGTCGATGGACCTTACCTGCTTGGTGACAAGATCACCTATGCCGACTTCGCAGTTTACCAGTCTATTGACAATGATACTAGAACCGGTACCATTCCGGTGAGTGTTATCTATATCCATCTCAACTATAGTTCATACTCACCACATTTTTAGGATACTCTTCCCCCGGCTCTCACTAAATTTGTGGAGGCCTTTGAAGCGCGGCCAAACATTTCTGCGTTTATCAAGGAGACCCGGCACACAAAGGCATAGATTGCGGGTTATTCTCGCTCGCAACAGCCAAAGAATCCGTCTTGACGTGGTGTATTTGATGAAAACCCTCATGAATAGTTGTCAAACTAATATTCGTAGCCTCTTTGTCTTCGAATTCACTGGGTATTTACTATCTTTTCAGCTGAGGATCAAGGATCAAAAAAGTGCACTACTAAATCCGATGGTCGGTACATATTTTGTGTTTATAGCTACGCCTAGAAATATCGAAATATTTAACTCGATTATGGATTATTGTAAACTACACTACACAGGCAAACAACAAACAAGACACACCAAAATCCTTGGTTCCGGCCAATGGCATTGGACAAGAAGCCGGTTCCATAGGAGACCAATGTGGTCGCAACATGAGGAAAGGAAATGAAAGGAAACGATATACACAGCGCTGGACAAACGGAGGGGAACATCGATGCAAAGGAGGCCACTGGGAGATTGGTCATCAGGTCCAGGGCTTCCATCAAGGAATGAGAGACATGGGCGGAAAAGGAAACAGTATGTAGGAGATATGTGCAGTGAGAAAGAGAGGGTGTCATAATCAAGTCTTCGAAGTCAAGTGATCCGCAGCCTAGTCTTTAGTTAGTATGGTGCGAAAGGAAACCCTAAACGAGAAATAAAAACTTGCCTTGTCAAGGTTATAGTCATACTTCTCCAAGGCATCCAAGGACTCATCTCGTGTGAAGCCCATACCGGTCAGCCGCTGAAGGATCAGATCGTCTTCGCCAGTGTCGTTGTTCAGAGCCCATCCAGGCTGCTTGGATTTCGCTTCGTTCGAGTCTTCACCGGTGTCGGGTTTGGAGTTGTTAAGAGGCGCAAATAGCGCGTCCCATTCATGCGCAGCGGGCTTGGATTCTCCCCCGGTTGGCGATCCGACAGGCGGGGCGGCGGATGCATGGACATTGTTGTCGAAAGCAAAGAACTGAGAGGAGCTGGATTGGTCAACATCGGCACCGGAGACAGCCTGCTGCTTCTGGGACGGGGAGTCGAAAGAGAAATCAAAGTCGGTCGTGTTTTTGGCTTCGTGACTCTGTGGCTCGTCGTCGTCATCGTCATCGTCGTCTGCTTCGGTCGCCGGCGCAAGGTTCATTCCTGCGAAGGCTGCCTCAAAGTCCGGTCCTCCCACCTTCGCTCCACCGGGTGGGATGGTAGCTTCCGAGATAGAGTCTCGCTGGATCTCATTGTTTACGACTGGCGCACCAGTGGCGTGATCCACTGAATGAGGCGCATCCGGCGCCACGGTAGGATCGCCGCGCTCGGGCAAAAGGCCACCGAATTGAGGAGGAAGATGAACATTATCTTCTTTGGGACCTTCATACTCTGGAGGGCTCGGTATTGCCCCAGGAGAAGGGGGTTTGGCCAAGTTTCCCGGGGCAGGGAAAGCAGCCAGTTGAGCAGCATCAATGGAATCCTGCTGGGTCTCCTTCTTGACATTTGGCGCAGGAGGCGTGAAATTGTCATCGAATCCAAAAGCACCCTCGTCATCGGAGCTCTCATCTTCTTCATCGTCATGGTGTAGCTCTTGAATTGGGGGGAATTCGGATGGACGGGCAGATGCAGCTCCGTTTGTCTGCTCGGTTCCAGTTACGGGCTTCATAGAAGCAAACGCCTCCTCGAAGTCGTTACCTTGTTGGGATTCCGACCGTTTGTGTGCCTTGCTGCCAAACAATTCATCAAAGCTTAGATCCTTGCTGCCTTCGGCCTGGCTCTCATTGGCGATAGGGGATGTCGCAGATTCGGGCAGCTGAGCAGTTGCGACTGGGACCTCGGGGAACCTAGCCGAGGTGTTTGGTCCTTCCTCGTCAAACGGAGACCGTACCGGGGTACCTCCAACAGTTGAGGTCGGTGCATGACTGTAGTCGGTAGATTCCGCCACTGATTGAGGTCCATAGTCACTGGTAGCCGCCTGGGAAAGCGTATCAAATCCAGAGGGTTCAGGGCCGCCGAATCGACTAGCGGGAGGCGAAACCATAGTAGACGAAGTCACAGACTGATTATCATTGAACTGCAGGAAGTTTGGGGTCAGTTGTCGGGACTGGCTCGCAGGCGGTGGCTCAGAGAATGGCCCAGCAGGGAATGCGCCAGGCAAAGAGCCAGGTGGGGGAGACACTGATGGGGTCGGAACAGCAGATGTAATGGGAGATGTGACCGCAACTTGTGGCGACTCGGAGCGGAACGAAGTGGGTGGTGGTCCGGCAGCAGGGGCAGCTGCGAATGACTGTCCGAAGAGGCTGTCAAATGCTCTTTGTTGATCATTTGAGACATCGGGGGACCGTGCCTGTTCACTTGAGCTATCTGTTCGACGGAAGAACGGGTTTGTATTTTGGCTTGCCATAGAGGTAGCAGGGCTTACAACCTCGGACACACTGCCGGCCGGTGTTGCAGACTCCTCGGAGTATTGTGGGGTCTCACGAGCCAGACCGTCAAATTCTCCCTGGAGCTTGTCCCGTTCGCCTTCGACAGTAGCTAGTTGCTTTTTGTTAATGGCAACGAGACCCTTCTGTTGGCGCGCACTAGATCGCGCCTTCTCTAGTGCCGGCTTAAGCTGGGCAACTTCGGCATTAGCCTGGCGGATCTTCTCCTTCAGGCTAGCATTCTCCTGCTCATCACTAGCCAAGGCTGTCGAAATTTGCGTGTATTGGTTTTGCAGATCCTGGCGGCTGCCGTCTAGCAATGCATATTGCTGCTGCAGTTTCTGCGTCTCTGCCTTAGATGACTTGAGGCGCTCCTCAAGTGCCTTAAAATTTGTAACCTCTTGCTCGTACATTGACCGTGCTTGTGCAAGACGTGCCTCAAAGTCACGCTTCTGCTGCGAAGTTTGTGTAATATTTTGTTCAGCAGTGGTTCTCTTCTCTTGCACAGTGTGCATTTCCTTGGCCAGAGAACCGATTTGATTCGACAAGTTCGCGAGCTCAGTGGTCTCGTTGGTCAACTTGTTTGATTCTTCGGGGTCATTGTCACCAAGGAGATCATCCGACGGAGGCGGGGGAGACCGAAGAGTTGTCGGGGTTCCGGCTGACGCACCAGTGACCTGTGGCTGCAAGCTCTGGCCAAATGTAGAAGTTGGAACAAAAGGCTTGAAGGTGTGTGATGCCGTCTGAGGGGATGCCCTAGAGGAAGGCGAGCCAGGGGTTTGGAAAGCATGGCTGGAGCCTCCGGTAGACTGAGGCATCTGAGGCTGGGCAAATGGCAGCGCGGGCGAATCGAGACCGAACAGATCATCGGCAGCTGTCCGCACAACGGGGGCGGGCGCCGGAGGAGGTGCGGGAGCTACCATTGGTGCAGGCACTTGGCGGCGCATGTTGGGCGGGATGAGGGCGGGCGGGACCACTTGTGGCAGCGGTTCCTTGCCGCTACGCTGCAATCTCACCAAGTACATAGCGACGGCAAATTCTTCCCGGCTCAACTGGCCATCTGCGTCAATATCCGCAAGATCCCAGATCTGAGCAAGGGTTTCTTCAGGAAGCTGGGCCTTCATGAAGAAAGAGACAGCTTGATCTCCAGTAATGAGTCCCAGCTTGGCTGTATCAACAGTCTCAAAAATGCCGTCAAACTGGGCCTTCTCTTGTGGGGTAATCAACCAGTCACCCCCGGTGGCCTGGGCGGAAAGAGAGCCTACAAAAGGCGAGCGATTGATTTGGTTCATGGGGCTTGTGGTTCGCTGAGGGCCAGTGAATTGCTGAGGAATGGCTGGAATGGGAGGCACATCGGGTCTCGCCCCAAAAGACGCTCGTGCGGCGGATCCCCTTCGAGCTGCCGCATCGTACAGACCAGGCGGGAGGGTCGCTGGAATGCCGCGCAGGGCGCCAGATTTATATGACGTCAGGAGATGCATGGCAATGGTAAACTCGGTGGCATCCAAGGCACCTCGCTGCTTGGTGTCAGACAAGAACCAGATACGACCCAGAACCTCATTTGGGAGCCGGGCGCGTTCGAAAATCTGTTTTGCGATTTCGCCTATAGATCAGACAGCAAACCTGTTAGATTCTGTCACACTTTCTCGACAGTGAAGAGCTACATACCTGAGATCATCCCATTCTTGACGTCCGACTTCTCAAACAGCGACACGAACTTGTTGGCGTCATCCGGCTGAAGTGGAGGAACGCGAATAGGTCCAGCCGGTCCAGGTGGAGGGCTTTTGGTTCCCGATTCCGGAATGCTTGCCGTTGGGTCGACCACAATTCCGTCAAACCGAGGCAGAGGGCCAGCTATGAAGTAGATGCGGGATCAGTACGAGTTCCACTTTTCTAAAATGAACATCACTCACATTGTAGAGCCAACTCATCGGAGGGTGCACGGCCAGCTTGGGCATGTCCAATTAACCGTAGAACAATACCGAAGCCAGATGGGGTCAGGAGCCCCCTGTTCTCTTTATCCGCAATTTGCCATATCTATACCACCAATAATTAGCCAGGACTCCCATGGTTGCGATCCAACACCCATGTTATATCCACATACCAAGCCGAGAGTATCAGGGGATAGGTGAGTCTTCTCAAAGAATGGAACGGCGATTTCACCAGTGATGACGCCGAGGTTGGTGGTATCTGCAGCCTGAAAAAGCTGGAAGAAAACGCGCTTTTCCTCGGGAGTTAGGTGAAGGTTCGGGTGTCGTTGTGCTAGAAGATTGTGATCCGTCAGCTCCGCTGCGTTGCGCATAACTAGTGCGGGTGTATGAAGGGGAGGGGTGGTGATGACGGAGGTCGGCGGGCCTTCTCCTTAAGTGCGCCAAAGCTCTCCTGCAATTGAATTTGGGTCTGACAAGAAGAAGTAATAAGTATCACTCACCGGTATCAGCCATTGCTGTGTCCTAAGAGGAGCTTAACTCCCCGCCTTCCAATAAGTTCACAATAGTTGGGGGCCTTGAGGGACAAGTCGGAGACACGGGATGCTGTCGGCTTAGTCTGAATATGCGACAAGCATGGGTGAAGCGCAGTATTTGACAGAGACGGCGAGAACACGAGATGTGAATAAATCTCGAGCTCCAAGGAGAAAATAAACTTCAAGAAGAATGGGGATAGAAAGTGGCTGGAGTCGATGTCGTAAGGAAGGTTCCTGGGGTTCTCAAGGCGGTCAGTTGGTCTAGCGCCCATCCCAGTCCCAACACGCTGTTGTCTCGCGCTGAAAGGGGGAAAGGATACTAACTACAAAGAGCGATTGAAAGATGTTGAAGAATTTTGAAGTCTATTAATTGATATATTTGTTCTTATGCAAGCTGAATTACGAGAATAGGTGTCACTAGGGTGATTTCCAAGTCTCAACTATGTTGTTATACATCAAGGAGAGCGGCTTTGTCAAGATATCCTAGCCAAGGAGAGGAGAAAAAAAGAAGCAAAGCAAAGCTTAGAGCAAGGAAGTCAAAGATATTCAGTAAGCCTCTCTAAGACATCACCCAGAGGGTAATCTTCATATGATACACTAAAAACCACAGACAAAGCCGGAACTATAAACATTACATGAACGAAATCAACGTCAGTAGTTCCTGGTGCGACTTTCAAAGATGCTAGAACTCTCAAGTCGCGTGTATCTTCAAGGTCACTTTGAAATTAGGATACATCCTTCCAACCTCAACATGTCTTGTAAGAAATACAACAAACGTATAAGTTGTATAGCGTATTCTGGAACCAGAATATGTAGATGTTCAACCAAAACTCGCCGTTTCTCTGTAACATCTGAATCTGTGGATATGACTGTCTTACTCTGAAACTATAGTCAAAGCCCTATGAGAGCTCAATCCTGGTCCCCTACTTGGCCTTTACTTGGCTGCATGGCCCTCCGGGTCTTGCACGGTCTCAACCTCCCCCCCCCCCCCCCCCCCCCNAAAGCCATGAGCTGTTTTGTATTGTCTTTCTTTGATTTGGTACTTCCATTCTGTCTGAATTGAACTAGCATTCAGAACACCTCGACTCACAATTGACATCGGGGAAATATGGGCCACGACAATGCTACTACCCCTGACGTAGATATATAGCCAATGTTATCGCGTACCAGTCCTTACGACCCCGGGGACAACTTACCATGGAACAATATAACCGAACATGCTTGTACCCGAGATATCTCTTCAATTTTCGACTACAGGACAGAACACTTTGAGAATCAACCCAGCTACTTGCGACTTGCACACTTTACAAAATCCAAGGAGGCAACTTCAGAGAGTAATAACAATGACATACGTATGTAGAAACCCAAAAGGTGGATGGAACGAGGGGAAATTTCATCGCTGCTTCAGGGATATTAAAGATATATCGAACAACAAAGCCAGAAAATCATTGGCAGCAAAACTTATGTTCCCTTCTATTTGCAAGAAGCCCAATAGACGCATGAAGACCGAACCTCTAGACTCACGTTGGTTCCCAAGCCAACCCGTAGAAGTGAAACAACCAAGAGTCCCGAAGAACGGTCAGATAACATGGCTAATCTAGTACTCGGGCTCCAGCTCCTCATCACCCTCGATGGAGTCAGAGGCGACCTCCTCGTAATCACGCTCAAGAGCAGCGAGATCCTCACGGGCCTCAGAGAACTCACCCTCCTCCATACCCTCACCAACGTACCAGTGAACGAAGGCACGCTTGGAGTACATGAGATCGAACTTGTGGTCGAGAGCGGACCAGGCCTCGGCGATGGCGGTAGTGTTGGACAGCATGCAGCTATAATCATAATTAGTATCAAAGTTTGATATCAGGTTCTAGAACCCAAAAGAATCAGAAGAAAAACTTACACAGCACGGCTGAGGTTGGCAAGATCGCCGTTGGGGACCTGCTGGGGAGGCTGGTAGCAGATACCGAGCTTGAAGCCAGTAGGGCACCAGTCGACGAACTGGATGGTGCGCTTGGTCTTGAGGGTGGCCACGGCACCGTGGGCCTCCTTGGGGACAACATCACCACGGTAGAGCAGACAGGTGGCCATGTACTTGCCGTTGCGGGGGTCACACTTGACCATCTGGTTGTGGGGCTCGAAGCAGTTGGAGGTGATCTCGGTGACAGAGTGAGCCTCGTGGGCGGCCTTGTCGGAGGAGATAATGGGAGAGTAGGCGACCAGAGGGAAGTGGATGCGGGGGTAAGGCACCAAGTTGGTCTGGAACTCGTTCAGGTCGACGTTGAGGGAACCGTCGAAACGCAGGGAAGCAGTGATGGAGGAAACAACCTGAGCGATCAGGCGGTTCAGGTTCTCGTAGCTGGGACGCTCAATACCGAGGTTGCGACGGCAGATGTCGTAAATAGCCTCGTTGTCGACCATGAAGGAGCAGTCGGAGTGCTCCAGGGTGGTGTGAGTGGTGAGGATGGAGTTGTAGGGCTCAACAACGGCGGTAGCGTTCTGGGGAGCGGGGTAGACACAGAACTCCAGCTTGGACTTCTTGCCGTAGTCGACGGACAGACGCTCCATCAGGAGAGCACCGAAACCGGAACCGGTACCACCACCGAAGGAGTGGAAGACCAAGAAACCTTGGAGACCGGCACAGGCATCGGCAACACGACGAACACGGTCGAGGACCTCATCGATCATCTCCTTACCCACGGTGTAGTGACCACGGGCGTAGTTGTTGGAAGCATCCTCCTTACCGGTGATCATCTGTTCGGGGTGGAAGAGCGAACGGTAGGTACCGGTACGGACCTCATCGACGACATTGGGCTCGAGATCGGCGTAGATGGTACGGGGAACGTACTTGCCCTGGCCTGTCAAGTGGGGGAGAAAGAATGTTAGGAGGCCATGCTTTGGAATTTTGCACATCAACGCGGGGGAACATTGAAAAAATTAGGTTTTTCATACCAGTCTCAGAGAAGAAAGTGCTGAATCCGTGATCGGGGTCGGCCTTCTTGCGTTCCTCAGTGAGGAATCCATCGGGCTATCATGGATGTTAGTCGCGGGTGTTTACCTCTCGGCAAGAAAATAGGGGGTTCGGGTGCCCGAGTCAAGATTGGGCGCCACCACGAGTTGGATTGGAATTTCAACATACCTGGATACCGTGCTCCAGACAGTACAGCTAGAAAATCAATGCTGTCAGTTTACCGAAGATTTGTCCTTCAATGGGTTGTGGATAGTTACCTCCCAGCAGGAGTTGGCGATCTGGCAACCGGCCTGGCCGACTGTAGGGAACGATCATGTCAGCGCGTCCATTGAAGAAAACATATTGGCTCTAAGCAGAATAGATGGACGATGTTGACATACCGTTCAAACTGATAATCTCTCTCATTGTGATCGAGTCGATGTTTTTTCAGGCTAAAAAATCAGGAGGGGAAAACGAAACCCAAACAACAAACGCGGTGGTCTGAAACTCTCAGTTAGGTTTGAATTGACAGGGAGATGCACGATGGAAGGGGGCGGGGGATAGCCTTACCTGAAGAATGGAGGAATGGACGAGAAGATGGAAGGGAAAACAAAGTCGACCAGAAATGTTGTGGAGGAGGAGCCGTCTGTGCTGTACAGGGGGGAACTTCGTTGTTGATCCGTTCGTTGGGTCGCGTCGGGCCTTTTGATTGGCTCCTTCCCGGTGAGGAGCAGCGGTTACTGACCGCCTCGTACTAGTCTCGTGTGAGTTCACGTGATGGACAGTACTAATACCTTATATAATATGAGTATTAAAAAGGAACGGATTTTAAGCTTAAATAGTTCAATTGGAAAATTTTGAAATTCAAAAATATATCAAGCCTATGCAAGAGTGTTTAGGTGGTTAACTTCTCCAAGGGTGGTGTGGTGTGATAACGGCGTTGGAGCTATCTAAATACTCGGTCAGCTCGGATCCACTCGGGGGGAACCACCTCGAACCACCATTCGGCCATATCATAGCCATATTATAGCCAAAGTACTAAGACAACACACCTCGGTACTGTATAGAATTCCAGTATTAAACGACCAACATTTGAATGCTAATTGAACTCCAGTACTATCATTGTGAAAAACTGCCTAAGCCTCGTCATGAGCCGAGAATAAGACATCATTAAAACATCATCCCATCCACCTAAAAAGTCCCCCAACATTGCATAGCAGAACACCAAGTCTCTCATCATGCATATCAAATTCCTTCCCACTCTGGGACTCATGCTTCCCCTCTTCACAGCAGTGGCGCAAGCAAACGTGGAAAAGACCATTTTTCTAGCACCAGCACTAGCAACCGTGCCTTCCGACGAGCCAGATCTCGACGACCTTGGTCTGGAGCGGCTATCACCACAGAGGCCCGTGGTGCGCACTCACCTCAATGCTTCCTTCCCAACTACCGCCGCGCCTGATGGTACAGACTCGTGGTTCTTCCTTGAAAACCTGAACCCGGGCCAACGGTATGAAGTACGAGTATGCTGGCTAGCCACAGTAAGACCACCCATTAATTCATCCCCGAAATCTTATACATCCCTCTGTCTATCTTTCTATACATAGAATATACATTGTCATACATAAATACAACTAACACCCCCCTAGCAACCAACAACATTCACCCTCACCACCTACCCGCTCTCAAAAACAATTTCAGACACAAACCTCCTGTCTTCCCTGAGCTTGTACACAGCCAACCGACTCGCAACACTAGACCCAAATCTCCAGGGAAATATCATCCCGCGCCGTGCCAATCCGCGCAGCAGCAAAGATCCACTCGACCCTGCGCCGATCAGTGACTCGGTCTTGTTTCTGCATGTGCACGCCGCAGCAGATTACTTCAGTACCGATCAGGCATTGATGCAGAATGTCCCACCCGTGGCGGTGGACTTGATTCTTGATCCATTCTTGTTTAATGTTTTTCCGCGCTCGTTGGTGCCGACTGCTGGGTGGATTGTACTTGTTGCTATTTTCGCGGTGGTGCTGGGCAGGTGGGTTGTGAAGGAGGTTGGGAGGGCTGTGGGTGATGCTAGGAGGCAAAGTGTTTTGGAGGAGATGAAGAAGAAATAAGTTGGTGTAGGTTTTGTGTTTTGTTGGAGATGTACGATTGAACTGAGTATAAATTAAACAAAGAAAACCATTGAGATACATATCTAACGTGGCCCTTTATGGCGACTACTTATATACCTCACTTTTCTAGAAGAAATTCACGCCCGTATAAATGGTACACATCGGAGTTCTTTAACATGGACTCTACATTGATTAGTTCCGAAGGCAAGGTTGTGTACATATCCAGTGTAGAACCATAGACCCGGGCAAACAATGTCAACTGAGGGAGATGTGAAAGGCAAAATTGAGATAGCATAACAAGAACAATTAAATGCCGAAGCCGCAAAATCAGATATATGAGGGGGTGTGCTGGATACAGGATAAACAACAGCAATGGGGAATTTAGGAAAAACAAAGCTATGGGCAGTGTATGGAGGCAACAGGGATAAAGGACAAAGCCAAAAAAAATTTCAAAAGCTAACCGACGACGTGTAGTTCAACCGAATCTCCCTCCCTTCGTTCCTGTTTCTATGCGTCTCCGAGAATCCGATTAACATTTATGCCAGTGTACATAATTCATAAGCCCACCAACTGCCATCTAGATCAAACGACACGATCACACAAAACTCCCGTTAAATCGTAGCTCCGTGAATGGCCCAGCCATTGCAAATAACGTGGCTAAATCTTGAACTTAATCTTCAAAGAAGTTTAGGATCGCACGGATACCCTTAGAGCCCAGGCCGTGGGACGGGTAGGAGATGTACAGCGGGTCCTCAGTGGCACCGAGCTTAGCACGGAATTCACTCTTGCGCACAAGATGGAACTGCTTGGCGAGGGCTTCATAGGTGTGCTCCAGCATCTTGACCTTGGTGCCGTGCATGTTGTGGCCAGGAATGAGCTGGGAAGTGGCGCCAGCGCCAAATGTGAGACCCTTGACGCCACTCTTGGCGGCGGTCTGGATTGCATGCGTGACAATGGATTCGATAACACCGTTGGGTGCGCCAGGGAAATCAAGACTGTACTTGACTTGCATACCGTGGGCGGGAGACAGCATGGCCAAAGCGACGAAGGCACAGACGACGCCGTTCTTGTCCAGAGCGTAGAAGTACCAACGGTGCTCCGAGTCGCACCATGGGCGGATCTGGGACAGGTGCACTTGTGTGCCCTTACGGTTGGACAGCCACTCGCTGACACGCTCGTCAATCTTCTGGCGGATGTCTTCTGGTACCATCTCGCCTTGGTTCATGGAGACCAGCTTGATTCCCTCGGTTTCGGCACGGCGCAGCTTACGTGCAATCTCGCCGTCAGAAGCGGCTTGGTTGCGTGATGGGTCAACGCGCTCTTCGGCGATACAGGACAAACTGCGCCACCCTAGTCGCTCGCCGAGAATGGTTTCAACCTCAGGCGAGCAGAGGATCCATACGGGTTTGTACTTGGTCTCGCGGCGCATCCACTGCAGGAATTGTGTAATTGTGCGTGTGTACTGCTTGGGGTCGCAGGCAGGGTTGCCAGGAATAATTGCGAAGTTGCTGGAACTAGGTACGTAGGCGACGGCTGCACCAGTGGTCATGTCACGCCAGATCTTGAAACGGTCATCAAACCAGGAGGTTGATGTGGCATCTCCGTAATTGGCGACTAGATGTTCCAGAGGCTGCAGCTCACTGGGATCCGAAGCTACCCGAACCTTGTGCTCATGGTGCCACGGCGGCTCAATAGTCGATGATTCTGGGTGGCGAAGCTGTTCAGAGACAGGCTTCGCTGGCAGACTCTTGGGGTCGCGAGGGAACAGTGACGTCAGTCGGATGTTGCCCAACTTAAGGATAAGCATCACGATACGTTCCAGGCCAACTCCTGCGCCTGCGTGGGGCGGGGCACCCCAGCGGAAGCCCTCAAGATACTCCTCCATATCATCCGGGTTGATGCCCACACGACGCATGTTTTCCTCGAGCATGTGGGCGTCGTGGATACGCTGACCACCCGAGACAATCTCTTGTCCACGAATAAACATGTCAAATGAGTTGGTGTACTTGTCATCTTCGGCGTCGGGCATTGTATAGAAGGGACGTGCACCGCGAGGGAATTTGTCAAGGACGTAGTAGTCGGTGCCGTATTGCTCCTTGACAAGCTCACCCAGGCGGATCTCATCACGGGTACCCAAGTCCTCGTCTAGAGGCAGCTGCTCGCCGTCTTCATTTAACCAGCCCGAGTCGTTCAACATCTTGATACCGTCGGTGAAACGAATGATCGGCGTCTTTTCCAGCCATACGACATCTTCCGAGGGGAACTGGTACTTGACGAGCTCAACCTCGCGGCGGTATTTGGTGTAGATACCCTTGAGGATATTCTTAATCACAGCGTCAAGAGTCTCAAGCATCTCATGGTAGTGCTCATCAATGGCCATCTCAAGATCCAATCCAGTATATTCTGTAAGGTGGCGGTGGGTATTGGAGTTTTCGGCACGGAAAACAGCGCCAATCTCGTAAACGCGGCCGAAATCAGATGCGATAGCCATCTGCTTCGCCAATTGAGGAGACTGGGCGAGGAACGCGGGGCGGCCGAAATAGTTGACCTGGAAGACACTCGCGCCAGACTCGGTAGCGGCGCCTTGCAACTTCGGGGTATGAATTTCAATAAACTCGCGGTCGTCAAGGGCAACACGGAAAAGGTTACATGTGCCGGCCTGAATACGGAAGATGGATTGCGAGGTGGACGTGCGAAGGTCGAGGATTCGGTTGGCCAAACGTGTCCGGTCAGGGATATGGTTGCGGCGGCCCTCGGCCTTTTCTTCTTCGTTGGTCCGAATCTCTGCCTCGTAGACGCTGAAGGGGACAGGTTCCTCGCGGCGAACCTGGAGGTGAACCGAGTCAACGGCCAGCTCGACATCATGAATTGAGCAGCCCAAAACTGGAACCTCGGGTTTCTGTATAGTGCCGCGGACCGTGACAAAAGAGCCCACTCGGAGGTGCTCCACCCATTGGATCATGGCGAGAGATGAGACCCCCGCCCGCTCATGCAAAACACCCTGGAAAGTACCTAGCTGCTGGCGGAATACCAAGAACACTAGCTTAGCACTCATTCGACGGATGACGTGCAGTCGTGCGCTGAAAAATACTTGCTGGCCCTCCATGGCAAGAGTTATGTCATCGATCCGAGTGCGCAATTCTCCCGTCCGTGTGGCCGACTGCATCAAGGGAAGCTCGCCATACCGAGCCTTCATATCTGGCGTCTCCTCAGCTGCAGATTTGGCAATCTCCTCTTCCTTATGGCGGCGGTCGGTCTCGGAGAACATCTCCTCGCTGAGACGACTGCGCTCGCTTCGACGCTGTTCACGCACCAACCGCTTTTGTTGGTTTTTGCTCAAGGCACCGGAAGATGAGTCATCGGAGACATCATCAGATGAAGAAACATACTCATTCTTATCCCGTAGGAAGTTGCCGAGAATGCTGCGACGAGGGGATGCGGTGGGGGAACCAGACCGAGATTGAGAGGTACGAGCTTTGGATGGCAGGGCAGTGCGAATGTTGGAACCGGAGGAGTCCTCCTCACCTCCCAAGTGTCCTCTGATAGCCTTTGAGAGGGCACGTTTAATCGACATTGTAAGTTTATTTGGGGGGGGGGAAGAGAAAGAAGAGGGAGTTTGTATATATAAGGGAGAAGTGGGGGTGGCCGGAACAGGCGATTTCCAATGTTTTTAACCTTGGAAGGCCCTAGAGTCCCGAGAGAGGTAAAGGAAATCCCGAGTTCCGAGGATAATGTAAGCCCTAAAAAATATAACAAAAACAGGAACTGTGTAGGTGGATAATTAGAGAAACTTGATATAATCCAACAGTAAACTAGAATTTGAAAGAATCAAAAGAATCAACAAAATCAAAATCAAAATGTAATACTTGGACAACCCTCCAGGGCCAGAAGGTATGATGACATCATCCCCCAAATCCAAGAAACCCTGATTGTCTTGGTATGGAGCCTGAGAGCCCGGGAGCCTTGGAGCCTTGGAGCCCTCCAAGAGAACTGGCCATTGCTGCGATCTTACGTTGTAGTGGACTGGGCTTTGTTCAACTATTACTCCGACCTTCGCTCGCTATCGTTAATTCCCTCACATCCTCTTGACTATTCTGTTCTTCTTCCCTCATTCCTCAAATCTCAAATATCTCACCTGGTCTTACGGTCTTATCCCGCCTTATCATCGTCGGCTTCCGGGTCCCTCCGATCCGCATGCTAAATCGATAGGACGAACATTACTTTCCACTACAGCATCATGGCCTCGTCTCGTTGGTGGCTCTATGTACAGGCCATCTTTTGGCGCTTCCTAATGCGCATTGGCATGTTCATACACGAAATCGCTCCCCGACCACCCCGACCGTTATTCACCCGTACCATCACCTCCGACACCTCCCACCCCGTCGTCCTTCACTTCTACTGTCCACCGAATTATCATGACCAGCGAAAGCTAGGTCATCGATTCCCTGTCGCCGTCAACTTCCACGGTGGTGGTTTCACACTTGGCGCTGCTACGGATGATTCTCGCTGGGCGAAATCAGTGCTGGACAATGTCGGCGCCGTAATGGTGAGTGTCGCCTACCGACGAGCCCCGGAACACCCCTTCCCTGCGGCAGTAGACGACGGAGTCGAGGCACTACTATATCTGGCAACACATGCCGGCGAACTGGGATTAGATGTGAGCCGTGTCGCGCTGAGCGGGTTCTCGGCAGGCGGCAACCTGGCTGTCACGGTACCCTTGCGGCTGCGTGGCAGAATATCTACAGAAGTCAAGGAAAACATGGGTCGAGCCGAATCCACACAAAATCTGCTCAATCAGGTTAGCGATCTCAACATCGTGGCTTTGTTCTCTTGGTACCCGATTCTAGACTTTGAAGAATCTCGCGACCACCGTCGTGCTATGAGTTTGATGCCGGATAAGACTCTCCCTGCATTTTTCACCACCCTCTTCGATGAGGCCTATCTTCCTGATTTGAACGAACGTGTCTCCCCCTTTGCCTCTCCAGTCCATGCATCTGACCGTATGCTGTTGGAGGCTCTACCCCGCGACGTATTTTTCTTTATCTGCGAGTGGGATATGTTGATGAACGAGGGCCAATCTTTCGTTCGTCGCTTAGAAACCCTCGGCAAACGCCCCCGTGCCATGCTCATCGAGAAAGCCCGACATGCGTGGGATAAGTCACCTAATCCCTGGAGGGACCAAAACAGCGTGGACATCTTATACCGCGATGCCTGTGCCGATATGAAGGCTATCTTCGACCGGTGATCGATTTTCTTAGACTTTTCGCCTATTATTTCTAGACTTTGTTTCTTTAGCACTGGGATCTTGACTTTGGCGTTTGAACTGGCATTCACGGCGTCGGCTGTACATAGCGTTGTTTGATATCTTTATTCTACCGTTACTTTATCAGCTTGTTCTATATTGTATATATACCTACAACATAGACACATGTACTGTGTAGCTCTAGCTGTCTTATCAGATTGTATTGGTTGGGTTCATATATATAATATCCACCTCCGCCGCAACACTGAAAAGCAAGTGGAAATTGAGAGCACACAACGCCTATATCCGGATAAAAGTACGGGGTACATATCAACATTTCCCTTTCCATTAGTGCTCACTTCTTACCTTCTGATCATAGGCAAGGTATTCACTGATTACATACTTTGTGACGCTACCGACCAAGGTCCAGACGTATATACAAATTTCCTCTGCCACTCCTTGGTCTAGAGAAATACTCGCAGGCCCTGAAAGCAGCTAGCATTATCAATATTGAGTTGACTCATATTTGCGCCAGCAAATCTGCACACCGTTGAGCAGAATCTTTCGTGCCTACAAAAGACACGCTGGGATGATTATCGAGACCGATTTCAGCAAGGGTTGAAGCTGAGAGTGTTAAAGGACAAATCATCTTGATCGAATCTATGTAAACTCACCTTCTGGATTATAACTTGGCCATCCCAGGGCTTTTAGTCCGTGTTGAGGATCAGTAATGAATGAGCCCCAAGCCGAACGCATCTGATCCTGCAGCTGGCGCTGCGCCTCAGACTCAGCAATCCCAGTAATCTCAGCAGATTCTCCAAAGATCATATTGAACTCGACCCCGTGGTATGCTCCGCTACTGGGGTAAAGGCGGGTATTATCCCAATCCGCGTTATATTGAAATCGCCAAACTGGTGTATGTCGGCGGCTTCGGTGTGCTGCTTCGAGACTGGATGGACAGAAAAACGTTTGCATATTAAAGTCGTCCCACTGCTTGTCTGTCAACGTAGATCCCTGGGCATAGCTCGCAATCTTGTAGAATCCCGCTTCATTGGCGTTGTGCCCGACCAAGTAGGGCTGTTTATAGTGAAGGCGCTAGTTAGCAACTACATTGACCCATTGAGTATGTTCGAGATGCAGGAGAGCCCACTCACGATGCGGGCAAATTTTCCTTGCTGCGAGAGAAGAGTGTAATTCTCAAAAACAGTTACGCCGTCCACAGTGGGCTGGAAAGCGGGGGATTTCCTTGCAGGGTTTGTCGTCGGTACCTTCACTGCACTAGCAGCGGCGAGAATGGCACTCGCATTCTGCTTTCTCATGCACGGTAGAACATCTCCTGAAGACCCACAGCCTAACTGGGCAGAGACATTATACCAATGCTTTTCTGCGGTTGTCCTATTGTTTGTTGGGAAGCTGAGGGCTGTGCCAGAATGCGAGATCAACCCGGAAACTAGGGGCTCGGACTGGTAGGCGTATGCCCAATAATCAACAGAAGCACTTCCGCAGGACTGGCCAGATATAGTAATTCGGTCTGGGTCGCCCCCAAATCCATGGATATTTTGCTTCACCCATTCAACAGCTGAGCGTTGGTCTAGTAGACCAAGGTTAGGGGGGTGTCCAGGCAGACCAGGAAACCCGAAGATGTTCATGCGTGAGTTTACCGTCACAACGATTACATCCTCTGCATCAGCAAATCTGCCTCCATAATAAAAAGGAGTATCGGTTGTACCACTTGTCCATCCTATAACATGGTTCAGAAATACGACGGAAGATGAAGAAGCGACAACCTACTACCACCATAGAAATGGACATAAACAGGCTTGAGTTGATTTAGGTCCGGCTTTGACCAAACATTCAGAGTCAAGCAATCTTCACTTTGAGTGTTGTTATTAATAGCTGCGAAGGCCTTGAAAATACTGTCAAATTGAGGAGTTTTGTCGGGATAGTCGACGAGCTTCGACACCGAGTACATGCAGTCTCTATATATTTCTGTTAACCGGAAAAGCAGAACAACATCACCCAAGATAGTACACACTTTCCCTAGATTATACTAATGTCAGAACCTCTCATTTTATGCGTTTTATAGCGGGATGTAAGGGATAAGATGAATTCATACATATTCCGACGCGATGTGAATACCCCTGGGCGTGTAGGGTTGGGGCGGTGCGAATCGCAATTGGTTAATCGGCGGCTGCGCGTAGGGAACCCCCAGCCATTCTATGACCCTCGGATTCTTCGATGCCTCGTGGCCCTGAATGACTCCATTCGACCCGACATGAGCCTGTCGCGCTACGACAACCGCCGTGAAGGCTAGCCAAGTTACTCTCATGATTTTCTCTTCAAAGAAACCTGTAATTGGATCGGAGATACAAAAGCAAAAGAAAACAGAGTGTGGGAGAAGCCGGGGTTTTGGAAATCACTCGCATGTAATGTAGCTTCGACAGGGCTAAGTGGGGCTCGCATACCCCGTAACCCGTAGAAGCCAGCCCTGGACGTTCTGCCGTGATTTAGTTTAGCTCTACTGTCTCAAGTTCATAACAAATCCATTTGGCCCCTAACGGGCCGTCCGAGGTCATATTGAAGCCTAGTGGCGTTAATAGCGGCATGGAGGAAGCTTTAATCCTCGATCTCATGAACGAAAGAAAAGAAAAGAAAAGCTCTCTCTTGCCTGGCCCCAATACTCATTAAATGCACATAGGCAATGACGACCTTAATTCAATCCACTTCCATTACTACGTCCGCGAGGGAGTCAGAGTCAAGAGGACATCTTACAATCGAATGTGCGAGGCGAAGTGGCTTCTATCGAGGAACAAGATAACTATATCTGTGTTACGACGGAGATTCAGCAAGACGTAGTGAACTGTGGGAATATAAAATCGAAGGGACACGACTCGTCATAATCTATCCCAGAGTTATTCTTAAGCCTACTATGATTCATCCAAGCAATCTATGTCACCAGCTAGACTCGAATTCTCAGTACCTTGTTCACCCTCGACCTTCCTTATGAAATAATACGTCCACCAACTATATTGATTGCACGACTTGTTTTGCACCACTCCCAACATACTTATCAACTGCAGAGACATGTGCTACTCGATGCTTAAGTTGAGACTCCCTCGCCGCACATGACTACTCCACTGTAACCGTAGTAGGAATTGCTTCTATATTTCCATAGACGATGTTCTCGTTTGTGTTTTTCGATATTTACCAGGGCCTGTCAAAGCTGATATCCCCACATTAACTGATATAGGCTTTTCAAGGGCCGATGCCCGCGCTATGTCGATCACATCTTCAACGCGAATGAGGTCGAAACATGAGAATTGAACTCGGATTATGCCCTAACCCTAAGATTCCTAGGTTCTTTGATTCGCGACGTACCTTAGTACCTCCTTTCTAACCTTAGATGTTGCGTAAGAAAGGCTAATCTAGGCGGGAATAGTGAATGGGTCGTACCGATATCCTAATTTCTCAAAACTTTAACCCATTGACTTGACGCTAGAAGGACGGCTAGTTGAGAGCGAATTCACATGCTCGTGTGATATGATGGCTCCTACCAGGTTTAATGCCCTGATCAGGTTTTCGTGGGCGGATTGCGTATCGGGCGATCTTTCGGCGAGGTCTAGTTCTGATCAACGGGTGTATGCGCCCGCAACGTCTATTTAAACCATTCGGAATACTATCCACCAATCAACTGTCTATATATTGGAATCCAAGTGGCTTTCCTTGCTAAAAGGATCTTCAAGGATTTCCAAGGTTGGAGATAAACGGTGACGAAAGAGTGGAGCTACATTCTTTTCGGGGTCTGGAATCAAGCTTCTTTTGACTTGGCAGCTCGAAGCTCGTTTAAAAAAAATTGATTAGAAAGTTTTGCACTTAAATTATTCTACAGTTTTTTAGTCCTGCGCAAGGTCGTTTTTCTCTGCTTTTTTCTGCTTATTTTTGATGTTGTGATGGGATCCTCAAAAAAACCTAGCCGAGATGGCGGAGTCAAAGGTAGGAAAGGTTTGAAGAGATCGCTCCGAAATGACAATAATTCTAACAGCGATAGATGCCGTGGAAGCTCCCGAACACGAGCAACCAGGAGGCACCGAAGAAGAAGGAAGCAAGAATGATGCCATGGGCAACAACCCATCATATAGTTTGGCGGGCTCTGGCGCGCAAAATCCGAACAACAATCGAGGATATACAGACGAGGAGTACGAGCAGTACAATTCTCAGGCTGATAAAGGAGATGATGGTCCAACTTGGAGTTTGGCCCAGCCACTTCCTCATATTGTCCGGCCTGGCATGCGTCACGGCGCCTTGCCAGAGGATCGAAAGGAGGATCAAGGCGCCATGACAGAGAACGAAGAGGATCTAGCCCAGACAGATGAAATTCGGAAACAGCAGTCAGCTGAAAATCGAATGAAGAAGGTCAATAATCCTAGAGAAGACGGATTTTTCAATACCTGGTCGAAAATTCGGCACTATCTTCGTGAGCCGATGGCCGAATGGCTCGGAGTAAGTTGTCGATATAGCCCAAAAAGATCAAATAACATTTTCAAATGCTAACAGGTATCTTTCGCAGACAACTATGGCAATGACAATCGGTCTTTGCGCCACCTTATCAAACTTCACTTCCTCCGGACAAGCTGGATCATACCCTGCTCAAAGTGTCGCCTGGGGCTTTGGATTCATGGCCGCTATCTACACTACCGGAGGTATGTCTGGTGGCCATTTAAACCCAGCCATCTCAATCTCGCTGTCTGTATTTCGTGGGTTCCCCGCACGTCGATGTGTGATATACATTGCTGCGCAACTCCTCGGGGCTATCACCGCCGGGGGTATATCATACGCGATCTACCATGACGCCATTGTTGAAGCCGCCACATTAGCCAAAGTGCCTCAGAATGCAAGCGTCGCCGCTCAGGCTCTCATCACCTTACCGAAATCATTCGTCCATCCTGCGACTGCGTTCTTCACCGAATTTTTGGGCAGCGCAATCTTAGTCGGTTCTATTCTCGCTCTGGGAGATGATACAAATGCACCTCCAGGGGCGGGAATGCAAGCATTTATTATTGGGATTATCATTACGATTGTGATCCTTGCACTTGGGTATAATACTGGAGGGTATGTGTCTGATTTCCAATTCCCACTTCCAAGTGTATGAAACTAATTTTGTCTGTCTCTTTATAGTTGTTTCAACTGCGCGCGCGACTTTGGGCCCCGACTTGTTGCCGTCATGGCTGGATGGGGTGGTCATCTCTTCCGAGAATACCATGCATGGTGGATCTGGGGTCCATGGATTGCAGACATCACCGGCGCATTATTTGGTGCCTTGATCTATGACATGGCTATCTTTACTGGTGGGGAGAGTCCAGTTAACTATCCTCCACGGAGGCGAAAGCGAGCATACCGTGTGAGAGCTTTGAATCTTCGGAAGAAGCTTCATATTGGGAAAAGGAAGGTCCCCGATCTTGAGCATTCTGTTGCGGATACCGAGCACTAGACTATGTTACAAAAGTAAAATTACCGAGCCTATGAATCTTTAGTTGTTTCATGTACATATTGTATAAACGATCCACACTTGTCTCACTATGGCCTATTGGTTGATTATTTCCGGAAGAATGTTGCAGCCCCTAAGAACGGGCCACTAAGGGAGCTAATGAAGCTTCTACTCGGAGCTAGCAAAGGCTTCGCCAAGTTACTCTGTATAGTCATGAGGGTTCCTCTTCCCTTGAAACTGAGTTGATTCTGGAAAGTGGGGGAACCCCTCGGGAGCCGACGGATGCCGAGACTATAATCCACGGAACAGGGTCCAGGCCGAATTGGTTCTTATATAGAAGTATCATGAGTGTTGACAGTCCACAACCATAATTGTTAACAAATTGAAAAATACGCAGCAAGTTTGTACCAGCACGCACTTAGAACCAAAGTCGAGAATCGAAAAGAAATCCAATTGCTCCGTGGAAACCAGGTAACTTGGGCCTCCACAAATCAGCCTCAAAACGCTAGTCGGAAATAAGAGAATGGATTCAGTTAGTGGAGATTAACGTGCCAAGCTTATCCAACCAATAGAAGCGACTAATTTCAATTTTCGAATTGTTTTAGTCGCTTAATTGGGCTTTAGGGGTCTTTATAAAATGAGGTCTCACTTAAAATAGGGTTCGAAAAAAAAATCAGGGGGGGGGGGGGGNGGGGTTGAAGTAATATATCGTGATGGACATCTCAGTCGTCTCTCAGCTTCAATCTATCAAGTCTACGGCATTCCCTGCCTTGTATGTTGTAGACTATCATCCCCATTCATAAATCCTGTCGTCTTCATCTACACCGTCACGATGCTCGCTCAGGGGCCAACATTCACCAAATTCTCAACCGGAAGCATATTCATCTTAACATGTCTCTTCTTCGTCCTCTATTACCACCCCATGAGACTAGCAACTCCAGAAGGACCCCACGAATATGATACATCCAGAAAGGGCTTCCAACTAGCATCGCCGCGGATCCCAGAGAAGATCTGGTACAAAGTTGGACCGAAAGGATTGAGCGACCAGTCACACGAATGGCTGGACGATTGTCTCCACAAAAACCCAGCTCATAGCGCGAAGATCATGACAGACCTCACGGGCGATCAATATGTTCAACGGACCTACCACCATCGTCCCGATATCGTCCACGCCTACCTTACTCTCGCGGTGCCGATCCTGAAAGCGGATTTCCTGCGCTATCTGCTTCTCTTTGCGGAGGGCGGGATCTGGGCAGATCTTGATGTCTCGTGTGGTGATGTACCCATTAGAGAATGGATCCCCGAGACACTGCGCGCTAAAGCCGGGCTTGTTGTTGGGTGGGAGTTTGATGTGGGCTGGGGCGATAGTTTTATCCGGCAGTTTGAGAGCTGGACCATTATGGCGGCGCCGGGTTCGCCGCATCTTCTGATGGTCATTGATGATATTATGGATGGGATTCGTCAGAAGACGGAGGAGTACGGGGTTCCCGTTTCCGAGTTGACTTTAGAGATGACGGGTGATGTGATCGACTTTACGGGGCCGAGGCGGTTGACTCGTGGGATTTTGAAGAGCTTGGAAGCGGCTCGCAACGAGACGATCGATATGGCCAGTATCTCGAACCTCTTAGAACCCGTTTTGGTTGAGGATGTTTTGATCTTGCCCGGGTATTCGTTCGCTGCGTCGTCGAATACTTACAGCGTTGAGAATGTGACTGGTCCTTCATTGGTCCAGCATCACTACGCCGGCAGTTGGAAGAATCACAATGGTGGTGAGATGTGACCGGGAATATGAATTCATGTACATTTGATCTTGCATAGAGCCATGTGATTTATAAGGCAGTCGGGATTGTTAGACCGTTAGAAGAGGCCACGACATTTCATGTAATTATTTTCCCATTTTTTGAAGCTAGATTCATCAGCACTATAGTAGTACACGAGGCAGAAATTGACCATTCCACATAGTTCCGTGCACGCTCAAGAAGAACGATATCATCAGTCGTAAGGTATCGGGAACTTTTTGTGAAAAAAAAAAAAACAAGATCAAAAGATCGCAAATATTGGTGGAAATCCCAAACGCCACGCTGAAGTAACAAAAAAATCGAACCAAAGATCAAGTCCTTGTTCGAGAAAGATAGACCGTGTCCAATTCACTCCTCATCAGTCTCGGTGGCATCGTCGCCGGATTCATCATCGGACTCGTCAGCTCCGCTGTCTGACTCGTTTGCATCGTCGAGACCTGGAATACCGCGCCACTCGACATAGTCGCCTTCCAGCCAGCGACGGCTGCGGGGAAGTTGGTAGGGATCGAAGGGGAAGTATGCATCCAGTTGATAGCCGATATTATCGCCGGCACGGATCTCGCGGCCGACGTGACTGAAGCGAGGGTCTGAGAGATTGGAAATGTTCCTGAAGGCAGTGACACGAATGCGCTTGTTGGTCTCGAGGAGAGGGTAGACATATAGGAATTGGAAGTGGTGTGCGATGCGGGCGAACTCGGCGACAATGGCCGGGGAGCATACCTTGAGCGGGTTTAGTCGCGAATAGATGCATTTGTGAAGGAATTCTTTCATGTTGGGAGGGAATGCGATCTGGCCCGGCTCAAGCTCATCCACCTGGTCTGGAGTATCACCATCAACGGCAGCGGTTGTCAGATCGCGCCACCGGAAACAGAAGATGTACAGAAGGGCCTGTGCAGTGGAGTAGAAAGGTCCGTAGCGACGAAGATCGGGACCGCGGCAGCTGTCCTCATAGTCCATGCGTAGACTATTGAGGTGTGTGAGGAGGAGATCGAAGACGTCGCGAACCACTTCTCCGGAGATATGGGCACCGCGTGCAACAAAGCTGGCCAGGTACGCGGCTGCTGACTGGCGCATGATGCCGGGCTGCAGCTTGTTGAAGATAAGCTGCACAAATGTGGACGCGAAGCGATCGACTAGCACAGGGGACGCCTGGGAGAAGTGGAACAAGAGGAACTGTGAATGACGGGATCGGTATGTAGGAAGGATGATCGATTGGAAGTGGCTGAGGAGCAGATCTAACGCGTTCTCCTGATCATCCAGAGTACCAGAGGTGAAGGGGGGCGAAAAGTATTCAAAGAGGAGATCAATCATCCCATCCACTTTGAGAATGTTGTCCTTGATCTTTTTGGCTCCCTTGGAGTCGTCATCTTCCGATTCATCGCTGACGACCGAGGCATCATCATCATCCTCCTCCTCGTCATCGACCTCATCCAGGATTTCATCGCCTACCTCCTCTTCAAAGTCCTCCATATCAACCTGGATTTCAACGTCGACCTTAACAAGCTTCTCAGTAATAAGAGCCAGGATGTCGGACTGAAGCTCTGGGGCGTAGCTGATGATTTGGATGAGATTGCGGGTGTAGGCGATGTTCGCGCTAGCTGAATCCGAGTCGAAGGGAAACTGGCTAGACAAAATCGGGGAGAGTGATCCACTACCGGCTGGGATGAGCCGCAGCACATGGCGCATTGCCATATGGACTCGGGTATGCATTTCGGATGGTGACACAACGGCGTAACCCGGCAGCCGACCGCGTCCTCGAGGGATGGACCCAAGATTTGTGGCCAACATTTTCAAGACAGGGCCCAGGAAGGTACCCTGAGCGGCGGCGAGGTTGCCAAGGAACCGGGTGTACAGTTTCATGTAGGAATCGTCCCGTCCAAGCCACTCGCTGTTGATGATGGCATGGACCAACCCACTGCAGGAGCGGTCCAAGGAGGCAACATGCGAGATCAGACCAAGAAGGTGGTTTCTCAAAGATGCGTGTGTTGGTGATTCATATGCAAGCAAGCTGTCATCGCCTTCCTTTGTTGGGTCGGCAGAAAACATTCCCTTGATTCGGTCGTAGCCCTCGCTTTCTGACATCGTGACATGTCGGTGAATAGCCCCGCGGACCTCCTCCCGAATGACTGCCAAGCTCTTCTCCGACGAGATATCACCATGTATCGTCACATCTTGATCAAACTGCACGCGGGGTCGCTTCTTGGTGGGAGGAAGGGCTTCCGTCGCGTCATCTGCCTGGGATGAGGAGGGGGAGAGGGGTATGTCCATTTCGCTCATTTTGCGTTTCGAGCCAGCGACCACGGGAGGAGCTTTCGAGGTTTTGAGAATCGGAACTGGAGAGGAAGTCGGAAGCATTTTGGATCGAGATATCGTAGGTGTGGCCGGTAGCGCCGGTTTGCGTGAGGTCGTGGCAAGGGAGACCATGGCCGAATGTGAGGAAGAAGGGATGTAGAACAGATTCTAGACAGAAACCAGTGTCGACATTTGCTTCTCTGCACTCTGGCAGAAATCAAATCCCGTTGACTTTGGATTCAATGTCGGAGCTTATTGAAGACTGGTCCAAGCACACGACACTTTTTCACGTCGCGATCTTGGGGCTTATGCTACAGATTGGAATAGGAGAAAAGGGCAACAGTCTGTCTGCATCCGTGGAAGTCCAGTTGTTTGAGATAGATAAAATCGGATGCAGACAGAATGGTCGAGTTGCTGGATCTGAAGCAAAGCAAAGCGAAATTTTTCCTTCTTTTCCTTCGGTCACTTGTGGAGCCCAGCGGAGCACCCGTGACCGTGTCGGTGAGCCCTACGCTATGCCTAATCGGGTAATATTGACTTATGTCATCGTGTGCTCATTGTCGCATTTTATACATCATCCTCTACAACTTCCTGTGTTCAACTCTGAAGGTTCTTTTGAACGTGTCTATTGGAATATATTTGAGACTCCGGAATGAAATATCGATGGGACTCCAAAAAGTCCCCTAAAAGACCCCAGAATCCTCATAAAGACATTGTAAGCCCTATGAAAGGATGTCATCAAGCAGTTGACCCCAAATGATACATGGATGAATAGCGACAAAAAAGAGACTGTCTATTACGGGAAGAAAAGAGTAAAATGGCAGGTATAAATTCAAAAATCAAGATTGAGCGCGGGAAAAAGGTCCTCCCATGGTATCGTGTAAAACAAGGGGTAATAGTCGTAAAGGAGAGAATAATAGTTGGTGAATAATAGTTGGTCGTCATGGCGGGTCAAGCGAGGAATATCCAGTCCTTGCAAGTCCGCAATCTCGTGTCGTTGATCGCCCCGGATCAACCGGGGTGGGGGCAGCAAGTATATCAGAACCAAGATGTGGTCATTGGCCCACGTGTGTCCTCAAAAATGCTGCCGTACAATTCTTCAACTTCCACAAGATAATCTTCGACAGTGAACTTCTTGAGCCCCTTGGCATAGAGAATCCGCTCTTCGTCATCGAGCATGTTGAGGCCCCCGAATTCCTCGACAACCTCGTTCACCTGCTCGAGCTCTTTGCCGAATGGATGCGGCTCGGCCTGGAAGAATTCCTGTGATGCACGAATGGTCGGTGTGCTGCGCGCTGCATTCAGCGGAGGTGGGGACATTCTAGAGACCGAGCGCTTGTGGGCTAGCTCCTGGTGCGAACGCTTGGTGTGGGATAGAGCCCGCTTAGGCACCAGCGGAGCATCTGTAGTTGACGAAGACGTGGAAGAGCGCGGGTGACTTGTCACCGTGGCCGTGCGCTTCGGGAAATACGACGTCAATGGGTTTGCGTCAATGGGAGAGCTATCGTAAGGAGAGACGTCGGGTGAGGACATCGAAGACGCATAGCTTTGCGGGGAGAAGGCGGCGTCAGAGTCGTCGCGCGATCCTTGTGATGAAGCGGATGAAGAGCCGCTGATTGGGTTGATATCGGGTGCGTTGTAGGCTAGCATGTTGGTTGTGGACAAAAGCTGGACCGGTCCAGATATGTTGCTGCGCTTTATACTTGTTGAGTTGAGTCGCACATGCCCTTCGCCACGATATGGCATGGGTGCGGACACTTCTGGGCGCTTATTGCGCCGGGTGAATGCTCTTGTGAGGGTCGACATGGTGGAGTCGGAGATTTGGTCAAGTTCAAAATATAGCAACGGTGCGTTTTGACGCGGTCGGGAATTGATTTATGATTTTACACATGCAATGTGTAAGATTTCTTTTTTTTTTTCCTTCTTTGAGAATCTGGTCGCGCTTTGCGATCGGGTCCGTATTTGAGTCTTGAGTCTCGCGTGGTAAGACGATCGCGGAAAGAATGTAAGATCAACTGGAATGTCCAGTATCAGATCGTTGGATGTTGTATATAGAATTTCAAATTCTATTGCAGTGATGCACAAAATGAATGTCGAGCCCTCTTTTGATTTCGCGCAGCAAAATGTAGAGGGGAATAACAGTCTCTTCAAGGAATGGTGCACAGGTCAAGAATAAAATAGAACAATAAAAGGAGTCCAGGATCTCAGATCACTTTGTATCTAGGACTTAAAGAATAGAAAAATAAGGAGAGAATGAAGGAACAAAGACACACAATCCCAAGGAGGTTGGAAGAAGAAAGAGAGAAGGGGGCGGTCCTCTCCTTACGGGGGATTTTTTGGGCGCTACACCAGCGGTTGAGGTTGACCAGTAACAAGACACCCGAAGGATGTGGATGGAGCCTAACAAGAATTCAATTTAGGGTCTGGTTATCCAGGGCCCAGTGTTCTCAAATGATCGAGTGGTTCATCCAAATTTTGGTTATTTGCCTCTTTCTGGTATATGAACTACGCCTATTTATTCGTTTCTAGAATCTTGAAGGGGTACAGGCATCCCCGAGTTGATTCCAGCCATCCTCCAGGGTCATCTTCTAGGGTGTCGGATATGTGCCTGGGTATGGAGGGGTCATCGGGCAAACGTGTACTTGTTCGACGTGTCCTATATGTGCTGTCATTCCACATTCGAGACCCTTAAAGTCTGCAAGGTCAGATGAATACCATCCCTCGTAGAAAGTGACCCGTACAGCGTGATGCGATAATGTCCCGAGAATAATTTAATTGAAACGGATGCAGGTCCGGGCTCTTAGTCTGAAGGCACGGGCGTTTCACCAATCACTTGTATCTGTTCTACGCTCAAAGTAGTCTGTGCTCCGTGACCCGTTGGCTCGAATTCAGCCAAGTAGAGGGTCCAATCAGAGGTTTCAACTGGGGGGGGGAACGCAGGTCGAGGAATCTTGCTGCGAGCGCCTGCAGCTGATCAAGTCCTGGGCGGTTAGAGAACCTTCAGATCACCGAGATGGTGTGTGCTGCTCGTTATCTGTGGACTGGTGGATTTTCGGTGGAGTATTGGTTTTTAAAGTCTTAAAAGCCTTCATCTCAGACTCCACCGTGAAGATTGTGTGGAGTGGGGTGAAACCCGCTAGGGTCCAGCAATATACTCCGTACATAATGTTGTATGCGAGGTATGGATGGATTATACATCGTATTATGTTAATTTGCTCCTCGACGCTGGATTTGAACTCGGTTTTGTTTTCACTCGACAAAGCCATTCTGGTGTTTTGGTTTTCTTTTGGAAAAGGTTCCAGAAAACACGTGATTTGGTGACTACAAAATAATAGCCTCAGGCATTCATGCTCCGCAATGACTTAGCCCGTTACAGATAAGGAACCCAGGCTCTATGAGGAAAGGTATGAGACTTTCGTATTATTGCACGTGTTTGGAACACGTCCACTTAAAAGTAAAGGCTCGGGTTATTGTGTGACAGCTCCTCAGCTTTGCTCGACCGCCCCGTCTCCACCCCAGCTCTTGCATCCGAAACACCGACAGCATCCCCGATGCCAGTTATTCCGTCTCGAGAACTACCTGGAGACGGCACGGGGTCGGGTTCCACCGCGGCTTGGTGTCTAAAATAAGCCGGTGAAGCCATCACTCCGGGGTGGGGCTGATGAGCATCGTATGCACTTCCCGAACTGACCCCGTTGTCCCTATGTTGCCATGCATGTGAGACTAATACAGAATGAGGTTGATCTCCCAAGCTCTGCGATTGATTATGAGTAGGAGTCATAGGATTCACCGCGTAGCCACGTCCCGATGTGTTTGAAACCACGTCACTTGGCTGCTCAATGGTAAACCGGTCCGACATGACCGCCAGCCAACGCTCCATATCAGGCCATTCTCGAAGGGGCAGCTGAGACCACTCTTCCATGCGAGCTGCCTTGTTTTTGGGGCTAGTATCCGTCTTTGCTAGGGTCTGGACTGCTGTTGGTTGTCCCATTGAACGAACGGTCATCAAAGCCCCGTAGAGGGCTGACTCGGTCTCCGCCAGTCTCTCTTCCAATTGGTTCAAGTATCCCAAAGGTAAGCCTCTGGGCCAATGAGTTAGTTTCCGGCGGGTACCTGCATATATGTAGGCCTGGGTACTTGCCTTTTACCACTCTCGGGGTAGATGCATTTCGATGTTTCCCCTGCGCATTGAGAACAGAACGGACTTGACGAGATGCAAATGATTAGAAACTAGACCGGCTATCGAATTAAACGGCGAGAACGTTGTTGATCTTACAGTCTGCGATCACACTATTTGGTCAGCGCTTGTCTTGCACTTACAAAATAATAACGTACCTTGCATTTGCGTTGTCTGCATAGCTCACAGGAAATTGGATTCAGATTCTCTTCTGATGACATCTCGAGTCAGTCGATCTATGCTTGTTCTTTGAGGTGTTCTGGCCAAACCTGGCATGGTGGCACCAGGTGCCTTCCGCTTCGATCGCAATTGCGCCATTTGAATATTACAGGGTTATACAATGTAGAATGCCGTGGAATCCCCCGAGGATATCTAATACATCAAGCTATTAGGGTCATGTGTATGGATGATGCTGGTTGGTGAAAGTTTCGGAGTAAGAAACCTCCGGCCAGAATGGACAAGCACGTGATACACCCCACATTTACAAGAAGGGATGGGATAAATTCCCTGTATCATTCATCGCTGCTTTTTAGTTTCCCTCTATCGAACAGATATACCGAAACAGACTTGAACATGCAAGGTCGACGACTAGAAACACTCCTCTTCCAAAACACCTCATTTTGAGATCCTGTTTTTATATTAGCTCACGAAATGCTCGAATGAGTATACACTACTTTACTATAACAGCTAACATGCTTCTACATATATTGATAACTACTAAATATGCATATTGGTGGTAAGAAAGCCACCTAGCGATTGCTGGGTAAATTTATGTGGTTTTTTAGAACCAGCTAAATAGAACGTGCTAGTATGGTATAAACTATACTAGTGTATCCTTATTGTCACTATCTATACTTACCCTACTGAATGTCTTTTTCCCTGCAACCCTTCGAGCTTAAAATGAGAATGGTAAATATATTAGTATAGTAACATTGATGTGACTACTGTCAAATACTACTACCATTTACCCTGCAAGCTTTATCCTGTGACCTTGCGGCCTCTGCAACAGTAGGGAAAGTGAACATACTCGCAAGTAAATTGGGGGGCGGCGGGGGAATTTGTCTTCGAACCCGGGGGTACCTTGCACTGATAGAGCCGTGGTCTCTAGAAGGTCATAGCCTGTTTTGGGACGTATGGCTCCTCTAGATACTGGACCTCTGCTTCCGTCAACGATAATTTCACAGCATCCACAGCCTGGTCGATCCTTTCCAATGAATCCAACCCCAAGATCGGTGCTGCCCCACGCTTGGATAAGACCCAAGCAGTCGCCACTTGCGCCATGCTGACTCCCTTTTTAGCTGCCACTTCTTGCACACGGCTTACAATCAGCTTGGCAGCCTGATCCTCCCCGCTACGGAAGAGTAGCTTCAGGAAAACATCTTGTTCTTCACGCTTATCGGAGCGATCAGTCCAGGCATGAGCCAAAACACCAGCTGCAAGGGGCGACCAAGGCAACAGTCCAACACCGGTGGCGTGGCAGTAAGGAAACATTTCCCGTTCCTCCTCCCGGTAAAGAAGATTGTAGAAGCCTTGCATTGAGATAAACTTGTGCCAGCCATTTTTCTCCGCGACGTTCTGAAGCATCTGGAATTCCCATGCAGCCATCTGGGGTAACCGTTTTGTCAGTTCCGACAATATCCCAGAGATTGAAATGAAAAACATACCGAGCTTGCACCGATGTACCGCACCTTGCCGCTCTCAATCACATCATTCAGCGCTTTCATGATTTCCTCCATTGGTGTTTCCCGGTCCAGGCGGTGAATCTGAAGAACATCGATATACGTACCCAAACGTTCGACGCTGCGGTCTACAGCATCAAAGATGTGCTTTCTGGAGAGGCCAACCAGGTTGACTCTGTCACCATCATTGACTCCATGACTGGCTGCATCCAACGGTCCACGTGTTTCATCGACATGGTGGAAACATTTGGACATGATCACCACCCGAGATCGCGGGATGTTGTACTTTTTCAGCGCCTTGCCGAGAATCTCTTCGGAAACACCATTCGAGTATGTGTCTGCAACGTCCCAAGTGTTGATACCGCGATCATATGCATGCTTGATGAGAGGAAGGGCTTCCGCCTCTTCCGTCAACCAGGGCTGCCAGGTGGTATCACCATAAGTCATACAACCGAGGACGATTTGAGAGATTTTCAGGCCAGAATTGCCAAGTCTTCAAAAGTGTGAGCTGGTGCACAGTATGAATGATCCGAGGATATACGGGACATACCTCACATAACCGACTTTGTTGTTAGATGCCATTGTAAGTTAGTTTAAACTGAATGAGATGAGAAGTAGCCTGAGTGATACGAGAGTCTTCGGGGAACATTACGGTATATTTATATCACAGACTGGATCATCTAGAAGCAGAGAACACCGGAAATAAGAAGCTGAAGTCCGGTTCATGTCAGCGATGCGTCATCATCACAGTTATTTTTGATATAATAGTTTCCTCCGTATTTCTGCACTGAACCTTTTCGTTGTTAAGAGTGGAAAGGTTTACATAGTCAAAATCTGCCACTTTTCCTGCGCTAATGCTGCACCTGTCAGCAAAATATCCACCTGGCGGTCGATTGCTTGCATTGATTGGTGGAATTTACTGGGGCGTGGAAACAACCTGTGGACCGCCAGAACTTAAAAGGAATTGACCAATGACACCAAGCAAGTATGAAACTTATATCCAGACCACGACGTAAACTACTCGTCCATGGACAGTTACATTGGCTGTCGGGGACCAACCAACTACCTCAGATCGCCACCGCCTGCGGTTCATGGCAGATCTTTACTCCGCCCAAAGCCACTTTCCTGCAGGTGTCATCGTCCCCAAACCTTCTCCGTATCCAGTCCACTATTATCTGCATCTGCCCAGTGATGGATTCCACAGAGGCCCCCCAGTCATACATCACGGCACATCCAATTTTCTTAAATCCGATAGAACACCGCATTGCTGTCTGGCCCTTAGACGATTGGACCGACATTACAGACCGGAAAGAACGAAGAAAGCTACAAAATCGGTTTAATCAGAGAGCACGGCGTAAGTCCCCTGACTTTATCTCGATATAAAACCTTAGATTTTTAGTTGTAACCCATTCCATCAACAGGGCGGCGCCAACGAACCCTCCAAGCACAATCGTACAGCTTGGAACGTCCAGCGGAGCCACAGACAGCCTATTCCCCTACCAATCTCAATGAATTGAAATCCATCAACGGTCTACAGATTCTGGGTCCAGATTTTGGACCCTCAATCTGCACTATACGCCGGCTAGAAATGCTTATCTATGCCGAATATGCCGCTAGATCGCCACGCACGGAGCTGCTTTTAAGCCTGACCCAATTAAATTTTCTGAGGGCGTTAATTACCAATATTGATGTTTTGCATTTATCTCCGGCCCAGATGCACGATGAAGCGTTATCTCCGTTTAACCTTGCTGGCCCAAGGTCCCCTGAATATCAAGACTCCTCGCTGCCTTCTGCCTTACAGCCAACTGCCCTCCAACGCACAATCCCGCATCACCCCTGGCTTGACCTTTTGCCTATCCCAGAAATGCGGGACCGGCTGATATTAGCAGGAGAGTCATTGGATGATGTTCAGCTTTGTCATGATCTGTGCGGGTATCGCAACTCAGGAACAGGCCAGACTGGAATGCTCGTCTGGAAAGATCCGTGGGATCCCGTAGGCTGGGAGGTAACGGAAACGTTTATGAGAACATGGGGCTGGGCCGTGCAAGGCAGCTGGGGTTTGTTCCAGTCTACAAATTACTGGCGAATGAAGCGTGGGGAGAAGCCTTTGTTCCGCCTACCTCCAGAAGCTGAAATATCAACTTAATTTCGCATAGTTCATTTGCTCGGATTAAATTCGGTAGATTTATAAGGCAATATAGTCTAGGGACTAATATACACATCACAGCAACGACAATCGGATGTTAGAGAAGCAGCTATCAGTTCATCATACTACCACATTCCCGGGTATCCCCTTAGGTGCGGCCTAAGGGCCTTACAGTGCCCCGTATTTTACGCTAAATATTGTAATAGCCCTACTTTGTACAACACGCTATTAGATAATGATTATTTTGAAAGGCTAGAATAATAACACCTCACATACGGATTACTAAGATACACGAGTTACCTTAACTACCTACTCTATACGAAAGTTTTGCTAAACCTCGGGGAGTAAAAACTATAATAACGAGCGAGGGCATAGCGGCGCTAAACTATACCGTCTAGGTATGTAGCATAACTATAGTAATACTCACGACTTAGTGACCTAGTGAACAAAATGCCGCCCGTTCGCCCAATTTAGATCACGATCGGCGGTCACATCGTGATTAGGACTAAGCGAAGGCGGCATCCCTGACATTGTGATATATTCGAACATCATATGTCTTTCAGCTTCCGTATCCTTGGCCTTTTCCTTCGCTCTCGTTCATAATTTGAAAAATGAAGGCGGATTGTAAGCCAATTGAATCTGCACTCTTGCTGGCTATGTGCCTCCCTGCAGTCTGGGGACAGCAATGTTTAGACCACCCAGAAATGCGCATTGGTGCCTCCGTAGAGACCAGCAGTGGATTGGTTGAGGGGCACGCTGCACCTCGCAGGCCTGCAGTCTCTGAGTACTTGGGCATTCCCTATGCTTCACCGCCAATTGGAGGTCTTCGATTTGCGGCTCCAGTGGCTTATAACTTCAATGGCACCATTAATGCAACTGCCTATGTAAGATATATCTCTTCGCGATGCGGTATGTTTGGCTAATCGTATCACCAACAGAGCCCGTGCGTATAATATGCCCTTGCAGTGATGATTGAATCTGAACAGAATTAGTGATTGCCCTGCAAATACCGGCTCAGTTCCAGATTACCCTGGATTCACTCCGCAGGCTCCCAAGATTGTCAATTCGTTTACCCAGGCTTTGGGTACTTCTCAGAGCGAAGACTGCCTTTTCTTGAATGTGTGGACCCGTCCCACAGTCTCCAAGTTGAAGCCAGTCCTAATATGGTTTCACGGTGGTCGTATGTTCATCTTGGCCCTTCTGTTTTCCAAATATTGACATTTCTTGAAGGATTTACCGGAGGTGGCGCCAACAATCCATACTATGATGGGCAAGCCTTGGCGGATGAGCACGAGGTGGTAGTAGTGACCATCAAGTCAGTACTCTTCACCCTGCGTTTGCACATCGTCGCTAATTGATACTATGTAGCTACCGATTGAATATCTTCGGTTTCTCTGGTGCACCCAACCTTCCCCAAAACGTCGGGCTGCTAGATCAACGGATGGCAGTAGAATGGGCCCATCGAAATATCGCCGGATTTGGTGGAGACCCAAAGCGCATCTCAATCTTTGGCCAGTCTGCCGGTGGCTCTGCCGTTGACTATTATTCACAAGCCTGGGAAGATAATCCCCTTGTTGCCGGTCTCATCTCGCACTCTGGAACGTCACTCAGCTTTGTGCCCAACACTGCTGAAGAGTCTGCTAGTTATTTTTATACTGCTTCCAAGCTTCTTGATTGTGGGGACCAAACCAATGACCCTAAAGAAGTTGTCAAGTGTGTTCGCCAGAAGCCGTACACGGACGTCGTCAAGGCGAGTGGCCGGGTTCCGCCAGCACCTTCACCAGCCATTCCACAGGCAGTATTCCATCCGACGGTAGATGGAGTTACCGTGTTTGGCGACTACGCTGAGAGATCTGCTGCAGGAAGATTCGCACGTGTAGTAAGTAAAAATCACATAGTTGAGCCCATCTTCATGAGGTAAGCTAACATGTTGCAGCCATATTTGATCAACAGCAATCATTACGAACCTGGCTACTATCGTATCAGTGCGTTTAACGCAAATATATCCCTTAGTGACAGCGCATGGCAAAGTTTCAACGACGCGGCTTTCACTTGCCCTAGTGGTGCGTCCGCAAGATATCGAGTTGACAACAGCGTTGCAGTCTGGCAGTCCCACTACTTCGGCGACTGGGACAACCTACGTTTGTATCCTAACAGCGGGAGCTACCACGGCGCCGACGTGCCTATGGTGTTTGGAACCGGAGAGAAAGTCAGTGGAATCCCGAACAGCGACCGAGAGAATGAATTTGCCCGGTACATGGCTTCCGCCTGGGTTGCATTTGCAAGTGATCCTCAAGAGGGCTTGACCAAGTTCGGATGGCCGAGATACAATCCTAGTGGTAAGTTTCGGGTCAATTGTTTTAAGCCCCATGTGTCTAACTATGCAACAGAGAAAACACTTGTTGGGCTTGCCCACAAAGATTGTTCCAATAGCATGTTGCTCCGACCTGAGGATGTGGAGCAGGGATGTGCTGCTCTGAAGGGGGATAGCACTCCCGGAAAAGGTGCCTTTTAGAGAAACTCGAGAGCATGCAACTCATAGGAGTAAAAGATAATGTGTGTTCATCAAAAGATGCTTATGAATAATATAATCTTGAATACAAATTCTTCAATTTTATAGATCTGGTGATGGCCCGGGGCCCCGGGGCCCCGGGCGCCTGCCGCTGACGTAATAAATAACCGTGCCCGGAGCTGAATTTCTTCCCCAGGAAACTGAACCTTCAATATCTCAATTCGAGAAATGTGATACATAAATCATAGCGATAATGGCTTCGGCTTCACCTGCCAGCATGCGGTTTGAGGAGAATGAGTCTGAATGGCCATATTCTTCTCGTCCAACCAAGAGACACAAGCGCACCTCCGGCGCGGGTACCTCAGGACCCTCGCCTCGCGAAATTGGATTCATGAGAGAGTCCCAAAATGAAGGATCTGCGACCTTCCTTGGAAGTTCAAGTGGAATCCATTTCATTCGGCATGTTTACAATGCCTTCGCGCGTCGTTCAGCAGACTTGGACCAAACACGAGCCCGTGACAGAACCTCGGTGCCAGGGGAAGACGACCGGCTGCAGCAAAATTCAGGAAGCATTCAAAGCTCGGATGAGCTATGGGAGAAGGAGGAACTAAATTATGCACCAAATATCTCAATTGCTTTCAACGATCTTATTAAATGGACACGCAGCTACTTCGAGAATTGGCATCCAATATTCCCATGCCTCCACGCCCCGACAGCCTTGAAAACCATAGAGACAGTCAGTCAAAAGGGGACGGAATCGGTCAATCAACTAGAATTGATGATTATCCGCTCCATCGTGTCGATTTCTCTCGGTGATTATCGACAGAGAACGTCGTCTGGTTCGAAGCTGAATCCCGTTCCTTCAGTCTTGGTCTTTCGATCCATTCAGCATGTGATGCAAGATGTACAAAGCCTCCTTGAAGAGCCAACCAGTTTGCCACTGCTTCAAGCAGCATTTACGGCTCAACTCGCCCTCGCTTCTCTTTTGCGCCTGAATGCCGCCTCGCGGGTAGGGGGTGTCATCACGCGCACTGCATTCCACCTCGGGTTGCATCGTTGCCCAAGACGTTTTTCTTGCTTTAGCAGCGAAGAGGCTGATATCCGCTGTCGGTTATTCTGGTCAATCTATTCACTTGAAAGATATCTTTCTCAGGCCCTTGGCATTCCGCTCTCTATTCGAGATGACGACATCGACGTGTGCTACCCCGATGCCGAGAGGCATTCTTCAGCTGTCAAATTCCCTGACGATCCCAGATTGCGCTTACTGTGCCATCTTGCGAAATTTGCACGAATTCGAGGTTTAATTGTTGAGCTTCGTAATAAATCCATTCTCCACAGTCATGCCAGCCAGGTTGAAGCAGCTCATGTTACTGGAGAACTAGCGCAATGGTGGAATGAAGTTTATGACGATGTCAATCCCATTGATGAGCCCACAGAATCTGGCGTGGATCAAGAACCGATCTTGCAGCCATACCACCGGTTACTCCTGATTATCCTGAGACACGAAGCTATCATCTCGCTCAACCGACCTCTTTTGGCCTCTGAGAAGCCCAGTGTAGATTACAAGAACGCTCTGCAGACTTGTATTGGATCCTCTCGATCTATACTTGCGGCATTGAGAAAGCACATGTCTTCTGAGCCGAAATCTCCGCTCTCCTGGCCATGCTTTACTTGGTCAACTTGGATGGCCTGTCTCATTCTGATGTATGCTGCGTGGGAAGAGGAATTCCCCACGCCGACTGCTCTCAAATATGCGAGAATGGGGATTGCCATTTTGGAAAACCTATCACTGCGCGGTAGCAGCTGGCCAGAGACCTGTATCGAGGCGATCAAAGGCATGGAGTCTGCTTTCGAGACACAGACATCTAGTGGGCAGCAATCTAGGGCCGCTGCAATATTTAAGGGCGCAGGGAGACCAGCTCAACCGCATGCCCAAGCTACACCATCGACGGATAAACGGATATCACGAATGCTGCCAGTTCAGAATGGAAATAATGAGCTTGGCGATACAGGTCTCGCATCAATTCAACCTCAAGCTTTAGCGCCGAACGGATACCAAGGCCGTTCAGTATCTACCGGGATACATCCGTTTCAATCACCAATTCGCTCTCCTGTCCGAGGCCTTGGCCCCGCAGAAAACTACGACTCTGCCGTTTTTTCACCGTCTGACAATATGGGTAACTTTGCCGAAGGGCTAGATCCTGCTGAGAATTATTTCGGTGGGCAGTCTTCAGCTGGTCTCATTTTCGGCAACATGGCTGACGCAAATCCTGCTTTTAATCCGAGTGTTGCTGGTCAGGACTCTCTGCCATTTTCATCATCTATGCTCATGAACGATTTATGGAGTGTGGCCGATGGCCCATGGATGATTCACAATAACTTTTTGTGATTTCAGATACATAATCTATAAATCTATGTGTGATAGTCAAGCTCTGAACGAACAAATTTTCCATCTCAGCTCACTAATACAAATCAATATCAACTACTGTCCTATCCTGATCCAAAACAACTCGCAACTGGCCCTTGTTATCGGAATTGGGTGCGCTCAAATCGAAAAAGCCACGTCTCAACTGGTCAAGATACAGCTCATAAGCCGGCATATACCCTTTCACAAACTGGATAACCTGCTCATCCGTCATACTCTCATTCGTCCGCGCGCGGAGAGCATGCTCCTGCTGCATCCGCCACCGATAAACATTGACCAGGTCATTGGTATCCAAATGAACGAGGAAATCCAAGTGCTGCGGTCCCATGAAAAGATCGCAGTAGCCGCGCAGCTGCATGTTCGCATCCAGCAAGTGTTCAACGGCATGACCCTTCAGAGTTTCTGTTGGGTATTCCGATGCAGTCTGCTTCTTTAGCCCTTCCTCCCACTGTTGTCGTAGAGCCGTTTCATCCAGAGGCTGGAATCCAACACACCAGCCTTCAAAAACAACAACATCAATCGCTGTTCCAGCGGGAACACGGTACCATGTCTCTTTTGGTGTCCTCCCGCCCTCGCCGTTGAACTTGCTCTTGTCAAATGACGGGATAAGTATCTCCGAGCCAGTGCTTAAGCTTTCGAAGAAAGAGCGCGCAAGAGCCATGTCATGTGTTCCCGGTTGGCCTCGTGCTTGGACCAGTTTGTTGGATGGATTGGCCGTGCGAAGTTGGACCAGATCGTCGTGATCAAGGTACAGGTCATCGAGTGACAAATTTGTTGTGTTGAAGCCGTGGGTTTGTCTTAGCTCTTTCACAAGCGCATCGGTCCATGTCGATTTCCCGCTGCCTTGGAGGCCTGTCAAACCTAGGATAAATGGTCGCGGGTTTGTTGAGGTCGGTGACTGGCATTGAATGTGGCGTTGAATATGAGGTAGAACATGATTCAAGACGTTGTGTACTGCTTCTTGTGGAATCGACATTGTGGTCTCGTGCTTTTTGTTTGGCAATCTCAATTGCAGATTGGATTGATATTGGTCGTAAAACTGGAGGGGCAAACGCCAAGTAGATCCGTTGGGAGGTATTCGGTTTCAATTTCGAACCTCGCAATGTTTATTAACAGTTCCCAGCATTTACTACCCTAGTTTACAATACTAATTCTTGGGGAGGATCTAGGAACCGTTTCTCGACCGAGTTGTATGCAAGTCAGAGTTATTCGCCACGCGGACATGTCTTTGTCCGAGTGGGGCCCTCCGTCCAGCACAACCCGGGCATTTCAATCTCCGTCTGCACCCCGCGACGATTATAGTCGGATAGGCTTGCGATGAGGGGTTATGCGATAGGCTTATGGGCAGACTACATGTGGAGACTGAAATCTAAGAATTTGAACCCGAATTCCTTTAAAGCCTTCGTCTTCTGCCGTCTCCCATCTAAATCACCTCGAACAAGAACTTCACAACAACATCATCATGTCTGCTCCAATCGCTAGTCACAAGACTTACAGCATCGCCTCCATCCCAGCCGATGGAATTGGCCCAGAGGTTATCAGTGCTGGTATTACAGCTCTGAATGCCTTGACCGACACCCTCAAGACCTTCAAGTTGGATTTCAAGAACTATGATTGGAGCTCCGATACCTACAAGAAGACCGGCAAATACATCCCCGATGGTGGACTTGAGGAGCTCAAGAAGCACGATGCGATTTTCTTCGGCGCCGTCGGCGCTCCTGGTAAGTAGACAAAACCAATATCTTGAAAGACATGTTACTAAACACGAGAGAAGATGTCCCCGATCATATTTCCCTGTGGGGTCTGAGACTTGCCATCTGCCAGCCTTTCCAGCAGTATGCGAACGTGCGCCCAACACGGGTGTTCCGCGGCACCGAGTCCCCGCTGCGCAATTGTGGCCCCAACGACCTTGACTGGGTCATCATCCGTGAGAACAGCGAGGGAGAGTACGCGGGTCAGGGTGGCCGCTCCCACACTGGAAAGCCGTGGGAGGTCGCGACTGAAGTTTCTATCTTCTCCCGTCATGGCGTGGAGAGGATTATGCGATTTGCTTTTGAGACTGCTCAGAAGCGGCCGCGCAAGCTGTTGACTGTGGTTACCAAGAGTAATGCGCAGCGCAACGGCATGGTTCTCTGGGATGAGGTGGCAAAGCTTGTTGCCGTTGATTTCCCTGATGTCACTGTGGACAAGATGCTTGTTGATGCCATGACTACTCGCATGGTTCTGAAGCCTGAGAGTCTCGATACCATCGTTGCTACCAATTTGGTGAGTTGTCGCAATGGGAAATTATACATAACTAGGTCTGCGGACTAACGATCAACTAGCACGCTGATATTCTCTCTGATCTTGCTGCCTCTCTGGCTGGATCTATTGGTATCGCACCTACCTCTAACCTCGACCCTACACGGGAGTACCCTAGTATGTTCGAGCCCATTCACGGCTCTGCTTTTGATATCACTGGCATGGGTATCTCCAACCCCGTGGCTACATTCTGGACGGCTGCGGAGATGCTTGTTTGGCTCGGCGAGGAAGAGGCTGCCAAGAAGCTGCTGGTTTGTGTCGAGAATGTCTGCGAGCAGGGAGTTCTTACCCGTGACTTGGGTGGTGACGCCACAACAAAGCAGGTCACCGATGCGGTTGTGGCAGAGATCAAGAAGCTTGCTTAGGTTTTGTCCTGAGTAAAGGATTTTGTATGAGCATGAGCAATGAAAATGTATAAATTGGACAAAAATTAAAACATGATGACCCAAAGCAGATGAAATAATGGAAAATTTAGAATAACATGAAAGGCTCTATTTCTATAGAGTATCTTTTCTATATATAACATGTAACATAATAGTTTGCTTTTCCGTGTTTGACCTTTGCCCAGGTGATATATATCGCTTGATCAATACTTCGGTCTTTCGTGATCGCCCACCTCGACCGCCTTTCAACCTCCATCGACTCTCAACCACCACTCTCACAGAAATATTTAAATGGAGCGCCCCTCCAAAAGAGCCAAAATCTTATTAGATCCGAGTGATGGCTCAGCGACTACACCCCTGACGTCTTTGAGCAGGGCCATCAGCCCACCACTGCCACGAGGCTGTCCCGGAGTGACTGATGGTAAATTGACTTCTGGTGCTGGAGGCACTGCTCGCCCTACCCAGTTTGTCAATTCGCCAGTACAGCTTACTCATATTCGAGATTTACCGGATGGTAATAATGTCGACGCGGTCCGACTACGCGATATTCTTGGAGATCCCATGATCCGTGAATGCTGGCAGTTTAACTACCTCTTTGATGTGGATTTTCTCATGTCACAGTTTGATGAGGATGTCCGAGACCTGGTCCAGGTTAAGGTTGTGCATGGATCCTGGCGGAGTGAGGATTCAAATCGCATTCGAGTTGAGGTAGGTTCGCACTGACAAGACTTCTTTCGATCGAGCTGACTGAATCATTTTAACTTATCTCATCATTGATCGAGGGCTTAAAATGGCGTGAGACTAATCTGCTACTAGGAAACCTGTGCACGATATCCTAATGTCGAGCCAATTGTGGCCTACATGCCGGAGCCTTTCGGGACACATCATTCCAAGATGATGATTCTTCTTCGGCATGATGACCTTGCTCAGTAAGTTTCTTCTAGACATAATTGATCGATATATTCCAATACAGATCTGACTAAATAACTAAACAGGATTATTATCCACACAGCAAACATGATTTATATGGATTGGACCAATATGACCCAAGCCGCCTGGCTCTCCCCACTGCTTCCCCTGCAGAAGGAAAGCCCAGCGGGATCTCAGACAGACGCCAAAGTTGGCTCCGGCGCAAGATTCAAAAGGGATCTCCTCGCTTATCTGAAAGCGTATGGACCTAAAAAGACCGGCCCGCTGGTCCAGCAGTTGGATAGCTATGACTTCAACTCTATCCGCGCTGCCCTCATTGCCAGTGTCCCGTCCAAAAAGCACGCCAGTGACTCCAGCGCAGAAGAGGAAACACTGTGGGGCTGGCCTGCTCTGAAAGACTTGATGAGCCAAATACCCATCCAGCAGAAAAACAAAACCAAGAAACCACACATAGTAATCCAGGTACGTATCCCCAAATAACCCATCACGCTGTAACAAACCTCCAACAAGTCCAAGATCTCTTCAGTAGCAACCTTGGGCCAAACAAATAAATGGCTCAAAGAAGTCTTCTTCAAAGCCCTCACCCCAACCCCAACCCAGCAAGCAACAACCTACTCAATAATCTTTCCGACCCCGGACGAAATCCGTAGCTCCCTGAACGGCTACAACTCCGGCGGCTCAATCCACATGAAAACCCAAAGCGCAGCGCAACAAAAGCAACTTCAATACATGCACCCCTATCTCTGCCAATGGGCAGGCGATACCATTACCCCAGGTCAATGCATCGACTTATCCGAAGATAATCCCCCAAAGCGCGAAGCAGGCCGCGCCCGCGCAGCCCCACACATCAAGACTTACATCCGCTTCGCGGACTCGGACATGAAGACTATTGACTGGGCGATGGTTTCGTCGGCGAATCTGTCCACGCAGGCGTGGGGCGCGGCGACGAATGCGAGTGGCGAGGTGCGCATTTGTAGCTGGGAGATTGGCGTTGTTGTTTGGCCGGACCTTTTCCGAGATGAGCGTTGTGGCGATGCTGCATCTGCATGTGAATCTGAATCTGAATCCCGAGCGGAAGGGAAATCCCCTAGGCCAGATGCGCTCATGGTTCCTTGCTTTAAGCGGGATCGTCCTGAAGCTTCTGAGGGGACCGAGACGGCTTCTGTGGTCGTCGGATTCCGGATGCCTTATGATCTTCCGTTGACACCGTATGGTGCAGGTGATGAGCCGTGGTGTGCGACTGCTTCGCATACTCTGCCGGACTGGCAGGGGCAGAGCTGGATTATTTGAGTATGCTATCTTTGCATTTAGTCTTCTTAGCTAGATCTGGTGGTTTTTTGTCCCAGCCGTTCGCCGGTGAGAGTCGCATGGTTATCTCAGAATATAGTATACGGAATTGTGAGGTACGCGAGTATTGGATCATGGAAAGTAGCATGCATTTGTATTCGTTCATTCGTCCTGAGAGTTTTCGGACAATACGATTATCTCTTTTGTTTTCGATAACCGTCTTTCTAAAATCTCACTCGACAATATATCCCGTTTGATAGATCGCGAGTTCATTCCCCAAGACCAGTTCCCCAAACTGTATCATCTATTCGTCGCGGGTGCCGTACTTGGTAATGAAGGTGTTGACGTGGCTGATGTAAAGCTGGTGAGCCTTGGCGGGGCTGTAGTCCTTGACCTTCTCCCAGGCACCGTAGAGCTGCTTCTTCTGTAAGGTTGCAATGAAATGTCAGCTACCGGTCTTCTTCAAAGGAACGTGCTATATCTCGGGGCTTGCTCGAGCTCGAAATTAATATGGAATCGAACGTACCTGGATATCGAACATGCCGGGCTTCTCCATAACATCACCCTTGCCAACCTTGAAGTAGATGTATAGGTCCTTCTTCTCCAAAAGACCGGGGGAGGTCTTCAGCATCATAACAGCCTTAGCGGCAAACTCAAAGGCCTTGCGGAGGGTCTCAGCCTCGGTGGCATCATCGAGCTTCTCGAACTCGCCCTGCTCGGCGACCTTCTCGTAGATGTCCTTCAGAGCTGCGATATCGATGCCGGTAGCAGCTTCTTGGACCTCGGGGGTGAATTTTTCTTTCTTCTGGGCGGCCTCCAGAACAGTGAGGAAGGGGGTAATGTCGGACATTTTGAAATTTGGAGATAGATTGTTTATGAGTATGAGAGGTAAAAGTCAAGAGCTGAGGATTTATATGGTTGGGATGTTGGAGATGGTTGAGGGCGGGGTCAACGGGTATAGGTGGGGTCGCTGACACACTCGCCAGTTGGTTTTAAGGTACACGGTATTTCTTGCATATGACAATGTACTCTATAGGCATACAAGCTATATAATTGGCAGCACGGCTCTAGAGTAACTCCGATTGTCTTAATAGGTTCAGCACTAAATTTTTGTTAAAAAAAAACTTATTATTTCAAGAACCACGCCAACGGATGCACGTTCACATGCAACCACTGTAGAAACCACTCGCTATGCACCAGCAAAAGAAAAGAGAAGTAAATTCTCGTGACAATATACAAATTCAAAGAGAGCGATTGATCACCAGTCCACCGCCCATCCATTGTTGGTGAGAAATTCCTCACAAGCAGCCTTGAGAGCATAATTGGTCCGCAGATCATGAACACTGACAGGAGCCCGAGTCAAAGGATCGACGCCCGACTTCTCAACATACTTAGTGATGCCCAAGCGATCGAAACTGACCCCGGACGGTGTCATAACCGGATCATGCATGATTTCAAATGTGATACCATCAATGAGATAGTCAGGAACAACCTAGAATCAAATCCAAATGTCAACAAAGAACCAACCTCGTCAAAAACCAAGTTGGAAAAACAAACCCTTTCCTCAATCTCTCCTTTCGAAGCAACTCGAAATGCCTCCCTCAAATTCCTAACCTTAGTCTCCGCATCCTCCCGCAACGCCTTCTGATCCTCCCCAAACCCAATCTCACCAATCTCCCCGCGCTCCAAACGACCCTGCAACTCCGCCAGCGCACGCGTCACATCAGCCTCAATGAGCGCCTCCACAGATCCCAGTGTCTCATTCAGCTCACGTATCCGAGACGTCTCCCGCGCAGCCCAGATCTGCTGCTTTGCGCGTAGGACTATCCGCGACAGGTTCTCCGTCTGGGCATTCTTCACTGCTAGACTCTGTTCGTATGCGTTGGACGCGACGTCGTGTGCTTCCTGTGGGCGCTGTAGGCCTAGGAGGGCCTGGGCGAGGTAGTAGTGGCTCTTTAGGGCGACGGGGTTCTTTAGGCCGTAGATTTCGATTGCGGCGCGGGCGTCATGTTCGACGTCAGCCCATTTGGCGAGCTTGATTCGTGTTATCGCGCGGTTTGTGAAGAATGTTGCATCTTTGGGATTCTTTTGGATTCTATGTGATAGAGGGTTACGTTAGTTCGAGATATTTGGAGGTCTGTTGGGCTTGTGATTTTGGGTTTGGGGTGAGGGGGGCGGAAAGGCCGGAGGGGTCGGATATGACAGCATACGCTTGGGAATAGAACTCTTCAGCACTGCTATAGTCTCCGGATTTGAAGAGCTCATTGCCCTTTGCTTTGAGTTCTTGAGCCATGGTCTATGTGTGAGTGAGGCCTTGGGTTTATCCCCGTGTCGTTGATCTGTTCCCCAATGTGGGGCGGTCCACCATATAGTGTCAGAAGTGATATGAGTGGATATTGCAGTAGTTCATAAAAAGTAATGGGGGATTTAAGGGGTTTTGATCTGCAATCACCATGTGAGTACCCTTTGTGGATATGTTTGTGAGTTCATCCAAATCGCATGAAACAACTGCATATGGAAACTCATAGATCCCCGCAGAAGGTCTGAGTCAGCTCAATTGGATTGCACAGTCCTGGAGGATATAGCTACTCGTCTACAGTTCAGTCTGGATGAAGTTGATAATAGTTATTTCATTCACTATATACATATCTATGTGACCTTCTAATCCAAAATCTGGAAGCGGAAGTAACATTTGGTTCGTGGTATCATGCGCTGTGAGAACTAGGAAAGACATAACAATCGTGCAGACAAGTCGATGAAACCTGACAAGTCATGCTCTGTCGAAGACAAGGTTGGGCGACAATACCAGGAGGATTCTCAAGATATTCAAAGTGTTTCGAGTGTCAGGTAAGACAAGACAGAGAACAAAGATAAGTGACAAGTGTCTAAGCAGCAGTGCGGAACTGGACCTCATAGTCCGTGATAGCCTGGACCTTGGCAGCAGAGGCAGACTTGGGGTCGAAGCGGTAGTTGAGCCAGTCTGTAGCGAGCTTCTTGGCCAATTCGACACCGATGACACGCTGACCCATGCACAAGACTTGAGCATCGTTGCTCAAGATGGAGCGCTCAACAGAGAATGGATCGTGGGCAGTCACAGCCCGGATGCCGGGCACCTTGTTCGCAGCGATAGCAACGCCCAGACCAGTGCCACAAATAAAGAGGCCACGATCAGCCTTGCCATCCATGATGAGCTTGGCACCCTCAACGGCAGGGTGAGGATAGGCAGTCTTATCGGAGGATGAGTTGACACCAACGTCAATGATCTCAGCGACAAGAGGGTTCTTCTCGAGAGTGGCCTTGATGGCATCCTTGTATGGGACACCGGCCTCGTCGCAGGCCATGACAATGCGGAATGGAGTAGCCATGATGAAGGATGAAGGTATGGACAAGAGGATGAAGAATTTCCAAATAATAGTATGAATTATAGTATGAATTGAATCGAGGAAATAATTGAGATAGAGCGATTGGTTTGATACAGAGAAGAAATCCTGATTTAGGAGTACACAAAGGGGGACTTTATATCTTCTTGCTCAGCTTCTTCCCCTCTCTTCTCATTTATAGCCGTGTAACCAAACCCAGGTCCAGCCAATCCTTGCATTTGATGGAATCATCATCTACCGTTCTCCACCGAGAAACTCGAATGGCCTGGTTCCCTTGAAATTGTTACGTGTATTACCAGCGTCCGGGGTGGCCCGCCCCAGCATCATAGCACCCAACGACAGGCTGTGAGTGGTCAGCGCCAGAAAGAGGTTAAACCGAGGTCGGATACTTTAGGAGCCTTGTTTTGGGCCATACATGCATTTTACCTCGTATTACACGGGATGTTTTATTAAACCTCACTGGCGCCGGCTTGGACTACGCCTCCCAGGCTTCATATTCTGCCATAGTCAAGCCATCGATGTCAGTGGTGAACACGACTTACAGAACAAGACGGACAAGACAGCTGTGGCTTTTTGCACAGGCATGTTCAATTTCCGTTTTTAAATCTTGATGCCTCGAGGCCAAGAACCGAGAGTCTTGGTTTCATCTTTTTTTTCCCCGACGCCAGGATTGGTTTCGGTGGCTAAGGCCTAGGCACCTCGTATATTGAGGAATACACAGCTATGACCTCAGCCGCATATCACCCAGGCGGGAAGACGGGAAGACAGGAAGACAGGAATTGTTGAAATTGACCTCATAACTGAGAACTAAGTTCAATGCTATGCTTAAAACCTGGCTGAGCATAACCTTGGAATAGAATGCAAGATATCAAAACATGTGAATTGCCTCATAACTTGATTTCCCAGTCGAATACAATCAAGTAAGTACAAAGTACGTAGTGTCCAGACGCTAAACCCCATAATTGATGTGCATTGCCTCATTGCAAGGTTGCGTACTCCACTTTCCCCCACCGTCTCCGATGTTGTTGGTCGCTGTCAACTTAACCCACCGGTTCTCCGTATATTGTACTATTGTACAATGTACTCCAGATTTTCCTTTGGATCTGCACTATAGGATTTAATAACACTATAGTAGATACATAAGATATAGCATACACTTCAGAATGTACAAGTTGTACACAAAGGCCAAAGCGCAATACGCGTATTATCGAAATACATGCATGTATGTACATAGTTCCATTCTACATAGCACATGTGCTATCAGGAGTACTTGATACTACATTGACCTTTCTTGGCCTATCATAGTCTTGTCAACATTCATTAGTCTCCGGCATTGAGTACTCCGAATGGTCTCTTACTTTGTATACCCCTGTCTGGGCTGATGTGACATCACGTACCGAGTACTGAGTACATAGTTAGTACTTGGCACCATAACCTGAATGCCCCTCTCATACACTAACCTGATGGGACAATCGGAACGTCTAGCGCAGAAATCCCACTAATGCAACGCATTGACATTGGAAATTACCGAAGATGGTCAAAATGAAACTTGGAATTACTTGGAATTTCAATTAGAGTGCTCGCTTCCACTTTCCAGAGCAACTTTTCCGAGTATCCCCAATCCCCCGGGAACGCTAAGCACATCCCCCACCATAACACTAGGCATAACACGAGACAATCAATTTGAACACACAATTTCTACAACACCCATCACCCATTACGCATCACCATGGCATCCACCTACCCAATTCTCCCAGAGAAGCTTCTCCTCATCTCTCTAAAGATGTACTTCACTCCAGACCGGACACTCAGCTATCTGCGCGACCTCCTCAACCCAACCAACGAAATCGTTCACCCCGCAAACCGAGACAAACTCCTCCTTGCTTTAATCCCAGACTTCCTAACCATCTGGCCCTGCGCCCAAATTCTCAAAGAGTATGAAACCAACCTAACCAACACCGGAACCCCTCAATCCCAACCCCCCTTCCTACTCGGCGCACAAGACTGCTTCTGGGAATCCCAAGGCGCATACACCGGTGAAGTCTCACCGGCCTCAATCCGCGCACTGGGCTGTTCAATCGTCGAACTAGGCCACGCCGAGCGCCGCGCCATCTTCAACGAAACAGATTCCCAAACGGCCCGAAAAGCAGCCGCAACATGCGCCCAGCATATGGTTCCGCTCGTCTGTATCGGCGAAGTGACAGCCCCCGGCCCAATCGCCTCCCAAGCTGTCGGCCAGGCCGTGACGGAGTGCGCGGTGCTAGTGCGCGCGGTACTAGATGCTATCCCGGATGACGCGCCCGTTGTCTTTGCTTACGAGCCTGTCTGGGCTATTGGCCAGCCGAAGCCTGCGGGGGTTGATCATGTTGCAGCAGTTGTGCAGGGTATCCGGGCTGTGATTGGTGTTCGGCCTGGTACGGTGCGTGTCTTGTATGGTGGCAGTGCGGGGCCTGGTCTTTGGGGGGCTGGTGGGCTTGGTCGCACTGTTGATGGAATGTTTTTGGGCAGGTTTGCGCATGAAATTGATGGTGTGCGGGAGGTTGTTCGTGAGGTGGAGGAGACGCTAGCTCTGGTGTGATGCTGTGTTGGTTGTGTTCGCTAATTATAGCCTTGGACGCCATATGCACTGCGCACACCAGGTATTGTCCTTGCTTCGACACCTTGACGCCTTGGACACTCTATATGTGTCTACAATCACATATACAGGTATACGGTATTGTGTTTCGCACTATACGGTTCCTCGTCACTGTTATACGGAATAATACATAACACCGCTTAAACAGAAAGAAACAGCCCAAAAAAACAGCCAAAAAACAGACGCATCTAGACACAAACTCCTTTCATGGGATCAAAAAACAGAAAAAAGTGGGAATCTCCAGCTCAGGTGCCTCTCGGGAAGCCTATCTGGGGGAACCCGGCAAGCCCACAAAACTGGAGAACTTCCCCGGTTTTTTCTTCTGTGAACCTGTCACGCGGCCGATCAGAGATTTACCTCTCAGATGACTTTTAAAGCTTTTTTTAACTTCGGTAACTTCAATAGGCCTTGGATGTCGTGAAGCTATCTCTCCCGGTCCACTTCCATACTAGATGTGGGTTCGTTGTGGACTCTAGAGCTCCATTTTGCACTGATCGAGTAATCCGAGCTATTGATATACACTCTCAAAGCCATTATTGTGTTCAGTCTTACCGACAATTCCATTTTTTCCATTTCTTTTCGGTACTGCCTGACTCGGTTGCTCAATTACATATATAGTATAGTGTCAGGTGTCGAATCTCTCGTACGAGCGGACGAGAGAGCGGACGAGAGATTATGCAGAAAAACGATGAATGCAGAATATCAGAATATTGCTTTTCTTGTTCATATCCATGTTATTTACAGGATCTATCAAAGACCGAATGAGAATAAAAATAAAAAACCATAGTTCACACCGCTTATTTCTTCTGCACCTCCTCGCGCAGCTCCTGCTTAACACGTGTAACAGTGCCAACACCACCGTAGACAACACCAGTGTACATCATAGCGACCGAAGCGCCGGCCTTGAGGGCCTCGCGTGCCTCCTTACCGGTAGTGATACCGCCGGAAGCGAAGATAACCTTCCGGGGGAGGTTAGACACAACAGACTTATCCGAGTCGGTCGCAGAAGGAGGTCCCTGGTCAAGCAGGGCACGGTAGCGGGCGACGAGTGCAACGGAGCGGTCAAACAGCTGGGGGCCGGAGTAACCACCGGTTTCCTTGAGGGTCTTCTGTTCCTCGGCGGGGAGGACAAAGCCCCGGGGCACGGGGTCGGGCCGACGGTTGGTGGTGTTACCGACGATGACGCCGTCGACGCCGGAGTTCCAGACAGCCTCGCAGATGCCGGAGATCTGCTCGTTAGAGTCCTCATCCGGGCTGACCTTGACCATCACGTAGGGCTTGGTCTTACGCTGGACGTTCTTAGCGGAGGCGACGACCGCCGTCAGGATTGCTGTGAGGGGTGCGGCGGCTTGGAGGTCGCGCAGGCCTGGGGTGTTGGGGCTGGAGACGTTCACGACGAGGATGTCGGCGTACGGCGCCACTCGGTCCACGCAGTAGACGTAGTCGCGCTTGATAGCTTCGATGTCTCCGTCGGGGGTGAGCTTGTTCTTGGCAACTTGCACGGCAAGGAGCTTGCCCGGGATCAGACTTCCGGGAGGGACGTTGGCTTCGCCATCCAGAACACGCTGCGCGGATTGTTCGTGCAGACCGAATCCGGCGGCGTAGGCGAAGTCAGCTACGCGCTGCTTCAGGACCTTTGCCATGTGGTCGGCGCCCTTGGAGTTGAGGCCGTAGCGGTTGATCATGGCGTGTTGAGAGGGCAGACGGAACACTCGAGGCTTGGGGTTTCCTTCCTGTGGCAGAGGCGTGGTGCCACCCACCTCGACGATGGAGGGACCGATGTCGAACAGCGCATCAGGGACCTCGGCGTGCTTGTCCAGACCGGCGGAGATACCGATGGGGTTGGAGATGGTGTATCCAAAGACCTAGTGACGGGTATTGTCAGTGATTGGCTATCGATGGAGTCGGGAATGCCATTACCTCAGTTGCCAGGGCACCATCACGATCCGGGTCGCCACGCTCGCGCGGGTGAAGACCATACTGGTAGAGCACCTTCAGGTTCTCCACGCCGCTGTGGTGCGCATCCTCCGCATCAGGCCACAAGAGGCGGATCAGGGGCACAACGCCGTATCTGTGGATACTGGCTCTTGTGTCGGTTCCATAGATGTAGCCCACCAGCAGGGTCAAGGCCAACGAGGTACCGTACAAGACCTTCTTGGAGCCACGGCCCGCTTTGCGAGGGATCTCCTTAGCGGCCTCCTTTGTAGCATCCTTCACTGTCTCCTTAGCTGCCTCGGCGGGTGCAGATGCAGCCGAGTCCGATGCATATCGCGAAGCACCAGGGTAGCGATGGGCCCGCTTCGGTAGCAATGCCGACGGCCGTTGGGTCAAGCGGGAGGTAGGAAGAGCGCGAGACCGGACGCTGGATCTCCAAGCCATTGTTGCGGAGTTACAAGCCATTTTTATTGTGTGGAGCTAACTATCTTCGCCGGCGGAGCAACGCCCGATCGAACCTATACAGCGGTTAGTACTTGCGATTAATAGTGGATTGTGACTGGGGCCGTGGAGCTAGTCAAGGTCCAATCGACTCCCATAGTGGACTAGCCAATTGGAGCAGTACATACAATTCAGTATGCACCTAATAAAACACTTACAATTGCAATTGAGCACGATCCGAGGTTCTCGCACGTCCCTTGCAGTTCTCGAGGGCGGATTCGGGTTCTTTGCTGCACAGTCCGGGCGGTGGAAATAAGGCCTGCAGAATCTAGGGCGGTAGCATTGGATAGCTACATCGCTGGATGTTCACTCATATACGGAGTACTTCGTCTTATATGCCTTCAGGCATGATTTTAATGATTGTTGGCGATTGCAAGGTGCTTCGGAATATATTTTATCTCGAGATCTCGAATAATACCTAGGCTTTATGTGCAGAATGAATGAATTATATTGACCGGCGATCTTCTCTTCGATGATCACAAGCTCGTGTCGGGCAACACTGTTAAAGCTCGGCTATGACCAACGTCAACTTCTAACTCCCACATATTGCGAACCCTTTAGCTTGCGACTGCATCTGTACTGAAACATTTTATTTTCTACGTTGCTGAACAATCGAGGTCGCACGCCACAGATCCTACCCAGAATGAGGACGCAAGGGAGAACAACCAACTCTTCAGCGGTGGGATTTGACCATGTCTATTTTGACGATGAGAACGATTCCCCCGTTCAGGAAAATGCACCCTCGCAGAGAGTGTCTACGAATAGTATCCCAGAAGCGAGGCCTCAGACAAATCGTGCAAAGGAGCCGTACCGTTCATTCAACGTCTTCAAAGATGTATGTTGGCAGCTTGGTATAGGTGCATTGCTTTATACCTATAAACCCTCGTAAATTTAAATAGTACTCACCAATTTCAACAGGTAGCACTCGGTACAAATGCGTTCAGCTTTTGTCTTCAAGTTCACCCTTCTGGGGGACTTGCTCAATCTCCAAGCCCAGTATATCACACCTTGCGCATTCCCTGGTACCGTCAGGGCCTTTATTTGCCGGCCTCGTTTGATCTTTACTCTGGTGGCAATGTTGTGCGCAACCGGAAAGACCCATCTCCTGAGCCCCAAGACCACCGTGCGCAAATTCACTACCATGGCTTTGAGGGTCTGCTCGGTCTCCACGTGACAGTAGATATCTTCCGCCAAGTAGGTGCCGATTCCCTTCAAAGTGAGCTTCCGAGTTCTGGGGAAAGTTCCCTAGACCTTGTCAAGCACTGCTCGGTGGATATTGTTCGAAAGGGAATTGGTAGGACTTATCGTGTTGAAATTACTGGTGGCGGGGCTGTCAAAACATTCTACTGGAAAGGATCTAAGGCTGCATTGTCTCTCCTTGAAGCTGAAAGGAAAGGCGCTGGTCCTAGTGATGGGAACGGCAACCTTAAGTTCTTTTCTGCGGATCAACCAGATGATATTCTTGCGGTGTGGCAAAACAGAACTGATCGACAAATTATGGGCTCTTTGAACGTTATTGCTGAGTTCGATGCTGATTTGGATGGAATTCTCGAAGGGTTGATGGTGAGTTGCCTAGCAGTGGTTGTTGCAGAAAGGGTTTCCGGGCGAGGGTGGATAGGTGGCCTAGGAAAGTCAAGGAACTCTTAAAATTTGAGTAAAATTTGATCGTATATGAGAGGCGTAAGAAGGTAAAATGTACACAATGAGTCGTTTCCTGTCATTTATTCAATTAACTGTATCTCTATATAGTGAAATGCCTGGATGAAAGCCTAAGATACTCGATCGCCTTGTAACTAGTAAAGAAAGAACACGTCTATGCTAAGATATCACGCGTATATTAATGTTCATTCCACAATAGCCCTTCCTTCCCGTTCATTCTCTTGGATGTCTTCATTATATGAAGCCTTTTTTTTATGTACCAAACATAGGGTTTCCCCGGGCTCGAGGATGAAAACGAACTGCTGACTCTGTATGTCTTGGACGCCAACATTTATTCAAATAAATTACATTATAGTCAACCAAAAATTATCTGAATTGAAACAGTGGTCACATCTTGGAGTTATTCCGCATCAGTCACACCTCGCTACTTCTGTGCCAGGTGAGTAGATCCGAAGTGAGGTCCAATTCAAGCTTCCATGAAAGGAAACCAGCTTTTATCAAATGAATGGGTTTGAAACCAGCCGGTTTAGTCGAGATATAGTCTTAAAATAGAGGAGAATCTATTTGGTCTATAGAGACACGAGAGTGAATGGCCCCGATCAACTTATCGTTGAAAAAGCTGGTCGGTACTGCCAGTGAGGTATATCAACTGCTAGATACGAGTCGTCTGTTGTCTGTTGGACCCTGAAATGCAAATCTCGTTGTCTTCTCTTACCGCTAAGTACGGCATATGTTTCTACGTATGGTATCGGCATCTCTATCTCTCGAACTTATATACATTACAGGTCTTTTCCTTCCGGAATTAGTATACGGGAGTGGATATACTTCCTGAATAACGAAAGGGTATATGGATATTCAGCTCTAGCTGATGCTTTGTCATTTTAAGGATATACGTATGTCTAGGTAGGTGCCACTATATGAAGTTAACAAGAAGATAAAGATGAATATAAATATTGAAGAGCTCGGGTTTAGCTTCGGACTTCTCGTAGCTCTAGTTTATTTTATTTTATTTGATATATTTCAAACAAGTAAACTATGCTATATATACTATATTTCATTGAACCCTATTTTTCCTTAGTATATCACTGTCTTGTACACATTTTTTTTCTATCTCGCTTATGCTGTTGACATGGAGTAAGCCAGCCACTCTGGTAATACATGCATCAAGATCATAAGTTTAAATACACCAGAACCTTCCATCTTATTGGTGCCATGGTCTAGTGGTATGACGAGACATTGTGGTGTCCAATTCTGTCTTAGCCCCGGTTCGATTCCGGGTGGCGCCATTTCTTTTTTTCTTCTTTTTTATGTAGTCCACTAGTTATAGAGGTCATGGTTAACATCACTGCTGTCTTCTGTTGACTTCAATGGTTTTTTCCCCATCACGACAAAAAAAGAGTTTTTATCTTCAGCAAGACAGGCCACATATCTTTGAGGTTTCCTGCAAATTATATGAGGGGATCTAATTAGTAAAACCCCTCGAAGGTCATCATTGAGCGCATGTTGTAGCAATGATTTCCAGAAACCACATAGTATGGAATTCTGTCTCTCGTTGAATCCAAATAGGCAAGCATTGCATCTACCGCTGAAATGTTGGGGGATTCCATGTAGAGCAAATCTTATCTTTCGGTTTAATGGGTGGAATTGCCATATCAAGAATATGATGTGTATCACCTTTTGTCGGTTATATATAAATGCAATGTCTGGTTTGTCGGCCTACCAATCTATCCAATGTACGTTCTTCTCGGGTTCTAAAGACACATTTGTGGACCTGGATCGACCATTGAATTTTGCATTTTTGCTGCAAATTGCATCCTTCAAAGTAGTGACACGTTGGACTATGACTACAACATTGTGCTGCAGAGGAGTCATTTTTGGTTTTGGCTCAAATAGCCAAAATCGGAGCACCATATATCAATAGTTCCATAACTCAGTTAGTTAGAGTGTGGTGCTAATAACGCCAAAGTCGAGGGTACCTCTGGAACCATCGTTTCTTTTTTGCTCTATCTTCATCTACCTGGTATTGTTTTATTATTTAAGTGTTGGATTGTTTGTTTGTAGTTGGAAAGATCTACTTAAGAAACGCTGCATATATGAATATAAGTGACAATATATATTTTTTTTCAATATGAATACTACCTTAAAAAAGCTCCAGGAGCATGCCAGCTGTTGCACCTACTGGGGGATTCTCAGGACCACTCTGCCATCAATCTCCGAGCGCTCCAGGCGGTCCAGCACATCATTGATATCGTCCAACTCAAAGACGTCAATGTGCGCCTTCACATCACCAGCCACGGCCATAGCCAACATCTCATCCATCTCATCCGCTGTTCCTGCAGAGTTTCCGACAATAGTGAGACCTGTATCAGTTGGTCAGATCGGATCATATTCTAAACCAAACGAGAGTACCCACCCTTGACAATCATATCGAATGGGGTAGCTGGCAGTTTGAATGGCTTGTTGGGAATACCGACGCAGACCAGCGTTCCAAAAGGACGTAACATCTGCATACTTTGTTCGTATGCTCGTTCGCCGTTGGCAGTGCAGATTACAGCATGTACACCAAAGGTTGTCTTGGCTTTGACTGCCTGGACAATGTCCACTTCGCGGTAGTCCAGAAATTCCGTAGCCCCAAGCGAAAGGCATAGTTGTTTTTTCTTATCCCCACTTTTGGAAGCACCATCAGGTTAGTTTGTTATGAAGGTGATAGGAAAGGTTCAACTGGAACTATCACATACCTGTCAATCGCAATGACCTTCAGGCCCTTTTTAGCGGCAATTTGAATTCCCCTGCACGAGATATCTTTGTCAGAAAACAAAGCTCCTTCTAGCCATGGAAAGCTGGGCTGGGGATGTACATATGACCAAGGCCACCTCCAGCCCCAAGGATGGCAAGGTAATCTCCAGGGCGAGTCTTGGTCTTCATGATGGAAGAGTACATGGCAATTCCAGCTGTAGATAATGATTAGCATTCATACCGGCCGAATACCAATGGGGAAAACATACCACATAGAAGAGGCGCGGCACTATCTGGTGAAAGCTGCTCCGGGATCCTTGTTACATGAAGTGCTGGACTGACAATATACTCTGAGACATGATATTAGAAGTGATCAAATGGATTGAATGATCACAGCGAAGAATGGAATACTTACGCTGGAAGGTTCCAGGTACATTCTGCAAACCATCAATGCAATCAGTAACGGAAACAATGGTGTGAGAGACGTGATTTGCGGCGATCAACAACTTACTGCACCGGCATTCTTCTGATACGGGCATACGGTATGGTTGATTTCACAAATTTCGCACTGGCGACAAGAGCTGTAGAGCCATCTAATGATGGAAATGCCTCCGGTGTTAATATAACTTCAACCGGACGACCGATTTTCGATGAAAGAGACGGACCTGATACCAACCCGCGTTCCCATCCATTGCTTCTCGTCAACTTCTGGTCCGACTAAAAACAACGAGTCATGTTAGTATGCTGTTCGGGGCTGCGTTTAACCTGATGTAGGGATAGGTCTTACCTTTGACTACTTTCCCAACACCTTCATGACCCGCGACATCAGTCAACATAGGCGTGTCGCCACGGATGCTGTGAAGATCCGAGTGACATACTCCAGAAAACTCGAGCTTGACGAGAATTTCGCCTTTTCCTGGAGTTGGCACGGGACGATTGCTCTTGATCCCCACCCTTGCGGAGACAGGAGTGCTCGTGGATGCGATAACAGCAGCAATTTGAATTGGAGGGATTGGGGGGACCGACATGTTGCTGGTTCTACGAATATTTAAGATCACGTTCTTGGAAATAGTTTGTGAATCTTTACGAGGACAGTTGGCTTAAATAGTTCGGTAGTTGAGACCTGATCCGATAGGCGGCATTAGTCGTATCGCAGATGCGGGGGTGCGAGGAAGGATGCAAAGATAAGCAGAAACAGTTACCTACATGGTAACAGATGCCAAGATATACATATGTGTATATGGAAGGATCTCGAATTCGGGCAGGTTGGGTAGATGAGGCAGGTTAGACCGGAAGATGAAGATGGGGATGAAGGTATCAATACAAATAATCGATTACCGATTACGAAGATAGAATAAATCCGACACTTCTCTTTTACAGAGTTCAGTGTCAAAAATTCAAATTAAACAATTATGTGTAAGCCGCAGGTCTGACATCGGAACAATCATGAAGGAATATAAGACAAGGACTCTGCTAGGCAGAGTCGAAGGGAAGAAGTGGTACATCACTCCGAATGCAGCAGAAGGCCTCCGAGTCGCATGAGAAACTCGAACACCAAGGTATCAAAGATGAAATTCTAAACCTGACATAGAACTCCAGAAAATCATGCATTCTCGGACTGGATTGTTTGCTGCAAGTAGAGGCATAGTTAGTTTGAGAAACTAGCAGGTAGTATCGGGGAAAGAAACGAACCACCAGCCAATCCATTCCTTCATTAATACCCTTGCCATCAATGGCAGAGCAAGCGACAATACTCCAGTTTCGATCCCGCAGCTCTCCCAGCTTCAAAGCCTCTGAGATCTCGCCTGCGCCCTTGGCACCGGGCTGATCTTGTTTGTTGGCAAACACCAGCAATGCCGCGTCGTGGAGTTCCTCCTCATTCAACATGGCTGCTAATTCATCTGCCGCAGTCCCTAATCGCTCAATATCTGTGGAGTCGATGACAAAGACCACTGCGGCGGTGTTGGCGTAGTAGCATCGCCAGTATGGGCGGATAGAAGTTTGGCCACCAAGATCCTACGATCCAGAGATGTTAGGTATGACCCGAGTGAGCTTAGAGACGGGTAAAACATACCCAGACATTAAGATTGAGATTCTTATATGTGACCGACTCAACGTTGAAACCGATTGTAGGTATCGTAGTGACGACCTCACCAATCTGTGGGCGCGAGGTGTCAGCCCCGCGAATCTCACTCAAACGCGCCAGAAAACCACAGTTTCCAAGCCATAATAACCTACCTTGAGTCTGTACAGCAACGTGGTCTTTCCGGCGTTATCCTAAATTTCCGAAAGAATGTTCATTAGTTTCGGTCCTTGTCACACTAATGAGAACCTGCTTTCCCCGCGTGGGATGCAGTGAGACACAACATACAAGTCCTAGAATCAGGATGCGGATCTCCTTCTTGGACCAGAGCAGGGACCAGATACGCGATAGTGAACCTCCCATTGTGTGTATGATTAACGGGTGGGCACGTTGTTCACTGTTCAGTTCACAGGTTGTCCGGGCAAGTATGTAGGCCGATGATGATAGGTTGAGGGAGGATGATAGGTCGAGGGGCGCGTAAGTCGTATGGATTGAAATGAGACCAACTCGCTATGGAGGTTATGGTACAAGTAGATGAGATAAGAGGTGAAAGAGAAGAAGGCACTGGTGGCAACCACATATGGATGTTCTTTGGCCGATCGGCCTGTGCGGTGTGGGCGGTCAATCGGGGGATCATCGTCTTGCGGGATTGAGCTCCTCATTTAGAAAACCCCCATTGTCTCTTTCCCTCTGTCATATTCTGGGGTTGTTCACTTTTATCGCATTCTATACGACAACCCTTCACGATCTCAAGCGCGACTAGGTAACTGCAGTCACCTCCAGCGCACTCCCTAGATTTGCCGCGATTAGTCTCAATTGAAGAGAGCCGGCTACGGACCGATACCATCATGGTTGGAAAGAAGTCGGGCAAGGCCCTCCGGGATGAGGGTAAGATTACCCGACTGAGCTGGTGGAATGCGACCGTCTACAACAGAGCAGCTAATACTTGACATAGGCCTGGAGCGGACTGACAATAACATGGAGCTATCCAGCTGGCCGCAGATCCCAGCAATCAACCAGAAGAACTACTACACGTACGTATACCGAGACTGACATCTGTCGAACGGCTCTATTTGAGAACGTCAATGCTGATTTGCGCTATCTAGTGACTACCTGAAACGAGACGATCAAAACCTCGCATTCCGACTCCAAAATGAGGAAGCAAGGACAAAGATGACCAAAAAAGCGAAGGATCACGATCGAGCCCTCGCTATGACCAAGACCGAGACTGTGGAAGGCGAGGGTGAAGCAGATGGTGACGCCCACATGGAGGATGCAGAGGAGACCCCGGCCGAGATGGCTGGCTCCAAGGTTATTGTCATCCATATGGGCAGTCAGAACCTCCGGATTGGACTTGCCAGCGACGCATTGCCGAAGACCTTGCCAATGGTGATTGCGAGGAAATCAGCCACCAACGAGTCTGAAGATCATGATGAACCTAAGCCTAAGAGGTTTAAGCACGATGATGGCTCTGAAATGGAGCCCGAAAAGGCCTTTGGATCTGAAGTATGTCCAGTGCAATTCTATCGAGATAGCCGTATGCTAATTTTTCGGATAGTGGTCGTCTCATTTCAATCAGATGTCTGCTGATTTGAAGGTGCACATGCGACAGAACAAGCGAAGAATGCTTCCAAACTCCAAGGAGATGGTTGTTAACTATAACCGCAGAACCGTGCCAGAAATTATCTCTGAACACAATGATCCAATGCGTGCTGAATGGACCGAGCTTTCTAATCCCCCACCAGAGTACATTGTCGGACAGCCGGCCCTGCGGGTGCCGGATTCCTCAAAACCTCGATACAAGCTGTATTGGCCAATCCGGAATGGTTGGTGCAATGAGAAAGACTACACAAGCAAGAGGTCTCTCTTCCTGGATATTTCCTTGATCGTGGAAGATGCGATTAAGAATCAACTGCGCTTGACGAGCAAGAAGGATTGGACCCAGTATTCATGTGTGTTCGTTATCCCGGATCTTTACGACAAGTCCTATGTCACCCAAGTCTTGGATATGTTGATGCGAGAGTTCGCGTTCGCTCGAGTGTGTTTCATCCAAGAGAGTCTGGCAGCCACCTTTGGTGCTGGTTTCACCTCGGCATGTGTCGTCGATATTGGAGCGCAGAAGACTTCAATCTGCTGCGTGGAAGAAGGCATGTGTATTGAGAACTCCCGAGTAAACCTGAAGTACGGTGGTCAAGACATGACCGAAACGTTCATCAAGATGATGCTGCACGATCATTTCCCCTATGCCGATATCAATCTACGGCGTAGACACGACTTCCTTCTGGCTGAAGAGCTAAAGAAGAACATCTGCACCATGAATGAAGCTAGCGTTTCTCCACAAGTCTTCGACTTCCACCTTCGTGTGGCAGGCCAAGATACACGAAAGTATACCTTTAAGGCTTTTGATGAAGTTCACCTTGCACCAATGGGTGTTTTTGAGCCTGCCATTTTCGACAACTCTGACAAAATTACCGGGAGACGGACCTTGATCGATCGGTCTGTTGACATCTACGACGGATCACCTAATGATCCTACTTCTGCAGCCCAGTCAGAGATTTTGACTGCCATGGCTCCTCCCCTCCCCCCTCATAGCAAGGCAAATGGCGAGTCCCTATCGACAGCGCCGGATGTTCAGGCCACACCAAGCCGCCCCCAACACCCTCATGCCTTAAGCAAAGTCCAAGATCTGGAGGGCACGCCTCGATCTTCTGTCGCTGGTTCTCCAGGGCCGGAGAACACAGGGACTCCTCAGGCAGGAGGGACAAGCACACCCGCTGCCACGGCCGCTGCGGCCCAAGCTCCCCGCCCTCCTGCGGTGGAAGATCGTGATGATATCATGCCTGTGTTCGGTTTGGATAACGCTATCCTGACCTCCATTGCTCACGCAGCTCGCTCAGACGAGAAGAAGATGCGGGATTTCATCGGCGGTATCATGGTCGTCGGTGGAGGTAGCTTGACTAGCGGGTTCCATCTCTTTTTGGAAGAGCGACTGCAGGCTCTCCGCCCTGGCTTCTCAAAGGAGATCATGATCGGGACGCCGCCCAGAGACCTCGACCCCCAGGTCGTTGCGTGGAAGGGAGCCAGCATTTTCGGCAAACTAAGCGGCACAAACGACAGTTGGATTGGAAGACTGGAGTATGATCGACTTGGTCCCCGGCTGATGGCGTACAAGTGCATGTGGGCCTACTGAGTGCACTTTAGGATATTTACTTACGGTATTATGAGAATTCGGCGTGGGAGTTGCATGTTTTTGGTCACTTTCAAAAGGAATTTCATTTTTTTTCCTCTCTCTAATACAATGGAGTTCTTTGAATTTTGCAATTGGTGATTAGAGGACCTAAAAGAAAAGAGTCGGGATTAGCTGTGAGCTATTGTCCAAAGGTTGAATAAATGCACGCACTTTTTGCCTCAATCTCTCCCTTTTATCTAGTAAACCCCGTCTTTCCACGACATAAACTCTGTATTTCCACACCTACATCGCTCAACACATCAAATGGGCGGTGAATATAGGCAGAATACTGGTTCTCAGGCTCAGCTCCGGAGTTGCTCTGTATGGTAGCTTTTGCCGATTCCTCCAGCTTCGTTTGTGGCCAGTCTGGATAAGTCTCTTCTATTGGCGAGCTTAACCGCTGGGTTGTGATATTACTGCCAATCTTCCTCCCTACTGCTGTCCCTGACTTTCTACAAGCCCTTGACTTTCCTTCCGGTAGGTTTGCGACCAGTTTCCTCTCCATTTTGAATCGAGTTCTTATACTAACTGGCTATTGTACAGTTGCACTGCCATTCTTGTTTGGCAAATTTGAGGCGATATCATCTCGAATTATTCCAGTCTATCCCAGTCCAGTACAGTGAGCTTCCGTCCCACTCAGTTCAGACGTACTCGGATTGCTAATGCGCAGTCAATCGCCCAGTCAATCGCGCGAGCAAATAAGACGACAAGATGTCTTCTAAATCTAAGGAGGGCCAGTCATCAGGTGGCTTTCACCAGGAGTACATTGCGTCCCTCCGTTATCGCAATGATCTCCCTCCCCCGGACATGCCCCCCAAGTTCCTTGACATCCCACACGAGGGCTTGAGTCGCTTCCTCACCCCTGGGTTTGCTTCCAACCTGGCACGCCGTGAGGAGCCCAACATTGAAGTTGATGCCGAAGGTGGAATGCCAATTGACCTTGTCGGTATTCCGGGGTTACATTTGGGCGACGAGAGTGGTATGTCAACGCAGAATCCCCTATCTTGCATTGCTGCAACTAACATCTGCACTAGCTATTATGGCACCTGAGAACCCGCAGCCCATGGACCCCGCTGACCTTCCTCTTCTCATGACTATTGAGCAACTTCGAAATCCTGCCCCCAGGAATACCAATGTCAGTTTCCTCCGCCGTACACAACACATCGGTGTCGACCGCAGTGCCGGAGATGGATCCCGCCCTGCACCCCTTAAAACACAATCACGCACTGCGAAGAAAGGGAAGCCTCCTGTGGATGACCCGAAGCATGTTAAGAAGTTCATCCAAAAAGGATTCGATATTGCCTACCCCCAGAGCAAGCACACCGGAGAAGACACTGATAGCCAAATTCGTGGTCTTCCCCCCACGAAGGCAGAACTTGATGCCTGGGCTAATCCTGTCAATCCTGAAAACCCGAAGCTGAAGCCAGTCGGTTTCTTCCCTGTGATGCCTGACCTGGAAGGGTTCCCAGACCCTGGTGGTTACCTCCAATTCAAGTTTGACAAGGCGCCTTTGACAGCCGTCGCCGGCAAGCGGGACAAGCGTATGGATGTTGGTATTCTGACACCAGTCGCGCCCGAGCAGCGCGTTTGCCAGGAACATGAATCTAAATTGAATCTTCACCAAACGAACCCTGCTCTTTACCCCCACCCGGGTCCAGTCCCTTATGACTACCAGCTCTTCCTCCCAGAGAAGCCCCAATCTGTTAAGAACATTGACGCAAGCATGAACCTCAACAATGCAAACCGAGACAGTGAAGACCTCTACACCAACGAGAGCGCCGAGGGTCACAAGTTCCACCGATATGATCGCATTCGCACTTATGCCACCAGTGCTCAGGTCTTCAACACCGAGCAAAAGGACATCGCATTGACGCTCTTCAAACCCAAGAATGGCGACACCAGACAATTGGCTGCTTATTACTATCCCATCTCAGGCAAGGCCCGTCTCAAGCCGGAGCGTGCCCGCACTATCGCTCACGCCGGTCTCGCTCCCACTTCTACCCAACAGGAAGAGATTGAGGAACGGATTGACCAGATGCAGGTGGTGATGCGTGATCCCAATGAGGCTGAAATCTACAAGCGTGCTTTGACCCGTCTGCGCATCGACCCGAAGTTTGCAAGCAATATGCCACCCGAGCCCGTTGCTCAGGAAGAGGATCAACTATTGGAGCACGAGGGGACAGAGAAGCCAGCCGACGAGGATACTCGCATGAGCGATGACGAATAGATATTCGCGGCTGTCTATTATGTATTATGGATCTTTTTTTGAACATTACAATCTTGAAGTTTCTGCCTAGGTAGTTTCCCATGGGTCTGGCGTCTGAGCAATGGAAAATGGCGTTACGTATAGTCAATGCCCTTTAATCAATGTAGTTACACAACTATCATCGTGGAAATTTGTAAATGTAGTTTTGAGATGATCCTATCTCGCGTTGTTTGGTTGGAGACTGAGCGCTTGTTTGCCAGATTCAGGGTATAAATACCTTGCCGTTTCTAGATTGAATACACAAGAATCCTTCTTCTTCCTCCCTTGTAGCTAGTAGCTACAATATGTAGTTTTATATACTCTATGTGTTTGCCCCCATGTCTTAGGTTTTCAGTCTCTATATGTCGGTTTATTGGTTTTTAGTTATTTGACAAGGGTAGTAATCATTTCACAGATGGGAGGCACTCTGATCGAATAACTAGTGTGGTCATTCTCCCTGTAGGCACACTACTGGTCACTGGTGGATGACTTTGAAGTTTAGCCTTTAGTTCCCTTCGAAACTTCACTCAGAGTCTTCCTACATCTACCTCATTCTGCACTTGTCACCTCATTTATTTCTCCCAAGTCTCCTCTCTAACAAAGTGGTGTCCCGTGCCCGACCAAAGCACTATCACTTGTTTCTTCTTTCTCGCAGTTGATAGCACACGCTCGCAACAATCACAACTGTTTGTCTCGCAACTCATCTTCACACCGTGGATGCCTTTTCTTGATTTCTAAAATGGGGTTATTGGACTTTCCAATCGAGCTTATCCTCATGATAGAGGAGCACCTCCACACACAAGCCGATATATCTGCCTTGGTGAGATCCCATTCCTGCATGCGTCCTATCCTTCAAGAGAGACTTTACAGTTGAACAAAGAGATCCGAGGTTGACTCTAATTTGAGATGGTCATTTGAAAAGAAAGACGAAGACCTGGCTTCTTCGATGCTTAGCATGGGAGCCGATATCCTGCTCAGCGTGGATGACCCTGTGCCATTGAGCATTGCTGCAATACATGGCCAACTCAATATGGTGAAGTTTCTCATCAAATGTGATCTAACAATCATCAATAAACCAGGCCCAACAGACGATAAGTGTACTGCGATTATGGGCGCCACGATCCAAGGGAATACGGGGATTATAAAGTTTCTCCTTACTCAACCAGACCTTGACCCGCAAAAACCGAGTACATATTTTTCCTATTTTTCCTGGGTAAGAAATTGGGTGAGTATGATAAATGCAAAACCCCTATCGATCAAGCCCTCTCCGACGGAAATCGGGAGTTGTTTCAGATTCTACTTGCGGACACTCGCGTGGAACTGAGTGCCTCCAGTTTGACTGCGGCTACTAGAGGAGGCCATGAAGATATAATCAGACCGTGTTTAATACAATATCCACAAGAGTTTGACCCCGAAGAAGAATCCTTACTTATCATCGCTACCCGAAATAATGACACCGGTCTTCGGGCTTTGGCAGCACAATTGGCGATTGCAGTCGAATACGTGCATTCCCAAGGGTTTGTTCATGGAGATCTTCACTATGGAAACGTACTTCTCCAGCTGTCATTTGACTTAAATTCGATCTCAGTCGAGAAGTTGTATAAGGAGTATGGAGAGCCAGGTCTTGAGGCAATAAGGCGGTTTGATGGTAAACCCCTGCCACCGGGTGTCCCATCGCATGCTGTTATACCAATATGGTTTGGAGAAGCAAGTGATCACCTCAAACTTCCAGAAGCATATATCTTACTTGCTGATTTTGGCGAGGCCTTCTCTCCTGCCCAGCAAAAAAAAATACCAATCTCACACTCTACTTATAAATCGCGCCCCAGAAGTTCGATTCGAACCACATCAGCCTCTTTCCTTCCCATCTGACATCTGAAATCTGGTCAGTCAAATGCTCTATATGGAATATCATTGCCCAAAGCCCAATTTTTGATGGCTTCCTAGCAACTGAGGATGACGTGACTTGCGAGCAAGTCGATGCACTTGACATATTGCCCCCAGAATAGTGGCACCAATGGAAGGAACGACACAATCTGTTCACCGAAGATGGGAAGCCAATAAATCGAAAGCCTTACCGGTCGTGGGAGGACCGCTTCGAGGACAGTGTGCAGCAGCCTCGGCAAGCAGAAGAGATGCCGCCTCTTGAACCGGCGGAGCGCGTGCCCTACTCTCGATGCTGCGGTCGATGCTCTCATACAAGCCTGAATCTCGTCCTACCGCCAAGCAGATTCTTGGATCCAAGTGGATGGTGAAATGGCCTCTGCCTGAGTACGACAAGATCCGGAATACTTGATCACAGCAAGCAATGTATCTCCACCCCTGTGACTCAGACGCAACTTGCTGTTGAACAAATGTAGTAGCTACGATCAAGTGAAGATCTGTTTCCGAAAATAGCCTACCTCTCATATCAGGCGCCCCTATTGTGTATTAACGCACTAAACGGTGTTGAGAAAACTTCCCCTCAGGATTTTAGTCGTGTTTAGCCAAATTTTGGGTATCTGACTCGGTTGTTATTGACTCAAAGCTGATTGAGGAGGCATAAGCCACCTAAGACTGGATGCTCTATTGGCGAAGCGAGTGCGAGCTAATAAGTATATATCCTAACTTTGATACTCTCAACATGCCTTTTTCAGCCCACTCAAAATTTGTGGCTGCAGGCTTGACATGAACTGATGCATCGGTGTAAACTCCGAGTTCTCACATAAAGACCGTACATAATTACCCTCCTCTTGTAATTTCGGTGGTTGTATTGACTTGAGGTGCCGAGCAGCTACTATCAATGGGAAAGGGACGAGATGTTGACGAAAGACACCAGTGGATGGGTGTAGAAATGACGGGATACAACGTATTATACTGCGACAACAATTGTCCGGATTGACACCGACAGCATCGCATTCCCCATTTGAAATCGCGCGACAGACACCGTAAGCGATGATACTCGACGCCCAGTAGAGTGTCATTATATGCGCGTCCGCGATTTCATCTGTCGCCATGTTGCTTGGGAACTGCCACTTCGGCCCAATACAAGCCAATGTGACTGCAAATCTCGAGCTCCAGTTGTCTAATCTCTTTATCACAGTGAACACCATTGCTTGAAGGTTAAAACGCTGCCTGAACTTTGCCGGAGAATCTGGCTGAAGGTTCATGTTGTCAATTCCCTCGTATAGCGATGGGATTTCCAGAAGAATGTCTACCAACAGATCTTTTCGTGTTTTTGGGTGATGAATCCAAGGATCGGTCATCCACACTGGCTCACTGAAAACGAGCTTCTTTCGTTCCTGGAGTGCACATGTTACCTGTTTATGTATTAGCATTACTCCATATCGTCGAAACGTAGGTTAAATACATGGTTAAGCCGCCCGTCAACAAATAGTCTATGAGCTGGGCCGGTAGCATAGAATGATGGTGGATTGGAAAGGATAAGCGCAAGATCTCCAGAATGATGAATGCTCCAACTGCGGGATTGTGCTTCCTGGTTTCGCCAGTCACCCCCGTATAGAGCCTGAATAAACCATATTAGCCGGCAGTTAATTTGGAATAAGCTTTGACTATCAATAGCCAAGGCTGAATAGTACATACTTCGTAGAAGCTGAATATTCGGGCAACACTGAGAAGTTCGAGACCAGGCTTCCTGCGGGAGCTTAATGATTTTCGCATCTGTTGCAAGGCACTCATATGCAAATTTGCTCCCTGTCGTTTCATCCACTGCTGACTGCAGTCATTATTTGCGGCAGCACTAAGTGCCATTGCACCGAGAGCAGTGCGTAAGATGCTCTTTCCCGGTAGGATATCTCGAAGTACACTGATGGAGCCACCTAAATCTCGTTGGGTATCATTAAAAAGCGAGAAAGACTGACTATTTGGCATGTAAGATGCCCAAAAGTTCCCTTCAAGACAAGATTCGCGGGCAGTTTGAGAAAGAGTGGCAGAGGTAGCCAGGTCAGCTGATAAAGATGCATGGCTCGGACTAGCCCCAATGGGAAGGCGGCTTTGAGTGTCGCGTGGTCCACGAAAAGAAGAAATTTCTCCCTCCTGGCTATGGCCATAGTAGCGGTATATGACCAGACCCTCAGCATAGCCCTCGCAAGGTATGCAAGACCTTCTGCATTGGCCGCACGAGGGCTGTTGTAGATCACACTACTATCGTGGTTAGTACTGTCATTTCAATGTAGAATGGATATTTTTGATTTGTCGAATAAATACTTACGCCTTTTTTGCGCCGCCTGCAGGTACGGCATCCTTTCGAACGTCCCGGGACACCAACCATTGGTAACTGGGCTGGGGGATGTAGGAAGGGTGCACTTGAGTTTAACTAATTCCTTTCCTCGCCGCGAAGAACGTAATGATAAAATCAGTCACTACCGTCCACACTGTTATTCTTGCCTTCTTTTGCTGACCACGACTATTGAAGCTGCGTCAGACTCGCGTGGTTCCAAGGTTCAGCCCCCTGGAGATAACTTTAAATTGGTGGGGCCGCAGAGGTTCTCGGGCTAAACCTAAAAGGGAACATTATGCGCAGTCTGCATTGGAGTTGTCAGACGCCGTATCTTTTGGGGGCTAAAATATTCTCTTCATCCAGTCATTTTATAAGAAACTTTGAATTGCCTCACTGTCCGTTATTTTGTGATAACACGAGGCCCACAAATATACACATCCCGTCCTCTATGTGCTGGGAGTGGTTTCATCCTTCGTATTTCGAGATCCACCAGAGACCTGCTCGATGATGTGGCAGTGTATTTGGACAGATATAAAGAGAGAGAAATCCCCAAGGTAAATGTATAAATATCTAGGGGAAACAACGAAACATCCCTTCCTGGAATATCCATCCTTGAGCCTTAAAAGACACCTTCATAATGAAGTTCAATCTCATCTTGAGCTTTGCTCTCTACTCTCTGCTGGGCTACTCCGGGGCTCTTGCTGGCTCATCATGCTGTGGACCGGACATCACCAGCTGTGCTTACCATGAGCGTCTTCTGGAGAATTACATCGCCGTTTGGGGCGGGAACCTGTCGCTCATTGACACTGTCTTCCACCCCGATGTTGTCCTCTTTACCGATAGGTTCCCTTCAGCAAGTGGCAAAGGAAGCTCGGCTACCAACATAAAAAACCGAGATGAGTTTGCTGCCTTCGTTAAAAGATCGCGAACTGGATGGAAGGAATATTACTTTGAACCCATCCGAAGTGTTGCGGCCGATCACTCGATTGCTGTTCGGTGGGTCATGCATGGTGTCCTTGGATCAAACTTCACACTCTTCCCAACGTAAGTGAAAACAACCATTATAATATATATATCACAAAGCTGATCTCGCAAATTGCTACAGGCCATTGAAAGCAGGTGCTGCTGTCACCTATAACGGCACGGACTTCCTTGTCCAGGACGACTGTACAGGCCAGATTAGGGAAGCGTACATCGCAGGAGACAGTATCTCGCTCTTCCATGCAATGGGCTTAGAGGCTGTCACTGTTTAAGGCATCAGACAAGTTAACCAACCCAAGGTCACCTTGGGATCGGCAATCGGCAAGCTGGAGCCTGGGATGATCTCAGTCAACTCATGCAGCGTTAGGACACTTCTCCTTTTTCCTGTATATTAGTCAAGCTATCTTGAGATAAAGTCGTTGTTATGTACATTTATTGTCTACATGTTCGGAATGGGTACTTCCGACAGCTTTTAACTAGACAATTTTTATTGGAGAATTCAGTACTGATCAACATGCAATTCATTCAACAAAGTATCACAGTCTTGGTAATGATCACTGCTCTCTATTTTATGATCGAGATAAGTAACATAATTAGAGTAAGAAAGGCCAATGTCATGTGCGACCGCCTAACATTTCTCATATTTATTATTTGCTCAACAACCGAGATATCAGTCTGAGAGGAGTGAACACGATCCTACATACATGATATCATTTGCAAACGGAATTAACAAACCAATGATATCATTATATGATTCCAAAATCTTCCGGTCCTCGGGATCTACTTATAATTGATTGTAGTGACACTGAGGTCCCATCAAATCTGGGGAACTCCCAATGTGCTGGCAAACGGGGAGCTGATTGGCGCCCGTGGGCCCTGAGGATTGGCCTTGGTGGTGGTCCTATGGGGGGCAAGGCATGCCCCACGGGCCAGGTCCATGGGACCTCAGCGGTCAATGCCAAGACATTCGGGGGACCACATGGGAGGTGACTGGGCTATGAGTGGCCCAGATACCAGGGACTACAGGCTACTGCAGGAACCCAATTGCTCTTAGAGTTGGATCGGAATTGATTTACAGTGGATTTACTTCGGTTTGCGCTGCTTTCGGATGATCTACTCTTTCAATCTGAAAGGGCCATAGTGGACCATGTACAAGCTACTTCCTTAACGCACGTAGATATACGTGTAGTCCATGTCCATTGTACCTTCCCTTGCCCCTCCACTCTCTCTTATCATCTGCACCCACCCATGTGTCGCCGTGATAGGACATGGTACACGCCGCCGTCTCCTCGTGAGAGGGGCATGTGGTCAATTAATCCCAATTCGATTTGTATTTGAATCTCACGGTCGCTTCTCTCACTCTTCGTTCGTTGCATCGCTCTTTTCATATTGATCATGGATTGGATGCACCTCTATATCGTCGGGGCCGCCGTACTGGTGTTTGCCCTAGTCGGCCTAGTTCTTCTCGTCTCTTCTCAGCATATCAAGGTCGCCAACACTGGAGCTGGCCCTTACTTGAAATTCATCTGGGCGAACTTCATCAAACCGCACGATAAAAAGGCTGGAGGTCAACAGGATGCGCTAGAGAGTTTCTACAAGACACAGGTGCGATCCAATGACCATGAGCTTGGATATGGCTTCAAGCTGACAGTTACAGGCCGCAATCTACGATGCCACTCGTCGTCGTCTGCTCTGTGGTCGCGAGGACATGCTTGGTCTTGTGGCTGCACAGCTGAAGTACAAGATTAACAGCAAGGAAGTCAAGGCTGGAAAGGCTGTCTGGGTGGATGTAAGTATTGACTTGCTATCGTTCTGAGCTAGCGCTAATGTATTCCAGGTCGGTGGTGGTACTGGGTAGGCACTAGAGTAACCCCGAAGTGATACAGACACCTGACTTATGACAGATATAACATCGAAGCCATGGCCACTTTCCTTCCAGTGGACAAATTCTTCAAACACATTTACCTAGTCGACCTCTCCCCATCACTCTGCGAAGTTGCCCGCAAGCGCTTTGAGCGTCTTGGGTGGAAGAATGTCACCGTTCTCTGCCAGGATGCCCGGTCTTTCAATCTGCCCGAGAAGGACTTTGATCCCCGTGCTACAAATGCAGCAAGTGATGGCGTGGACTTGATTACTATGAGCTACAGTTTATCAATGATCCCTGGTGAGTATTTACAATCCCATGTAAGGTTATTTATTGATATTGATTTTTTTCTAGACTATTACAGTGTCGTGGACTCATTAACCTCTCGATTGAAGTCAACTGGAATGCTGGGTGTGTGTGACTTCTACGGTAAGCGATACCTCAAAATTCTGTATGAATGTCACTCATTCAAATATAGTCCAAAGCATTGTGGATGTGTCTTGTCGCAACTACACTGGTGGCGCCTTTAACCGCCACGTCAACTGGCTTGGACGTGCATTCTGGAGAGCCTGGTTCGATTTCGACCGGGTCAGCCTTGAAGCCGCCCGTCGAGATTATCTGGAATACAAGTTTGGTACTGTCATCTCCGCCAGCGAAAGAAACTATTTCCTTGGTGGTATTCCCTACTACATATTTGTTGGTTGCCCAAAGGAAATGGCATCATCTCCATCAAGTCAATCCATTGAGAAGCTGAATGCGTCTTTCACTGAGTCTCCTTACCTGCTTCCTGCCAATCACAAGCAGGAGATGGATAATGCAGTGGTGAGAAGCACACAAGATATTCGTTCCAAGGCATACGAGTCTGCAGTGATTAACCTGAGTGCAAACCTACCGCTTCCATCATCCTTTTACCAGAACCACCACTATCGCATTCATTACAACGACATGCTACCTAAACACACTCAATTCCAGAACGAGTATATCTACGCGTTCACATGGGAAGACCCGCGAGTTGACCACCGGCTCCTAAACATCGGCGAAGACGACGTGATCCTGGCTATTACCAGCGCTGGTGACAACATTCTTGATTATCTGCAAAAGAACCCCCGCCGGGTGCATGCAGTGGACTTGAACCCTAACCAGAATCATCTTCTGGAGTTGAAGGTTGCCTGTTATTCAGCATTGGGCCACCGGGACATGTGGAAAATCTTCGGTGATGGCAAACACGCACAGTTCCGTGAACTGCTAATCTCCAAACTCAGCCCTCACCTATCCAGCCAGGCTTTCCAGTACTGGCTCGAGCACACCCAGACCTTCACTTCTACCTCTGGCCATGGTCTGTATGAGACCGGTGGATCTCGCCACGCCATTCGTATGGTGCGATGGCTCTTCAATATTTTCGGACTCCAGGGTGAAGTTCGCAAGCTTTGTGAAGCACAAAGTATCGCAGAGCAGCGCGAAATCTGGCCCCGCATTCGACGTGTGCTAATGAGCCGACCACTCCACTGGGCTATTGTGAGCACTGAATGGTTCGCCTGGAAGGCCGCCGGAGTACCACGCAACCAGCGAAATATGATTGTCGACGACTTCTTCCGTCGCAACGGCTTGACTGAAGATATGAAAAAGGGCAAGGACGTCAGCGGCCAATCGATTTGGGAATATGTTGTCAATACTCTTGACCCTGTGATCAATGATACTCTGATCAGCAACGATAACTACTTCTACTTCCTTTGCGTTCAGGGCAAATTCTCTCGGAGGTTCGTTTCTTATTTCGATGTCTTTCCATTACACTTGCTGACTGTGATTATAGATGTCACCCTACCTACCTTTCTCCTCAAGCACACGTCAGGCTTTCCACGCCTGGTGCATTTGATGGCCTTCGTATCCACACCGATGAGATCAACGAAGTGATTAACCGCATCACTCCAGGAACTCTGACTATCGCTGTCGTAAGTATCAAAATTTCATTTGGTGGTAGCTTTTATGCTAAATTTACATCAGGTCATGGACTCAATGGACTGGTTCGATCCCGCAGAGGACTCAGCCCCTGCTCAAGCCCGAACTTTCAACAAAGCCTTGAAGATGGGTGGTCGCATTCTCCTCCGTTCCGCCAGTATCGATCCTTGGTACATCAAGCACTTCGAGGAAAATGGCTTCTCTGCCCGTCGCGTGGGAGCTCGTTTCCCAGGTACATGTATTGACCGGTGAGTTTTGAAATATTGTTCTTGATTATTACGGACGAAGCTTATATATCCATTCTAGGGTGAATATGTACGCATCGACCTGGATCTGTACAAAATCAAAGGACCTGTCCCGCCCCAGTACAGACCGCAAAATGTCGACTCTCTCATTGGGGGACAGCGCTATTCCTGGAGGCAAGATGCCGAGCAGCGTGGACAATCTTTTGATTTAAGTATGGCGATACATGTTTTTTCCCCCTTGATGTGGTCCTTTCAAGTTACGCCACACGTGCTTCGGTACCCTTTTATGATACCTATGATCTGGAGTTAGATGGAGTGTTTCGTATGCTTGCCTTCAAAAGCGCAGGGATCGGGAGTATGATTTGAACTATGGGGAATCAGGATGAATGTCTGCAGCTTGTCATACTCGCATCTGCCCTCTTTATTTTGTAAATTAAACTATCCCTTTTCAAATAATCACATCGGTGTTCCTAATTTATCGTTAGAAGATTCAGAGGTGCATCTTGAAGACGAAAATAGGCATCTTTTCCTGCAGTTGATGCGGAAAATGTTGCAGTGTGACAGACTATCTGCCTCTGATCTTCTAAAGGATCCTTGTCTTGATAGCTCTCGAAATTATAGCTGAAGATTCATATATGTGATCACAGTCCCAACCATGTCTTTGTAAAATCTATACAAACGGTACATATTTCATGGGTATCTTTCCAACTTGATTATTGGATAAAGAGTAGGATTTGGTATGGTGTATGGAGTATACCCTACACGTTGTAGATCCCCACAGATCAGCCAGAAAAGGTTATATAGCGGCCGATCCCCCCGGCGCTGATTTGAGCACATTTGCGCAGGTAGTTTGCATATTCAATCGACTGTTCCCGCAAGTTTTAGTATTTACTCAATAGATCCAATATCCTCTCCGTTTTCGGGCACCATAGAAATTGGCACAACTGTTTTTGGACTTAGCCATATTCGAACTAGCAAATCAGAGATATGCCATTCGACTCCCAGGGTGATAAATGGTCTTGGTGAGATACACTCGTGTCTTGGATCTATAACAGATTATAGAAATACATACTTACAGACCCTACAAAAGTGAATCTTGTATTCGAGGCCACCGCTCGAGCAAATGCGCACACTATGACCGACCGATGAAGAGGATTCCTAAGGCTGGACGTCCTCTGGCAAAGTGCTCGCATCTCAATGGGGTTGATTGCAATTGTCGGGAGGTTTGGGCTATTATGGTTCCGCTTGCTCCAGGTATGTCATGCCAAAGGAATGGATTTCATATTTTGAATTGGAAAGATTTGTAGTAACATTTGTCGTTTCGAATAGGGTCGATGGTTTGCAGCCCAGAATCTGAGACTCAGCCGGTACAACAGCAGCAGGCCGATTGTGCTTATACCGAGGGTGGATGATTGTTTGGGCGATGTCAATGAGCATTCTTGTTTTATAAAGGAGTTAGGTAAATAATGAAGCATGGATGAGATTAGCATGTCTATAGCGACAGCTCTAATAACCCATCTCAATCGACAGACCTCGGCACCAAGCTGCCTTTGTGGAACATAACGCAACATTACACAGTGCGAGGAAAGGGAGCACAACCGGGACTTGAGCAGTAATCGAAACTCCAATCACCCACCATGACAAGTCCCTTCTTGCCAGCTAGTTCCCTGAGAGAATCTCCCAAGAAACAGTTCTCCCACTAGAACGCCGAAAAGCACAGTAACGAAGACGCCGACGTTGAAGGTCATCACAGACAGCATCCTATCAATTTCAATAATTAGTCGATCATTCGCTACATCATACCTATGCAGAAAGTAGCAGATGTAACCACCTACAAGAAATATCCAATTAAAGCCCTAACACACTCAAGCAACGCACGTGTCCCGTCTTTCCGGAGACTCCACGTTCCACTAGCCTTCCATGACGGGAGCAAGCGTTTCAGTGAGCTCCTATTCCGAACACCATCACCTTTGAGATACCTCAATGACGTACTTCGTGTTTCGTTTTCATTATTTGAAACTGGCAAAGTCACTTCTTCGGGGTCCTCATCCCCGTGCACGTGCATGTAATCTGGGAGAGGGCTGAGCTTCGCCTTTCGGATGCTTTGTCGTGGATTTACTGGAGCAAGAAGCAGGGCTGAAGGGGAAGAGTTATGCTGGGACCAGGATTTCTCGAGTTGGAATTTGAGAGCGCCGAGAAAGCGGTTGAAGATGGCGAGGAGAAATAGAAAGGACAATGTGAAGACGTATTGTGTCGTGGTTGAGGTTGTCCAGCCTGTGAATAGGATTGTGATTTCAGTGGAGGCCGAGAACACTGATGGCATGTTCATATCCATGTCCATGGTTGCGCTATGGCGTTCACTTTAGTGCGAGCACGAGTCGGAACTTAAGGTTGAGTTCACAGCGATGTATTACTTCATGCTGTTGATGGTCAAGAGTGGGAAACCCGTATGTAATAGGCAAGAGTAGAAGATTAGACGGACTTAGTTGCTCGTGTAGCTTTAGATGAATGAAGTGTTGGGTTCATCTTTGATGAATTATAATTTAAATCTTCTCAAATAAGATCACGTTGGTATATAGGCGCAAACCCGCTCATCATTACATGAAATGTCTCAAATTATGTTACGTCCCAGCTTGGCGAACTATAAAAACAGAAGAAATTGTAAAAAAAGTCTTGGAAGTCTTGCTTTTCAGAAAAAAATAATATATTGCAAGTCAGTTCATTCATTGACTTCAGGTCTAATCATATTTCACAGGGGAAGAAGACTGGAACACGCCAAAGCAGCGGCCCTCTAAACAAACAGTGATTAAAAAAAGAGTCTGGGAAAATTTCATAAATTGGACCACCATGAGCCCAGCGCTTTCACCTCTTATCATATCATGTCTGTCTGTTGCTCACCAAGCCAAAGTGCGCATACAGATACAAAACATGCACATGCGAACGATCGTGGATATAGAGTCAGAGACAGAAAAGAAGCTCAGAAATAGAAGTCCTCATGAGCGGCCATACCGTGTCTTTCCGAAGGAGAAAGGCACGTAGCGGTACTTAATCATGTGCTGGATTTGTCGTCGCACTGCAAAAAAAAGGGTCAAGTTAGACATATGTCCACAACAAAAATGATACAGATATTCGTATCGAGGTCCGATCAAAAGGGGGAAACATACTCGTCAGCACAAACAGAATGATCCAGTAAACCACCAGCACCGGCCAGAATACGGGGATATCAAAGACAGCGAGCCAAGAGCAAACGAAGCCAATGGCAATGGCGCGAGTGGCCGAGTGCCAGAACTTGAACTCGGGCAGACGGCGGATGAAAGGCCGGAACTCCTCGTCCTTCTTGGTGGGGAGGCTGGGGGACCCGGCGTCACCGTCCTCGAGACCCTCGTCCTGGGTGAGAGAGGGGTCGAACTTGGGAGTCAGGAAAGCGAGGAAAAGGTTCAAGAGATAGATGCCGAGTGTATAAGCGACTGTGATTTAATACAAAGTTAGCGGTTTGTTTGTGCGGATGTTTACAGAACTGTTGATGAATGGCTTTCGCGTGTTGGGGCGTTGGGGCGCATCATTTTCGCCCTGCCGATTTCATTTCCAGGGACTTCATCGAGACTTACCGATATACCAGCCCTGTGCGAGGAAAATGCGCAGGAAAAAGAGGAGTAGGAGCACGCCGGAACCAACCCAGCGGTAAGTTGTGTACGGGGTGGAGGCATCGAGGTAGGCTTGGTAGTGCTGAGATTGACATATTAGCATATTGATCGGACTTTTGCAACTGATTTCAAGAATGAAGAATCCAAAGACATTGCGCAATGCCTTTACCCCTCATAAGGCACTCACTCGGGTCAGTCTAGAGGTGTGCGCGGACATGGCTGTGAAGGGCGACTGGTCGGGCTCAGGGACATCCATGATGAAGGAATTAAGGAGAACGGGCGAAGCACAGGGCTAGACCACCGAAAGAAAGAAAGGAAATAGAGAAAGTAAAGGAAAAGCAATGATTAAGATAAGCTGCTGAAACCAGACATTCCAGGACAGGCACTGCGCTTCGGTCAGGACAGAAAAGTGTCCACTGCCGACAGGCCAATCAGATTAGAGATGAGTCACCAGCCACCCAGATAGAGCACGTGATATGTGGCACTGTGTGTACGTGGCAGTGCCATGACATAAGCGGTACTAAAAGAGCTTAGCCACTTCACGTGTACCTCGGGACGGTTAACTTCGGCGTTCAGTCGGTCGCGGGGAAACGGGCCATCTATGATGGTATTGTGTAGCTACTCACTTCCATCTCTGCATAATTCCATCTCAATTATTTGAACAAAAGTAATTGCCTCTTCACATATCATAATGTTTGCCCGTCAATGCACTCGTTTGGCCACTTCCCGGACATCGGTCCCCTTGACTTCCTACTTAGCCCGAGTCCGGGGTTATTCTTCAGCTACTGGTAGCTACGAGCACATCCTCACTTCAACCCCCAAGCCCGGCGTGGGATTGAGTATGTAACGGCAGTCAATATACCAGAGGACCAATTCTTATTCCTAGTATAGTTACCCTTAACCGCCCCAAGGCCCTCAACGCACTATGCACTCCCTTGTTCAAGGAGCTCAATGAAGCTCTGACCAACTACGACAATGACAAGAGCATCGGCGCAATCATCATTACAGGGAGCGAGAAGGCCTTTGCCGGTATGTACATGCCATATATCTTGCAGTCACTCCCTCACCCTAATGCCAATGTACATCAACAATATAATAACCCAATAAACCCACTACAGCTGGCGCCGACATCAAAGAAATGGCCCCTCTAAGCTTCTCAGCCGCCTATACCGAGAACTTCATCGCTCCCTGGTCCCACCTCGCCACCTCCATCCGCACCCCAGTCATCGCTGCCGTCTCCGGCTACGCCCTCGGCGGCGGCTGCGAGCTAGCCCTGATGTGCGACATCCTGTACTGCACCGAAACCGCCACTTTTGGCCAGCCCGAGATCAAGCTGGGCACAATCCCCGGCGCAGGCGGGTCTCAGCGTCTGACCCGTGCGGTCGGCAAGAGCAAGGCCATGGAGCTTATCCTCACCGGAAAGAACTTCAGCGGCAAGGAGGCTGGTGAGTGGGGTGTTGCGGCGAAGGTTGTGCCGGGTGGTAAGAAGGAGTTGCTTGAGCAGGCCTATAAGACGGCTGAGACTATTGCCAGCTACAGCCGTGTGGCTGTTATTGCTGGTAAGGAGGTTGTTAATAAGAGTCAGGAGTTGTCGCTCAAGGAGGGTGTTGAGTACGAGAGACGGTTGTTCCATGCGCTCTTTGGCAGCAAGGACCAGAAGATTGGTGAGTTGAACACTTCGGTTTTCTGAGTGGATTGAACTTGAGGGTTGCTAACGATCATTATAGGTATGACTGCCTTTGCGGAAAAGAAGAAGGCTGAGTGGTCCCATGAATAGATGGTGGGTGGAACAAGTCCATTTGGAATGAAGAAGCTGGCTTTTTTCATTGCCTGCGTGTAATTCACCATGCTGGAGCTGTAGAATATAGGACTCATTAATAGCCCTGACATAGAGCAGTATCATCTAACACACTTCTGCCTGGAATTTTCGTTTACAGCCTCATACTAAGGCGCCTCGTCCACGTTCGTCCTACCTTCTAGATAAGCCTTGCCGATTGGTTAAGCCGGGAATAAATATGCAGGAGATGGGCTTTCAGAGTATAAAAAGATAAGTAGATATATGAAAGAAAGTCTTCATGTTCATTTTGTATTTGACCATCATGTGAAGATATTAAATTAATGCTATTTGCTGAAAAATGCTATGTACATGCAAGAGTGCCTATGAATTTCGGGCCCAGAAGCAGAATTAGTCGTAAACATAAGACACATTGCATCATATCGAACTGGGATTTTTCTCCAATTGGCTCTCATCAATTCGAGTGTTCTTTTCTGCCCGGTAATCATCAATAACACGGCCCTCAACGGTCTCATCGAACACGTCCACCTGGGTCGTCGCAAACTTGCGAGCGCTGACACCGCGCTCAAAGAGCAGATCAAGCTCGGCGAACGAGCGGCCACGAGGCTCGGGGACGCGGAAGTATGTGTAAATGATGCACAAGAAGCAGATGCCACCCCAAAAGAAACCTGCGTAGTTGCCCCAGTTCCAAGCACCGGGGTTCAGCATATAAGGGGTCAGAACGCCGCAGACAATGGCCACGATGTTGTACAGGTTGCGGCCAAGCACGACTGTCTTGATTTGCAGTCTGCGGGTGGAGAGCTCGGCCACAAGGGAGAAGCAGACCGTGCCGACGGTCAGCTGGTAGAATAGGGCCCAGATCAACATCATGGCGCCCGTGGCCAGGGAGCCTTGGTTTTTGTGCTCTTTAGGAACTAGACCAAGGAAACCCATGACTAATAGCATAGTGCATAGACCACAGAGACCGTACAGATACAACGTGCGCCGGCCGATTCCGAGTGTCATGAGGAACCATGATCCAAACACGCCAACCATGTTGATTCCGTATTGACCCATGGCGAAGGAGTATGAGTTGGAGGAGCTTAACCCAGCCTGTTCCAAAAAGTAGGTCGAATAGTTGGAAAAGGAGTTTCCACTAAGATTTTGAATGGCCCAGACCATACAGACGATCTCTGTGCGGCGGAGATCGGTACCCCGGAAGCAATCTAGGTAGCTAGCACCTTTGGTAATTTTTTCCTCCAGAGCAGTAGTGTGAACCATCATAGAGACCGTCTCTTCCGGATCAAAGTCTCCCTGACTTTTGCTGGTCAACCGCACCAGGGCCCGTTTCGCATCTTCAGTGCGTCCTTTCCGAACCAACCACCACGGTGATTCGGGCGCAAGCCAAATACCAATAAAGAGCGGCAGGGGCCACATCCATTGCAGACCGTATGGAATCCGGTATGCCCATTCGTCGGTCCGGCTCAACATGCCCTTAATCACACCGATGCCAATCAGCTGGCCAAGACCCCAGCAGAAATTGACATAGGTGGTCAGATACCCTCGCAGCGCCACGGGACACACCTCCGAGGCGTAGGTAATCGTCAAAGTCTGGAAGACACCCCAGGGAACGCCGCATAGAATCTCCGCTGCAAGCAGGGCGTGCACATTCTGGGCTGTGAAGAAGATTGACGTCCACGCACTAACAAGTATGAGGCAAGCCATAATCGTGTACCGGTAACCGAAGCGTTCCGAAGCCCAACCGTTGATGAATAAACCGATGATTTCGCCGCAGTAAGCACCGTTGCTCAGACCTGCTTGCCACTGTACACCGAGAGGATTGTCAGTTTCTTCACTCAAAGAGGCAAATGCACCTCATTCCACGAGATGGAACCGCCGGAATTGGTTGAACTTACCGCTGCGGATACTTCGTATGTGCCATTGGCTAGTCGCTCGCCATACTTGCGCTTGAATTGCGGGAAGGCATAGAAGTTGTTGACCAAACTAATGTCGTAACCCTCCATGGCAATGCAAGTAGAGATGAGCACGCTCCAAAGCACGGCCTTAGGATACAGCCGGATTCCCTGCATCAGTGTCATGGACTGCTCCTTCTCAGTGGCTGCCTTTGCATTTTGAATGACTTTGGTCATGGACGAGTCCGAGGCGGGCCCTGCGGTCGAAGAGTAACCATATTCGGGCAGGCCATCAACCGGTGTGATAGGATCTGAGGCCTTGGGTTCGGCCATGTTGGATAGGCTAAATAACCGAAGACGCTGGGAGGAAATTGGGGGGTTGTCTCAAGCAACTTTCGATATGGGTCTGAAAGTTGACCTGGTTCGGAAGTCAGGGGAAGAAAAATCAAAGTACCCACAATGCTGAAAACATTGCACGCGAGCGCTCTAGGGCGGCGAAAAGTCCCCTTGAGGCGTACCGAGGGTAATTGAATACTGCGGCAGACACAAAAGGGCTAGACAAAATGAGGATAAAAGCCAATGATCCGAATTGGCGGGGGAACGGGGATTTGACGGGCTCGATGCCTCCAAGCGCAAATTTTCGCGGGATGGGAAGCTTGGCGAGGCCCGGATGGGGTAAGTGATGGGTCATGGTCCCAGTGAACTTATGTGTTTGAATGGTACTATTATTTATTATCTGTTTTCATTAACTCTAGAATGTTTACGGAGTACTCAGTATTGATCTTATAATTTAGATAAAATTTAGATTGTATACGAGACGCTACGTCCAACAGGGGTCTCACAACCCCACGTGGGGGAACTATAATTCTCCGGGATCCCTTGCAGTAAGAAGAATGTATTACAAAGTACATAGATCATACTCGGAATTGGAGTATTCTTATTGGTTTACTATTAAAATGTCATACTTAATTGGTAATACCTGATTATAACCTTGGAACTATTTGCATAAAAGAACTAACCACATATCCTCCTGATTTAATCCCACGATCTACTGTAAACCGGCCAGAAGCGACTATCTTTGACACTAGATTGAATCCTACATATCCTACATTGAACCCAAAATGTTGAAATACAATTGCTTGCCGCTTGCACTTGGACGACTTCGTTTCTTTGATCAACAATGCTATTCGGAGTTCAGGGCTTAGCTCAAGCAACAATGTTTAGTAGAATTCTTTTATGGATTTTCTTTGATTAACTCTATTAATTATAGTCTCTGTGGACAATCTGTTTTGGTCCAATTTGTCTTTCAAAGCCTGCTTTGTACATCTATATGTGTCTCTTTGACAACTCGATTAATTATGGTCTATCCACTTCTTTCAAGGCTTGCTTGACCACTATAATGATGCCGAATTTTTTTATATCATGGTTTCAATGATTACTCGCCTGTAAGATTTACTAATATATAAGATACAGTCCGTGTTTACAATATACTCAACATTTCAGTATCAATAACAATCAGTTCTCCAACGTCAATCAGCTCGCCAATAATAGCCAATTTATAAACAACAACCAGTAAGTAAAACAGCAGCCTACAGTTAATGATTTAAGAACTAACCATTCACATAGAAATGCCACGTAGTCTTCGTTCCGGGAATTCCTACGCTTCTCCCCCTCCCCCTCCTCCACGCCCTGCTCGCATTCCACCCGATAATGTGATCAGAAATCGAGACTATGAGCTCTTGCCTGGTGGCATGAACATCCCTATGGGTCTCGCACGTAAGAAGGTTGCTCAATGCCATCTCGAATTCATAGATATGGGACCAGTAGACCCAGAATATCCCCCAGACGAATACCGCAACAACCATTGCATCCTCCGACTCACATTCTTACATCAACTTCAAGACGATACCCCATACGCACCCATTGGCACTAGGGGGGTGATCCTGGACTTAGAAGGTGTGGACCAATACGAGACCACATTTTCAGGTGAGCTAATGATGAGTACTTTTCGGTACGAAGGCCGGCATCAGAGGTGGCTGCACGTCGCACCGCTACGTATGGGCGGCCAGAGGACAGTTGGGGATTGTGTTCGGATCATTCGAGATTCTCGCTTGGTGCCTTGTCGCTTTGATGCCTCAAACGAGAACCTGGCTGGGTGTAGAGACTTTATGTGAGTTTTCTTATGTTTTTGATATGCTTGGAATCGTATGCTAACCTACAGCCATTGATAGATCGCAATTGGTTTATCAATTGAATAGGAACACGTTTCTAAGGCTGCCGGCTGATGCTAATCTTACGGTTTACAACAGGTTCAATTACAAGTATAATGAGGCTGAGAACCCTCCTGACAATCGTGTTCTCAACCCTGTGTCATATGCTGTCTTTGAACGAACATACCAACATACCACTATCAACGGAATCAATTATACTGGAACTCGTGAGTCGCCCAGGATATGTTTCCCCTGTTTTATCGAATTGATTGCTAATGAGAAATTGATAGGCCGTTTCTTGGAAGAGTAAAAAAGAATACAAGCCATGGATATTACGTTTTGTTCATTGATGAACAGCTGTTAGGTAGAATTCCGAAAAGACTAACCTCAGTACGGTGGAAGTGTTGCTGTTTACAATAATGCGTTCAGGTCACTCTTTGTCTTCATTTGATCTGGAGAATATATTCATAGAATAGTCATGGTGCTCTTGCCATTTTTTTCAAAGTTACCTACGTTTGCGAAGTACTTAGTTAATTCCAGATGAGAACCCAAGATGATACCAAAGTATAATACAATAATTCGTAAATCGTATTCAAATTGCCGAGATAGCTAAATGCAGTGAGGTGGAATGAATCCACGATTATTTTGAATATGAAAAGCACAAGCAAGGAAAAAAAGCACATTTACAAACGCGCTGGTGGGGCACCAGTAATATGAGCCTCCGTAGCAGACTGAATGCGAGCACCAAGATCCGCATTAACACGACGGAACATCTCGTAAGTAGCCTTGCGAACACGCTCATCGGCGCCGCACAGGTGACCAGAGATGTTACCGACAAAGTTCTCCTGCTGGCCGGGGGTACGGCCAAGAACCTGCCACAGGCCGTTAGCCTGAACGTAGTCCTCGGATGTCACAGGGTACTGCTCGGCGATGACAGCGCCGGACCACTTCTCGTGTTCCTGGCTAGCCTTGACGGGCTTGTGGGCGAGCGGGCGGAAGGTAGAGGGGTAATTAGGGTTGGCGCCGTAGTTGCCGTTGACGTTCATGTAGCCATCGCGGTGTGAGGGGTTGAAGGCTTTAAGTGGGCAGTTGACGGGGATCTGCTCGTAGTTTCCGCCCAGACGGTGACGGTGCGTATCGGGGTAGGAGAAGAGACGGGACTGGAGGACAGGGTCGGCGGAAGGCTCGGCACCAGGGACCATGTGGGATGGGGAGAAGGCGGCTTGTTCAATCTCCGCGAAGTAGTTCTCCGGGTTCTTGTTTAGGGTGAAGCGGCCAAAACGGCGCAGGGGCACCTCGTTCTGGGGCCAGACTTTAGTCAAGTCGAAGACGTTCCAGCGGAACTTCTCAGCCTGCTCAGGGCTCAGGACTTGCACGTAGCAGGTCCAGGAGGGGTTCTCGCCGCGCTGGATGGCCTCGAATAGGTCCTGGGTGTGCCAGTCGGGGTTCTCAGCGGACAGCTTGGCTGCCTCATCGTTGGTGAAGGTCTTGTTGCCCTGGTCGGTCTTGCAGTGGATCTGGACGTAGTTGAAGGTGCCATCTGGCTTGATCCACTTGTAGGTGTGGCCGGAGTAGCCGTTCATGTGACGGTAGGAGTATGGGGTACCGCGGTCACTGAACAGGTGCATCACCTGGTGGACGGCCTCGTGGTGGGTGGAGAGGTAATCCCAGAACATGGTGGCGTCCTTAAGGTTAGTCTGCGGGTTGCGCTTCTGGGTGTGGATGAAGATGGGGAATTTCGCAGGGTCGCGCAAGAAGAAAACCGGGGTGTTGTTGAACACCCAATCCCAGTTGCCCTCCTCGGTGTAGAACTTCATGGCGAATCCGCGGGGATCACGGGCACTGTCCGGGGATCCCTTCTCACCACCGACGGTCGAGAAACGGGTGAGCATCTTGGTCTTCTTGCCAACACCCTTGAGCATATCAATGATGGTCTATGCGTTATTAGTCTGGTTGTTCTCCGTGGGATTAAAGAAGCTGCAGGGTGGTACATACGAGATCGCTAATATCATCAGTGACCTCAAACTCGCCGTAGGCGCCAGCACCCTTAGCGTGAACCACGCGCTCAGGAATGCGCTCACGGTCGAAATGTGCCAGCAGATCGATCAGGTGGAAATCCTGCATCAGAAGAGGGCCGTTGGGACCAATGCGCTGAGAAGCCTGGGGATCCATGACCTATACATATATGGTTAGACCATGCGATTCAGGAGGACGTGGGCAGGGTGTACTGGGCAGCCGTTAGAGGCCGTGTAGACCGGAGTCTCATTATAGCGGTAGGTTTCTGCAAAAGAGAGGGCATTAGTTGGTGTGCTGGGCGTTGATGGAGGGTATAACCTACTAGGCTCGTTATCTTGACCCATGATGGCAGATTGTCTTAGGAGAAGAGGAAAAAAATCCCGGAAGTCCGTTGATTTATATAAGGAAGAAAACGTCCTTGTGGGGGAGCCATGGAAAAGTCCAAAGCCCATGGACCCACCAGATTTTGATATGGAAATCATCCACTGTCAATTGGTCCATATTCTATCTAATACCTTTCGATATCAACATTATGTACTATATTGATGTACAATATATAGAATGGTCGACCGTGTTTGCGGCTTTGCCCTTTGTTTGATAGTCTTTTTTCAAAGTAATTGTTTTGTGTCTTCTACTCAGATGTTTTGGATAATTTCCCCTTATTCGTGTTGCAGGTAGAGTATAGACGATAAATACGGGCTGAAAATGTGAAAAACGAATTTTCTACAACAGATCTTTGAATATCTGCAAATGCCATGCCTCTTGACGTGGGCATGCAGAATGTTCGATATCCAATCGCTGATATTATCCTATCGGGTCCACTCCCTGAATAGGAGTAGAGAACGGGACAATGAATAGCTTTGTAAATGGACTGTGGCTAGATCGGGAGACATTCCGGGGAGGTCAAGTCGTCCTCCCAATTTAGCAGGTCAACCCGAGCTCAAGCTGTCAGCTGAATTTGTTCTGTCGGAACGATCCGAGATCGGTAACCCTCGGCGTGCCTTTCCGAACCCGGAGATACGGAGTTGGCTTGACGGACTAGTTGAGGTGCAAGTCAATTATGTTGTACACAATTTTATATCCGAAAAATTCATTGACATATCTAATTGTCATAGTATGATAGCAATTGAAACCTCCAAAGGTCAGTCCCTCCAAAGTGTTGCGCGAGGCCTTGGTTAATTCCACCTATGCCTCGGCAAAGAACCTTGAATAGTGCTTCCCTTGGAATTGGTACAAGAAAGGATCAAAAAGCACTCAGTGGAGTGTGCTCATACAGAGCCGTGGAAAAAAAAAACAATGAAAAAAAAAGAACCAAAACAAATGCTCGCTCAGTGCGCCAATAGTATAACTTATCTTGTATATCGCAGGGAAAGGAAGCCCCAAAGTAGATTGGGGTTTGAACAAATCATAAAAGTGGGTGGGTATATCTAGCGCTTGCGGCTTCTCAACACCCTACATATCAATCAAAATAAAGAGGCACCAAGATAATGCTGCAAGTGCATGCACGGGAAGGAACGGGGTTTAGCTGGTAGGAGTGGGCGCTGAGGTGATCGCAGGCGTGCTAGTGGAGTCGTCCCAGCATCCCCATACCCTTCCTGGGCTATTACAGGTCACAGAAGTGGGCGAGACAGAATTAGAGGTAGTTGTGGCTACCGTACTAGTTTCGTCACGGCAGCCAAACCACCCTGGGTCATGACAACTGGTCGTTGCAGTCACCGTGGGCAAAGTGGTAGTTAGCGTGGGTGCTGGTGTGGCTGTTGTGGTAGGATCATTGCACCCGAACCAACCAGGAGTCAGGCATGTCGTAGTAGTGGCAGTGCTAGTTGGTGAAGTCGTAGTTGTAGTCGTAGTGGTAGCAGTTGTGCTGTCATCCAGACAGCCCCACCACCCGGGGGTCTCGCACGTAGAGGTTCTCGTCAGAGATGTGGTAGTGCTAGTAGTTGTAGTAGTTGTAACCTCAGATCCGTTGCTTCGGAAGAACTTCCAGAGTTCACAGTCGAAGCATTCTTCCTCTGCGACACATGAGGGGACACTGTCGTATTTCAAAATAACATCGGATATCACATTCTCAATCTTGTGAGTACCAAGACCGACACGCCAGCCTTTGTCTGCCACAGTGTCATATGTGCACACCTGTCCGGTGTGACATGCTGACTCCATCGCGTACCCGCCCCATGTACAGATAGAGTTAATTCCATTGCAGGTTCCCATATAGATTGGGTCTGCTGTATGTCCAAAGTGGTAGGATCCAGTGAACTGTCGCGACTGTGGGAATCGTGGGTCATAGCCTGGCGGGCTTGGGAGGCCAAGTCGAGCTGCGGGTAATGCTTCTGGGACGGCCTCAAAAGTGACCACAGGCAACCCGAACGTCAATCCAACCAGACTCGTCATTGCACCACCTAGCGAATGACCGGTCATCCAAATATTTGCATCCGGGTAGATCTCGGTAACGTTAGAGTATAAGTCGATCGCTGCCCGGTAATAACGGTTTTCGTCATTCATAGACTCGACGATGCATGTCAGATTTGCTGTGAACGTAGCACTCTGGCAATCGCAGGATTGTCTCCATAGATATGAGCCTCCTTGGCCGCAGCAACAACTGAAGAATAGATTATCATTGACTTTGTCGTTTGTTGTAGTACCTGCGCCGTCAAAAAGAGCTGGCGAGGTGCCCTTCAGGGAAATGACGACAGTGCTGTTTGTCTTATCGGAGTAGATGTGCCCTCTCAGTCCATCCTTTTGCCAACCAAAGCTCCCCGAATAGTTGAATTTGCCATTGATAGTGTGCCACTGTCCTGTTCCAGGCTCCTCAATATAGTCATTTGCGGTCATTTGTGCGAATGTCAAAACAGTCTGCTTGTCTGTAATATTCGGTCCAGGCAAGGTGTCCATGACCCATTCTAGTGGAGACAAGGCGGCCGCAAAGCCCGAGGACCGCGCAGCTGCCAAGTGACCTTGAATCACCGAGAGTCGTCGGTCGACTAACCTCTGTATTGTGAGAGGACTAGATAAAGCAACCAGAGAAGATTCCGATGCAATATATTGTTCTCCGCAGCCATCTTCGGATACAGTTCGAAGACGAGTGTCTGACTTGACGTCGAGTCTCGCATGAAGCTCGGGTTGTTCATAGGTACCTCGGTGGAAAATGTGACGTAGGGACTATAAAACGGTTAGTTTGGGTCGGCTAGGGTGATACAATTTGCATCTTACAAACTCATGGGTGTCTGGTGTGGCCTCGGCCCCATTCAAAGGTACCTGGGGCGGGATGATGGGAAGTTGTTGAGAGGGTGGATAATAGCCTGAGGCGGAGGCAGCACTTGATAATAATGCAGCCGATAATAATAGGCTGTGGATGCTAAATTCAATCCATGAACGTTTTCGAGGCATGATGAGAGTTGATGATGAGGATCAAGATCAAGGAGAAGTACCCAGGTGAGTCTATCGCGGTTATCGGCGAGTCACTTATCAAGTGACGCAGTGCGGAGAGCGATCGGCACGTGATGAGTACCCCCGTGACGTGACGCGATATCGTGTGAAACTAATTTCTCGTCAATTTGATGTCTTCTGAAATGATCATCAAGAGAGCAATGCGTTGCTACTGATCGGCTGCAGTATACTTCGTTTTTTGTATGGAGTGCGGAGTACTTATGATCGCTTTACTTCTGGACAACAAGGCTAAGGCTAGAACTGGGGGTCTCAGGCGCGGATCGACACAGGCCTATCAGCTGCATCCGGGAGCGGAGACGCGCAATTAGTGCCTTATAGAACCCCATCGCCCCTGGCCTTAAAATGTCTGGCCCCTCTGAAAATAGCACTCGGCCTTATTTGCATTTAGCACGGCCACTCACCAGAATGGGCAGCTCGGACGCGAAATCTCCCACGCTTGAGCAAGATTCCAAGACAGTACCTCTGTCATCATCTGTCAATAAAGAGGGGCAGCAAAATGGACCCGACGTATTCGAAAGACGGGGGTCCGCAGACTCTGGCACACCAGCCGATGCCCAGGCAGATGATGGCTTTGTGCTTTCGCGAAGCGTGCAAGACCCTTCAGAGGAGCTGCCGATTGAACTAATCAGCCTGGCAGATCGGTAAGTGTGGTAACATTGGTGCTCATCTCAACCTTTATTCTGATAGCAATTTTCCCAACAGTTTCGTGAATTCCCTGAGCGCCAAAGTCCACAACTCACCTCCTACGATCGAGAAGATCTCTGAGCTTTTCCAAGTTTTCTACAGCCGCGCCGAGTCCCACATTGCCACACATATTTCTGCTCTCATAACTCGGATAAACCGGGATCTTTCGCCTCAGGTTCCTGCAAAGTCTCCACGAGGAAGCGCACTGTCGAAATTGAGTAGCAAGCGCTCTCAGGATGATGTCAGGCTAGGAGCTTCAGGTCGCCAAATGTTGACTGCGTCCGAAGTAGCCGAAAAGCGACAGGCTCGTAAAGCCCTTGAAAACAAACGAAGTGCATTAGAAGAGGCTGCCGAACGAAGGGTTTGCGAGCTGGTGTATGAGAAACTCTGGAGGCACAAAAGTACATTGGATGATGTGCGGGATGAAAAGTTGCGTTCCAAGACTGCGGCTTTGCTGCTGGTCGGCATTAATCTGAAAGACCTTGGGATCGATATAGACCTTGAATCAATCGATGAACAGAAGCAGGACGAAGCGAACGAATTTCTTTGTCAAGCCCGGGAGTATCTCGCGAAGATGAACGATTACAAATACCCCCTTGGAAAGCTTCAGCAGCTTGCAGCGGCGCACAAGGCCATCGTCGACGCTCTTACTAAACTTTTGCCGTCGTCTTCTTCTGCAGACGAGATTCTACCCACGTTGATCTATTCGCTTGTGACATGCCCTCCGGAAGGGATCAATATTGTCAGCAACTTGGTCTTTATCCAACGTTTCAGGTCTTCAAACAGAATTGACGGAGAAACGGCTTACTGCCTAACCAATCTAGAGGCCGCGATTAGCTTCTTGGAAAACGTCGATCTTTCCACACTGCGTGCCGATGAGCTGCAGGACGGTCCTTTGAAGCCCCCTAGTGAGGCAACAACCCCATCAGTAGAACATATCGATCCTTTTCGGCCCACCAAGGAGACTACAACCTCGGCTGTGACGACTGTATCTGCATCGCCGGAATTGTCAAAACCAGAAATCAAAGAACCCGCCGCCTCTACATTACCCAGACCTCGACCCTCCGTCACACCACAGCAACGACGCCTCAGCAACCTTTTCCAGCCACCTGCTAAAGTTCTCGGGGCTGCAAATGATGCTGTGCGCACCACTGCCGACCAAAGCTTGAAGAACATTGGTGCTACATTGGACAGCAGTTTCAACTTTCTGTTTGGTCGTCTGAAGGAAATGCAAAACATCCAAGGACCCGGCCCCGAAGGTAGCGAACCAATACTGCCAAAGACATTGGCCGAGGCTCGTCGTCTAGTGAGCTTGCCGCTTGCCTCTACCACCAACCAAACCCTGACCCAAGGGGAGCTCGCAGCAATCAACTCTGTTTCCGTGGATGAAAGCACACCCCTACGCAGTAGTTCAAGACTCACAGACCTCTCCAGCGCCCCTACCCCTCGAGACCGGAGCGTGGACAGTACCCGAACTCAGGGGAGCGGTAAAAAGCTCATCACGACATCACTACGCGAAGATTTTGCGTCGAGTTCACCCATAACCACTCCGTTAGAATCAATGCGAAACTTTGGCAACACGCTCAACCCTCTGAACCACATCCCGGGCATGATGAAGAACTTTGGCCGCAACGCACCAGAGACTCCCAGCGGCAGGTCCGTATCTCCATCGGGACTGGACAGATTCAAGTCATCACCTGCCTCGACAGATGTCACTAGTGGTCCTGTTAGTCCACTCCCCACCTCTTCATCGAAAATTGATCCTCCGATCCAGCGGTTCCTTGAGACACAGGATGCGCGCGATCTCCGGATTGGGGACGTAGCTGTTCTACTGGAGGACTATAAGAGACTCGCTGCTGCGCTTTATAAACCCGGTGCCGAGTCTCGATGAGTTCCCATGATTAGATCACGTTCCTTCATCTCATCTCCTTCTCATTGATTGCAGGAGATGGAGCATTCTTGCATCATGGATCGATGGCGTTATTATATCTGGTATTCCATTTCATTTGGGTGAATAAACCTTGGGGTAAGTAGCATAGTTTTGGCGAGTAAGCTACACATTGTCCATATCATACATCATTTTAGCAAAGATTTTCCTTTCACACCAACATATGAATGCAAATTTGATAAGCCCCCACGTACGATCCCAGCAAATAAAAATAGCAAAGAAAAAGACTCGAAAGCGTAAAGGGGGTATTGAACATGAATAAATCAAGTCCCACGGTGGGTAATTTTGGGCATAACACAATCATCTCAAACAACATAAGAGCCAATGAAGAAGCCACGCCGAGCAAGAGAGCCATACCTCGCTCATGAGTGGCGTCCACGCAGAACCTCTGCACCGCCGGTTCTCATCTCAGTCAATTTATTCGTCAACTCCAAACTTTGTGCTTCAACTTGGTCATGGCGGCGCTTGACCTCGCCTTCAAACACAGCAGCTGTGCGGCGGCGGGCACGCCGTAGGTTCTTCATTTCTGAAAGGAGATGAGTGAAACGGTCAATCATTTGGTCGCCGCAGTCTTCCCATTCATCCATGGTCATGTGGGACAAACAAGCCTGGCGTTCTTGGTCTGTCAAAGCCAACAGATGGAAGACAGCATTCTTGGGTTCCTGAGAGTCTGGGATAACAGGTGGGTTCGGTGGCAAGGAGGGTGATTTGATGACGGGTGGAGGAGGGGTGGGAGATTTGTCAAAAGGTTCAGCTTGCAACTCCGAGAAGGACTTTTGGTAAAGCACTTCTGGAGGGTAGTCTGCTTCAAGGGGTCGCTTTTTGGAATGTATCACAGTGTTGCTACGGCCGCGACGCGACGGCTCGTGCAATTCGTGCAACTCGTGCGACTCGCGCACAAAAAAGGGATCCTGCATGGCGTGGTCGACATCTAAGTCGGTCAAACTGGTCATATCAAAGGCATTGATTGAATGCCCGCCGCTTTCCCGTCGTCCATTGGCACGTATGGTGTGGTCCTCCATGTCATCATCGCTTCCACCGTCGCTGTCAGTATGTTCCTGAAACGATGTAATACTAAGTGTCCGGCCAACATCCGGTGGAGGTTGAGAGTTATGGCGAGTAGGTGATGCATCGAGTTGTTGGTCGAGTTGTTCAAGAAGTGAGGGCTTTGGTGGGCTGAAACGTGTCCTTGGTGTTGCTGACGAGCTATGAGGGAGAACAATCTTTCTGGGCCCAGCAGGAGGAAGCATTTGACCCAATTTCCGTGGCTTAGACTTTGGTTGTGGTTGAGTCTGAGGCTCGGGATCAGAGTCTATAGTAACAGGCTGCCGCGAGGAAGTTCTCTTTCTGCTGGCGGACCAGAAATTCTCCAGGCGCTTGCTCAATGGCTCCTCGCTCGTACGCGGTTTGTGCAACACAGGCCAGTCGTGTGCTTCGTCAGACTTCTCATTATCCCCGCCATCTCCACCAAGAGACGAAGTCATTTGGCTTCCAAAGTCATCAAAGTCATCTGAATCAAACCCCGCCTTCTTCATGGCTTGGTCACCCAGGCCATCATACCAGTTAGACCCGTACGTATTCCGTGAAGGTCGAGGCTGGTAAATCGATTGTGGATCCGGGTTGGTGTAGGCAGCATTGGTACTTGACGCTGCCTGAGATTTGTTGTCATCAAATCCGTAGACACTAGTCCCCGCCACGGTTGAATCATCAATCGCCTCAACGTCTGTGTCAAACACATCCCTGTCACGCTGTGTCCCATGCGTAGGAAGATTGCGGGGCTGATTTGGGAATTGAGTGGTACCATGAAATTCTAGCGGCCCACCTCTACCATTGGCACCTGGAAGACCTGGATTGACTAGCTGGGTGACGGGTACCTCGACTCTGGCTTGTTCTGCACGTTGCTGGCGCGACTGGATGGCTTGGTCGGGGGCTCCGCGAGCCTGCCCACCTTCTTTGGAGTGGACATAATCGCCAACCCCCATAATACTTTCTTTGCCTAGCTATTGTAGGGGAATGAATAAATGTGTTCTTTTTGATGACGCTGAAAGACGACGGGAATCAGTCCACGGTAACGTTGTTGGGCAAACGCGATATCGCCGCGTAGTCACGTGCCGATCATTTCAAACGTCTTCAAGCCTCATCCACAGCAATTAGGGCTACCACGACAGTATGGAGCCTTAGAGTGGCGGTGACTTCTTAGCATAAATTCCACAACCTTTAGCTTGCGGACTTGCCTACATTGTGAATACTACGACCACGTAAGGCCACACCAAGGTGTAATTCTTCACTTCTATACAACTTATACATCAAACTCTATTATAATAGGACAGAGAAGTTTTTAGTAACAAGATGCAATTCATTGGGGGTATATTGAATAAAAGTTTACATGGGAGTTCCCACAGTAGAGGAACATCGAAATCATCCCAACCAGGACCTCAATCAGCAGAGTCATCATCAATATGAAGACTCTCCAGATTGTATGCGACACTCCTGCCTCGTTTCTTGGCCTTTTCGAAGAGCTCAATCGACCTTTGGACTTCGGCTGCTTTCTTTTCAGTTGCAAGCCTGTGCTCACGTCTCGCTTCAAGGGAGCCTGGGGTTTCATCCATGAGCATTCGGTCGGGGTCGTCGTCTTCTTCGAAGTTCGCTGGTAATGATAGTGCAGACAGCAACAGATCACCAATCCACAAACAGATCATGCCTCTGAGCTCCAGCAATTCAGGTGAGTCAGAGAATGGAGGAGACCCTAGGAGCTGGTCCATACGCGCAGCAATCTGCTGCGCCTGTTCTAACTCCACTGCCCTAGTTGCTGTGACGGCAGCATCTGCCTTGTTCTGTGACCTCCGACGGTGGGCAAATTCGGATTCTGAATTGTCGTCCTCAGAAAATTCATCAGGCTCTTCTTCTTGGCGAAGAGCAATATGTTTCCTAGTCGCCTTGCTTTCTTCTTGGGTGTTATACACCCAAAGCCCAAACATTGCAGGGTAGAAGTGCAAAGAGGAAATAGATTGTGGAGAAGATTTCATGAATGGATGGTTGAGAATAAGTCGTTCATAATATTCTTTGGCTGCCGCAAAGCCCTTGGCGGTAAAATTTATGGGTGTGCTTTCCATCGCATTCGGCGCCTTGGTGGTACCAGGGCTAGCTGAGGTTTCCTGTTCGTCACGCCGCAGCAAGATTTCAGCGCCAATGCCCCACCTTGCTTCGTTGCGGACATCCATTTGAAAGCCTCTGTAATCTTCGCGCAAGATCAAGCCCCAAGCTCGTCCGGCTCGAACATAATCACCTTGGAGCATACATCGATGTAAAATGGCTGTCAATGCACCCAGGTGTTGGAAGCGAATGTTGCCTTGCTGGGCCGACTGAGGAGGGTAGATTGGAGGTGATAATGCCGCCAAATCTTTGAGGTGGCGTGAGGTAGTCTCCCTTCTGAGTTGCTCATCTTTATCTGCTTCATGGGGGAAATGGCCTTTCGGCAATTCTTGGTTGGACGGAAAACCGGCAATTCGGTACTGATGTGATTCATTCGGCGTCAATACCAAGGGGGGCCCGGCAGGCTCAGATTCCGTAGCCGATGCGATATCAGTTGTTTCGTCGCCATCTAGGTCACTTTCACTCCACCCCACACTCTTTTTGCGTTTCCGGCGGTCATATTGAGATACGCGACTGGCAGGTGGCTGAAGCCAAGGCGGTATTGGTAGAGAAAAAACCGAAGACGACGGCGCAGCCATATGCTAGAGAGGGGGCGTATTCCATGCGCCGCAGGTCTGTACTAGAGCCTATAATTGCCCCAATTTGATATTTGCGCATTTGTCAGAGAACGGGTCGTCCACGGGTGGAACATGACGGAAAGAAGACATGGTGCCTGAGGCACTCGAGTCGAAGCAAAGGAGGCAAACATCATCACTTATCGTCCTCTATCAATTGCTTGCTTTGATATGACTCCTCTACTCCTCCTTTTCCTTTTCCTCTAGTTCCCCCTTTTCATTTTGCCCAGTATTCTTTCGCCTCCGTTTCGTGTTTGCCAGTCGCTGGCCGTTCTTTCCTGAGCGTGGTCACCATAGCTCCCCGAGATTCAAGGCTCGGCGGTTATACCACTCGGAGTTGGGCTGTGCCTGGACTCGTCAGACCGTTTGAGACCTCTGGCCGCTGTTGATCGTATTGGGCAGTGAAATTGTCTTACGCGTTTCGTTCCTGTCGCAAATAACCTGGTAACCGCCAACTCCCTGTCCGCTCTCCACTCCTTTGTTCCAAAGGTCCGACACATACGGCTCCTTTAGAACCACTACCCGAGAATCAACTGCATCGGCCCTGTCAGCTCGAGCAAGAAATCGACACCTGCTTCATACATCACTTAGATACTTTTACTTATCATTTCCATCTCCTAGGTTCGGCTCAAGATTAATACGGTCGCAACTACTAGCCATATGGTCCTCGCGTGGCAATGAACAGTCGTTGACACTCTCTGCATCACTCCAACGGTCACAACTCTGTTACTATGGGACAGTCCTCTTCTACGCAACGTGATCCATCCAACCCTGGTTATCCGGCACACCTTGCACCTTTCCCGATACAGCGTGGCCCTAACACAAGGGATGAAAACATGAATCATAGACAGGCGGCTGAACACAACGGAGAGGGTGATTTGTCACCACGGGCAGACATGAACACACACAACAGGAGCGACCAAGATATGGCATCCGACCGGCCAGGCCGGTTTTCCGCTGGGGGTTCGCAACCCATGCGGAGCATTGAGGAGGAGGACGGGCCCGAGTATGAACTCCCACCCCGCGAATACCGCACTGCGGCATTTGCTCGCATGGCAGCACGAAGACAATCGACCATGTCGAGGCTGGGCTCTAGGCTCCTTCCCAATTCAGTTATTCGTGGACTTCTCAACAGTCAAGAAGAGACACCGGCGGAGGGACATGCACACCGACATG